TGTTTCAATTTAATTTAATAGGAAAACGATGTCCCTAATTCCTAATTTCTAAGAAATTTTCAAATAATTCATTTTTTCGCATTTTTTTGCTTCTGCTTTGTGCATTTTTAGACCAGTAGTCGAAATAATTATCTTTTTTTTTATCTCTAAAACATAATTCACTTCTTACGTTTCAGCAAGCCGAGAATGTTACCTTTCGAGAAATTTTCTTCCCAATCACGTTAACTAAAGCTTAAATCCAACAAGAGTCTTGTTAGCACATTTTTGGCGTACAGTTGTGTAGTTCTTTACTGTTTTACCGATAATTTAGTGAAAATTCAAAGATAAACTAAACTATTATAGGCATTCGATTTCCTTTTGAAAACTAGTACAAAGTTACCGAGAACTTTCTGTGAGATAAATAACAAAAGTCCTCAAAAACCTGAGTTGATACCAAAAATAATCGTAGAGTACGGCCCATTAGTATCGTCGTTAATGTGTTAAAGATGAGATCTAGGTTTTTGAGCTGATCTGTAAAACAAATCCCATTTCACTAGCAAGACTAAAAACCTTTGTTTCAACTTTTGGAATCTCTGAATGTAAAAACTACCTTGAAACCGTCCCAAGCCTAGAGTAGGTTAAGCAAAGCTTGCAGTAAAGTTCTGGCCCAGCTCCGGCCAGACGGATCGGGTCCAGGTCTGGGCTGAGCCTCCGATCTGGCCCTGGTTTACCTATTTTGGCCGCTGAATAAGTTAAAGGCGTCCTCGGAATCACCATGCTTTGATCTGACTTGCGATTAGCTTCTATACTCCCCGAAATGAATTCGATTTCTGAAATCTGTTGAAACAGATCTCTTGCATTCATTTCCCTCATAAAGGACATACATATTATTGGGTTCTTTTCATAAATCCGCAGCTTTCCCAGCTTTTCCCCGAGGAGATCCTCCCTTGCCCGGATGGTTCTTTTGTGTATTCACCTGTGCAATGGTTCGCAAAATCCCTTGCCATCTCTGGGATCTCTCCATTTTCTGAATGTTTCCCCGAATTTCCCCAAAATGCTCTTTTTGTCTTTCTATGAAGTCTCATTGAGCTCTCCATTTCCCCAAAAAGCCCAAAATCGGAAATAAATTCATTCGAATTTGAAACTCGCATGTCCGTTTCAAATATTGAAAACAAATGGAATTCACCGGGTACAACTTTTCGGATATTTGGCTTATCTAGACCTTGCCCTTGGGAAATTGACCACTAATAGTTATCCGGTAACATCGACTCAATGTAAAGAGCACGATTTGAACTCCCTAAACTCCCTAAACTTTTGCAGTTTGCAAGTTTTTGGCCATTGCTTTCTTTCCCCGAAAAAGCTCATCAGCATCAGAAAATCATCAGAAAAAGCTTTCATTTTTCATGAATTTCTTCTTTTTGCCCGTTCGTCCACTGTTTTCCCCACAATTTACGCTTTTTCCTGACAAATTTTGACTTTAAGTTGGGAAATTTTTGATTAAACGAAAAGTTTTTGAATAATCTTAATAGCAAGGTTAATGGCCATGAAAACATTTTCGTTTTGTTTTAAACTTTCTTTCTTTTGAAACTCAAATTTTAAAATTAACGTCAAATTAGTAAAATTTTGTCCAATTTGAATTTAAAATTAATCTGTTTCAGGTTTATTATCATAAATTTATCATGTCAAAAGATTTAAAAATTGATTCCAAAGAGAAGCATCAGAAGCATCACTAGTTCTAAAGCTTTCATTTGCACGGCGTTTACTTTGAAACTCAAAAAGCATCCAACTACTGACGGTACCGTAAAACCATTAGTATAACTACGAAAATCCTCAAGTTTTCAGTGAAATCAATAATAACAACTGGATATGTACAGTGCCGTAACTTGATCTACTTTCGTTTTGAAACGCTAAATTTGAAACTAAAGCTTTCAAACTTTAGAAGCTTGTGGAGTGAAGGGGATCTCAGTTACAATAATAAGCCAATAAGAGATCAAAAAAGCTATTGCCGCTACAACTTTCACAGTCAAACCAACAAAGGACTTAGTTTTTTGTTCTTAAAAAGGTTTAATCTCAAATAGCCATCCGTACCAACTTGCGTATCGATCCCGCCCTTCTCCATTTCATTAGCTCCAATTTGAACCTTAAACTTTTCTACCCAAACTTGGCGCTAATTGAACAAAACATTTAAGCTTCTACCGGTTACAATTTTTATAGCCAAGTCTTGAAAGCCTTATTTTTCGATCTTGAAAAGTCTAATGGCCTGCAGAATTTAATAACCAATCCATTTCCCATTAGAACAGACCCAGCTTGAAACTAGGCTTGCTTTATCAAACATGATCAAATTCAAATCCAAATCTAAGTGTTTACTTGTTGCAATTTCCACAGTGCAATCTTGAAGAGTCTAATGGTGTAAAGCAATCCAACCACGAACTTCACCATCACTTTCCCATCCAATTTGAAACCGAAATCTCTTCCCCCAGACTCGGCACTTTGTGTTCTGCTTCCTGACCAAATTTCATTACTTTGTTTTCTTCGAATTTCAAATTTTCCTCATTTTTTCGATTCTTGAAAGCAAACAGTCAGAATTTTCGAGGATAACATGAGTTTTTTTCTTCTTTTTACAAAGCTGCTCAAATATTGAAACAGAAGTTTTGCCCTTCCGGAAAAAAGACGGAAAGTTGAGGCCAGGCCACTTTCGGGAACTTTCAACAAAAGTTGTCTACTTATGAAAAATCAGAAAAATGTTTGTTGATCAGTGAGAAATTTAAGGTTCAATATTTGGTTTCAAGTTTTTCCGCGTTTGGCTGCATTTCTGAATATCAATGTGGCATTGGGTTTCAATCATCTCAAAATTTAGACTTTTTAAACTTGTTTAGCATGCTCTTTTTTGACTTCGAAAGCTGATTTTTATTTCTATTTCTTTTTCGATTCATTATTGGAAATATTATTTTACTCATTTCATTTTGATTGCTCTTTTTAAAACTCAATCTTTTATTTGAAAGACTTTTTATGAGCTGAAGCTAAAGATTTTTAAATCTTTAAAATTTTAGAATCTTCATCTTTTCTACTTCAAATTTGGCTTTTGTCAAGTTCAAGTTGGCTAAATACAGTCATATTAATTAAACGTTCTTTTCATACAAGGAAATTCTTTCATTTGAAACTAAATAGTTCCAATCGCGTTTGACAATCGTTTTGATGTCTTCGAACTTTCAAATTTTGTATTCTTCTTTCAATTTTCTTTACAGTTACCTTTAAGCTTTGATAATTGTAGAAAGAACTCGATCTCTCAAATAAATGGATGAAGAGTGGGGCGTTCTCAGACAGGATTGTCTCTTCTCCGCCGCTGCCGCCAGCCATCACCATGATGATATCACTGAGGTCGGCAAAAAGATAACAAAAATTACAAAAAATACCTAATAAGTTGGATCAACAAGATAAAATATCTTGTTCTTGTTCTTGTATCTTGTAAAACTTACCAAAAATTTATTTAGTTACAAAAACTTCAAAATTTTTGTTTAGCGATCGTGTTCAACTGTCCACTTGCACTAAACTTGAAACTAAGAACACCAATCTTAAAACTTAAGTTTCAGTTGGAACTAGGGCAGATCAAAAACTCGTGCACCGACGGGACTCGAACCCGCAACCTTTCGCTTCCCGGGCAACTGTGCTAAATATTACACCACAACGCACCTGATCAAGAGAGATCAGGTGCGTTGTGGTGTAATGTTTAGCACTGTAATGTGTAATGACTCCAGATGTAATCACTCCAGATGGAGTCAACTTTTCTCTTATTGAACTTATCAAACTTACTGAAAAAAGTCCTTTTTGAAACAGTTCGTTAGGAACAATGAAATATCTGTAAAAAGCGTTTCTTTGAAATCATAGCTAAACTTTTGAAATAGTCTTTTTTTCAGGTAGAACATGTGAAGTGTGAGCCACTCGAGACGATCGATGAGACTTCAGGTGAGCGAAAGAACTTAAAAAATAGCCTAAGCCTAAATTTGAAAGAAACAAAGAAATAAATTTATATAAAATTTGGCAAAATCTGTGCTGATTGCAAAAGAATTGAGTGTTCGCTTTGGCTGAAAAAAGCGCTAATCGGAGTGATAAAACTGAGGATTAGGCATTGAGAAGATCCGCTTCGGGAAACACCAGAAACATTGTCGGGTTTAAAAAAATAATTTTATAAACTCATTTAATTAAAATCGCATCTTCAGGTAAAGTTATCTATAAAAAATGAATTTCTCTTATCAAGTCGTGTTTAATTTTATCTTATTTTATTTGTTTTATCAAAAAAATCATTGGGGAATCAATGTGAGAGTCAAAGTTTGTTTGGAGTAATGATTGTTTCAAATTTTCTTCTCTTACCTCATCGACTTGTAATCAATCTAAAAGGCAGAAAGTTGTAAATTTCTATAAAGCGCTCTTTTTTTTTTTTCTTTTCTTGTTTATACAGTTAGCAACTGAATGTAACCAAAAAAAGTCAAAAAGAGAAAAATCTTTTCTCTTTCCTTTTTTTCCTCTTTTTCCTAATCAAGTCCACTACTATTCGGAGGGAAGAGATAAGAAAATTTCCGAAAAATGAGAAGCGAAGATTTTGAGAGAATATACGGGTGATTGTTGCAGGTTTACACTCCCCGCAAAATCACTTTGTTCCTTCAAAAATTGAGTCTGTTCTGTGATCATATTTTCTAAACTTTGACTCGAATTGACTGCTTTGATCCTCTCTTGTGAGAAATTCGAGTAGTTTTACCTCGTTTAATTACAGTAATCTCGACTTTAAGTGTACTGTAATCGATCGTACACTTAAAAGCAAAACCCGTAGCCGTTTCACTGCTATTCTGAAGATTTATTTCACCCTGCAACTGTATAACTTGTCCTGCACAGGACTACGGTAGCACAGGACTCACGGGTACTGTAGCTCAAATTGCCAGGCCTACAGATCCCTCGAAATAATCCAAGAACGACGGTACTCTACATTATTAAATCCCTTCGCCTAATCCGACTAATATTCTCACAAAATGGGATCCCACGCCTATGAAGAGGAGTTCCTCTTCCGTTCATTCACTCCCGAGTTGAAAGTCTTTGATTTTGTCGACGTAAAAATGGAGGAATGCGTTGAGAATCCGTGTTTAATCCCTAACGATCATCAATCCCATCGACCACCGCCATTGCCCATTCACGGATTGAGAGTTGCAGGTCGGTTGGAGAGCGGTGATTGTTGTATTTTCTTGGGAATGAGTGCCGTTTCATAAAAATAAGTCCAGACCAGACCTGACCAAGAAATGACTGCTTAATAGACTAAAAGGTAAAGGTATTGCGCGAGTTAGTCTTGAGCGTATTTCAGTGATGCAGTTTAAGTCGAAACTCAATTTTTAAAATATCATGCTTCAAAATATTGAGCTTTGTTGAGTTGTGTGATCTCTAATGAAGTCATGGTCGCTTCAGCTTAATCATTTAAACACTTCAAAAAATTCTATTAGATAACATGATAGCTATTCTTTTTTGAAATTGTAGAGCGATTAGACAGAAACTGAAAGAGTCCATTGTAGTCGTTGGGTTTGAAACACACACTTCTAGTCAGTCAATATTTAGTCAGAATTTCAATTCACTAATAATAAGACCAATTTGTTCCACTTTTTTCCTATTGATAAGCTTCCTATTCACTATGTTTTGGTAAACTCAGACTTATCAAATTCCATAAGTTTCCTGTTCTTTGCACTCATTTCAAAAACCCATAAAGTCTAGGATCAAAATATCACAGGTATCGCAAATTTCCAGAGAAAAATGAGCGAAAGATGGCCATAAATTGCATAAGCGATGGGAAATCGATAGAATTTCCCCAAAAGGGGTTCTTTCTTGGTTCCCTTTTTCTGTGTGAGGGTGTGCCTTTGCCTTGTCGAATCATCACTTCAAATCAAATTTTCGGCTCACCACTGATAATTCCCCTATGATTTGAAAAGATTCAGATAGGGAAAATGGAATAGGGAATGCTTTTTCAAAAGAACAGTAAACAATTACAAAGCATTTTACAAAGCATTACAAAGCAACAAAGCTTACAAAGAAAAAGACAGAGTTTTATTTTGAAGCGCACAACTTTGAAACTCAGATTTCACCAGCTCGAAGCTGTGCTTAACCAAAACAAATTAAAGCATGAACATTTAGAAAATTATTTCAATAATTTTTAGACTACCATGGATCAACATCAGTCTCCCCATCGTCAAGTCTCTCATCACCATCGGATCTTAAGGTTTGCATAAAAAATTGGGACTAAAAAAAACAAAAAAATAAATGCCTTTGATACTTTGAAAAATTTAACAACCGAAAATGAGGATTTACGGGAGTTTTAGATCTATTGAATGCATCTATTAAAACTATTGAATAGTGATCTATTAATCTGGGTGTTCTAAACCATTTACCTCTAAGTTGAGGTAAATGGTGAAGACCTAAGTTTCTTTTGTCAAAGATTTCTAAATATATAATATAAACATTTAGATCCAATTGTTGTTACTGATGTGTTTTTGACTGAATTTGGTTCTTTTCAAAACAAAAACCTTCTTTTCAGACGGATTTCGGTGCGGATTTCTGCTCGCCTTTATGTGTGAACCCATTCTCGGGCGGATCCGCCTCATTTCTGCACTCGCCGGCCAGCAGTAGCAGGTTTGTGAGTAATGGGGAAATGTGAAAATAGACAGGGATTTGGGAAAACGTTAGAAAGTAGAAATAGCATAGCTTTTCCAATTTTAAAGCAAAAATAATGAACCATTTACATATTACAGGAAAAAAAAGTGCAAGTTTCAACTGGGTTAGGTTGACTTTAAAAATTTTTTTTTAATCGGTTGAACCTTACTTTTACTTTAAAAAATATCTGAACTTATTGTTAGTCCCATCTAAAGTTTCAACTTGAAATCCCTTTGCGTAATAAGTCAGATATGAATATCTCTTAGTTTCTGTCAGATATGAATATCTTTTGGTTTCTGACGCAAAAATCATTAAATTAAAATTAGACTCATTAAAATCTAAGTTTCAACTTGAAGAATGTGAAACTAAAAAGGCAAGAGTCAATGTTGATGTTGGTGGTTTGTACGTAATAATTTCAAACAACCTTTTTTTGGAGTTTCAGGTTTTTAAAGTCCGTTAGATTCTCAATTTTATAACTTTTAAAAAGTCTGACTATTCAGTAAATATTAATAAAGTAAATATACCAAACTAGCAAGATTCAGTAAATATTAATAAACGCAAAAATCACAAATTTTAAAGCTTTTTGGAGTATTATCTAGCTAAATAAGAAGATCAAAGCTTTTCCATGATTCCAAGACTCCAAGACAAAGTAAATATACCAAACTAGCAAGATCCTTAAAAATGCACTCATTCAGCAGCCCGTTTGGTGTTCCATTTCACGCTCAGCACGGAGGAAATGGCAGCATTCCCAACTCGGCTCAAGGATCGCTTCCATCGGTTAGTTTCGAAGAAATTTTATTACGATTACCTAAATCCATTAGCAGCATAGAAATAGAACAAATGAATGAAAAAATGCTTTCAGATGTGCGGCAGTCCATTGCCTCCAGTTTCTCATTTCTCTCAGCATCCAGTGCAAACACAAGGACAACTTCATCACGGTAAATTTCTGTTTCAAATTCAATACTTTACCATACAATATATTAAGTAAACACTTTTAAAATCTAAGTTTCAAATGAGAGTGTTAAAAGTTGCGTTTTCATAGACTAATAGTGATAGAACTGTCTTATTGTCGCAATGTTGTGCTATTCAAATCTTCACTGTAACCCACATTTCCTCGACATTTCCAGCTCCACCCGGGATGATCCCAGTGACGGCGATGGGTGGCGGGTTCTTTGTGGCCGCAAACGGTCAACAAATATTAGGCCATCAAATTGCTCCGCCAGCAACTCTCCACCATCATCCGATGCAGCAAACGAATCACTATTTCACCCAAAATGTTCACGATGCACATGACGATTCGTCGGAAGAGCACGGTGAAAGAGTTTGCATGTTAATGACTCTAAATCAAGCGTCCGTTGCTTTACAATTAGAATTCCATGCTCGTTAAGTTTTAACTTGACACTAATCTTTTTAAAGCCTTTTTAAGGCCGCTCTTTTGCACAGATGAGCTGACCTCCAAACCTTTAAGTATTGAGTGCTCACAGAATTTGTTTCCGATTTGATTTCGAGACTCTTCAATTCTTCTTCAATTCAATTCAAGGCGCTTCAACCCCTCGAGACCGTAGCAGTAACTGTAATTTCGAAACGCAAACCATCTTGCTATTGAACTAGAAATTGGGTAGCTAATTTTATCAATCTTGAAACTCAGATTTTTAAACTAGATTTCAGCCAAGTTCTAAGTTAAAGCGTTTGACTATAGTTTAAAAAATTTTTTACCTGCATAAAATCCATTAACAGTACAATAAAATCCATCAACATGAAATTTGCAGGTCGTTCCCCATCTCCTCCATTGTCTGAGGGAGACGGTGAAGGGCTCACCGCTCTCCAAGCCCAACACCGATCGAGAAGCAAAATGCACGAGATGGCTGTCAGGCAAAAGCTCATCACAGATCAGGTAGCAAGTTTTAAGAAAACAACGACTTGAAACTTAAGCGTAAGCTTTGAGCGATAGAAACCCTGATGTGAGCCTTGTATTGTTGCTTACATAGTGAGCAAATCGTCGCCAAAATTGAAACCCCGTTTTTTTAACCGACTGACTTTAGGACTCGCGGAGCTCCGGTTGTGTTCAATTGTCATCCGAAGAGAAAAGGACACTTGTGCAAGTGAGTATTGTTTGAAAAAGTAAAAAAAACCTTACAAATTTTAGGAAGGCTACTCGATTCCCCAGAAGTTTCCATTAACAAAATCGGAAGAGGAAGCACTGAAGGTTGTTCGTCGAAAGATCAAGAATAAAGTGAGTTTCAAGCTAAGTTCAACGCTTTAAGTTCGCTGTTAATAGAAGGGATAAGTGGATAAATCTGAAGAAATGCCATCACTGAACTTACTCCAAAATTTGCAGCTCTCCGCTCAAGAGTCCCGTCGGAAACGCAAAGAATACATGGATTCTCTGGAGCAACGCGTGCAACTTTACTTCAACGAGAATCAGCAATTGAGACACAAAATGAAACAGTTGGAGGTGGGGTGATTGAGTGATTCTGAATTACATTTATCAATTGTAATTCTAGTTTATTTCATGAACGAAAAGCCATTTCAGAATAAGAGTCATTTTCTCAAATGAAATGAAACATTCATTTTGAATTCACATTGTTTCAATTCATGAAAAGTTTCAAGTTTAACCACATTAATTCATCAGATATTAATGTAATGTGTCGAGATAGTTAGCCTGATCAATAGCGTATGCTTCGATAGTCGATAGTCGAAAAAGTTGACACGTTTTAGAAAACGGATTAGAGGATTTTCTCTTGAGTTAAAAAAAACCCTTGAAACCAAGTGCTCAAGTGCTTTTCTAAAACACAGCATTTCATCAAAGCTACCGTAATCCAAAGTCAATCCTTGCATCACCCGATTTCCAGATGTCCAATCGTGGTCTCCTTTCTCGTCTCAAGCAATTGGAGGCGATTGTGGCGCCAAACGGGCAAATTCTGGACGACGGAATGGTCATGTAAACGGCTCATTTTGAGCTAAACCGAGATCAGGAACTTTGACCTGGTGAAATTGGATAAGTTATTTATTTGTCTATGTATTTGATAATTTATTTCTTGTTAACTTATTCGCGTTTTTTGATAATTTGTCTTTATGAGTGAGGACCGAGACGAACACTTTGGGGAATTTGTGTTTTTGTGTGTTTCTAGTTTCAGGCAGCTAGTTTCAAACTCGTTGACTAATGAACAAAAGTTCGAAATGTAATTATTTGAAGCAAATTCCCAAATTGAACTTAAAAATTTGACTTCAAATTTAAGATTTTTTGTTAAAGGTAATCGTAATTTGAAACTAGCTGCATTCTTTGAAACTTTCTTCTTCATTTACTTGTATCCTTTTCCCCTTTTCCCATTTTCCCCTTTTCATCCTTTTCCCCTTTTCCCAGCCTGGTCAAGAAGTCAGCTTAAGTATCATGCGTAACAAAGCTTATCGATTGATTGAATATCTTGAGATTCATGTCGAAATTGAAATTACATTCAACCAAGATGACAATTCAACCCAAACTTTAGCCAACAATAGCTTAATCTGCTTGCTTTGCTGGGTCCGAACCGAAAGAATTATTTTCTAATTAACCACTGTCAACCAACCAAACTTGAAACCGCAATTATCAGCTCAGTAAGCTGATTTAGCTGAAGATCTGAGAATTTGCCGAAAATCTTCGCCTATTCCCGCAAAGCATCAGTGCAAATAGGCTCACCTACAGTTATAGTCTAGAGTTTAGCTAAATATGTATATTGAAGATCCTTTAAAGCCACAATTTCCGCCTGAATTCTCGAAGTGAAGTTAAAGAAACGCAGTCTTGTCAACTGAATACTTTTCTAATTAAATTTAAGTTTAGCTTATAGTTAAGCTGTTAAGCTGATTCTTGATCGAATGTTTCCATTTTCCCCCTAAAAAGTGTTTGATTTCTCGGCCCTCATCTCACACAAGGTCTGCTTGATCCGATGCGTGTATCTTTTTTTGAAAACCGTTTATAAGATTTGAAACTTTCTAATATTATTTTATTAATCTTAAGGATTGCAATGCACTTTTTTTTTAATGTTTTTGGCTTAACCAATCAAATTCCAAACTCACTTTCGTTTAAAAACATTTTTGAAACTTAAAAATTCTCTTTTTTCCACAAATCCCTAATCCTTTTTGAGATTCTATTCATTAAAATGTTTCAAATGTTTTCAAAATTCTGTGTCATTTCGAAAAATGAATATATTTTCTCTTCTGTGATGAAATTTTTCCGTTTGCCTTTGGAACTTTGTTGCAATTTTCCATCAAAAATTGAACCTGTGATTGAAAGTTTTTTAGGTTTTTTTTTGCTTTTATTATTTCTGAGATGATCTTCATCTTTTCTAAAGTTTTAAATTTACAAATTTATTTTTAAAATTTTATGTTTCATCTTTTTTTTTGATAGAATGATGACTAGGGATTTGTAGTTGGGTCAGTCAAAGTTTCCTATGTTTTCTAAATTTTTATCTAAACCTTTTTTCGCAAAGAAATTTTCTTTTGCATTTTTAAATGAATTTAAATTTGATTGAAAGCATTCGTTTTGTTGAAAGAATAAATGGCGAAAAAAACACAGAAATTTGACCCTTAAGATACATGATGCACTCTGGGCTCCCCGAAGCCCGTAAACACCCCCTTTCTGGCGCACTCATTTCTTCCATTTCCCAATGACACCAATTCATTGCGGGGGAAAATGAAAGAATTGAGTGCGTCAGAAAGGGGGTGTTTACATCGATTGTGAGCCAAAGTACGCGTCGAATTCATTCTTTAATTAACCTTTAATTCGTTTCCTGTAAAAGTTCAAGTTGAAACGAAGTTGTCTTGAACGTCAATGTTCTTGGGGAAATGATTACAACATGTACAACATGTACATCATGTACATCATGTACAACATGTTACAACATGTGAATTTCTAAACCTCTATGTGTCAACTGAGATTTTTCTCGATCACAGCACAAGTATGGTGCTCATTAACGTACGAGAATCTCAAAAAACTTTGCAAAAGTTGAAACCCCTTTTGCACAAATTTTCTTTGGAGTGAATTTTTTCTATTAGCTTCTGTCAGCAAGTGGTTCTTTGAGCGGAAAACAGATATCCCTAAAATAGTAATATTATTTCCAGAATAGGTAAAAGATATCCAATCAAGGACTTATAAGGGAGCATCAGACCAAAATTATCATAACTACGAAATTTGCAATTTGCCATTTGCATACCTGCATTTCTCTGGATCCATTCAATCCACCACCAACCGAACCTATGCTGGTTTGTTCAATGAAAGCTCGAAGCCATACCATATTCTCCAAATTAGCATATCTCCTATCCCAATTACCATTTAATCCTCCTTGAAATAACCTCCTTTCCCCCACTTCTCTATCGTTTTCCTATTCTCTATTCTCTATTTTCTTTCCGAATAAATGTTTTACTTACAAGATGGAAAAGTAAGGATTTCTTTTTGATTTGATTATTTTCTTAACTCGAAAGTCTTATCTCAAGTCTTAGACTTTGTTAATTTGACTCAATCAAGCTCTACAGTACCCAATGTACGTCATTAGTGTCACTAGTCAAAGTGTTCTTTACTTAGTACTGTAGTCTAGGCACTGTAACATAAGTAGTATTTATTCTACAGTACCCAGGCTGTGTCCGGTACAGTACTACAGTCTGCAGTGCCTAATAGTATAAGTATTACAGCTAAGAAACTAGTATTGGCAGTGCCCAACCACAATAGACTTATCGGGAGTACTTTGTGCTCTCAAAAATGCTCAAAGCTTTTCTGGTGCCTTGATATCCTGCCAGTAAGACTGCCAGTAAGGGCGTGTTTCCATTTCTCAGCACAAAGTACATCACAAAGCCAGGCTACTCCAGGCTACTATGGCGATACCGTAATCCTCTCATGCTACAGTTTGAGTATACTTTAGCAAATTTACTATATAGAAACTTGAAGCTAATCATGGATTAATTCTCAATTTTCTGATTGTGGGGAGTCGATGGCAAGTGTTTGAGCTTTTGGGGAAAGGGTCGTGGGGAGCCGTGCATCGAGTCGTCGATGTCAACAAACGGGGCATCGAAGCGGCACTCAAAGTGGGCATTTGGATTGGACTTTGAGTAAAAGCTTAGTTATATGTTACTTTCTTTAATTCCAGGTCGAAAGCACCGAAACCGAGGATAACGGAGTACTGAAGTTGGAGGTTGAGAGACTTTTCTATTCAAAACTTTTTCTCTTTTAGGTAGAGGTGATGAAGAAGCTGACAAAACGACCGCACACCATTCGCTTTTTCGATGCCGGGAAGCGCTCGAAATATTCGTGAGAAAATTAGCTAGATTTTTGCCTTGGCGTGTACATCGTCAATAGTTGGTTCTTTTTTCAGCTACTTGACAATGTCGTTGTGCGGTCGGGATTTGGCGACACTCAAGAAATCGCTGCATAGAGGAAAAGATGGGAATCCGCCGGGATTCTCGCACTCGACCACTCTTCGCATTGCCGTCTTTGGACTCTACGCCCTCAAACAGGTTAAATCATTTTTGAAAATAGACTCTAAAGGATCAGTCTTGTTACAATATGTCGATATTCTGCTTTTTTGTCGGTTTTTGATAGATACCGTAGCTTTGGCATTGTAGAATGGGCATACTGTAGCTTAGCTACTGTAGAAGACTAATTACCGTACATAGCTACTGTAAGATACTGTACTGTAGTGCAATGTATGATAGGTATTATCTATTTTCTTTTTTTTCAGTTGCACGAGGTCGGCTACGTGCACCGCGATGTGAAACCGGCAAATTGGGTGATTGGGCTAAGGGGACGCGATCGAAAGTGCGTCTATCTCATCGATTACGGTACCTAAATTACTATGGCTATTGTAAGATTACGATAGATTACTTTAACCATTTTGAGACTGCGATAGATTACGGTAGCTTTTTGGGACTGAGATTAGTGTCTTGAATTTCATTCTCGCTCCATTTTTTCTTTCAGGAATGGCTCGCGCTTATGTGACAAAGGACAAAAGCGGAAAAGAGATCCTACGAAAGCCCCGACACAAAGCTCTGCTGAGGGGAACAATCAGGTAAAACCTTAGACACTTTTTTGCCGTAATCCGCCTTTCCCCCGTTTTTTCAGATTCGTCTCTATGAATGTGCACAATCGGGGCGAGCAGGGACGAGTCGACGATTTGTGGGCTCTTCTGTATTCCCTTGGACATCTTTGTGAGGCGGGATTACCTTGGAGTGGTGACAAGGTGAGCCGATTTCAGACTTCACCTTGAATCATCCTTTAGGAAGAGAATGACATTAAAGAGAAGAAGGGACAACGCGATCAAGAGGTTTTTAAAGTGAGAATTTGAGAATATTCTAGACAAACCGCCGTAATCATTTGATTTTCATTTGATCAACCCAATTTTGGTATCATTGACCGAAATAGGTGCGATTCGGGAAATGGATTAATCAAGAATACAATCTAAATCGTGTGCTAACCTTTTTCTCATTTAGAACTGTCCGATCGAGTTCGTTGGGGTGGCGAAAATGTTGCGCACTCTCGGCTACGAGCATCGCCCCGATTACGCGAAGATCTACGAGACGGTGGGGATTTGAAATTTGCATTCTAAGTACAGAAATTTACAACCTTGATCTAATTTTTATTTTGTATCAAGAATTTCCTGTGTGTTTCCAATTTTCTCCTTTCTTTTCAGCTCATTGAAGGGATCGACCGGCTCGCCGCAAATTTCAGCGATCCGTACGATTGGGAGCAAAATCAGGTCCGGATTTTTTAGGGTTTTGAGTTAATTGATGGATAAGTTTTTGAATTTACAACTATTTTTCGTTTAGTCTTGTCCATTTCCGACATTTCTTCCTTTTTTTAGTTGCCCTCCCCAGTGCAGACGTGCTACGAAATGTCAGTGCGCGAGCGCGCCACGCATCGACCGATCACACGTGAGGAGCTTTGTTTCATGGTTAGAAAGCTGACTTTTGAGGCACAATGCAGTAGTTAGTAGCTCATGGGGATACTGTGGACAAGATGTGTTTTCTAAAACGTGTCCCTTTCTCTTTCTACCGTCATCTTATCTCTATTTTTTATCCAATCTATCAACTTTTTGTCTGATTCTGTGAAGAATTTTTCTGATTTTTTTGTCTGATTCACAAAAGATATCGAAAGATACAAAAAGTGGATAGATTAGATAGAAATAGAGACAACATTACGGTAGTTTCGAGAAAGAGGATGTCTTTTAGGAAACGAGTTAAAGTCTACAGTATCACGGTACTTCTGCAGCTTGTTTAGAGTTCAATAGCACTGACATTCAGCTAGAAAATTGATTCCAGTTGGATAGCGTAATATTGTACTGTACTCTTCAATGCAAATTTCAAGATAAACCTAGAATTTTTGGAATTTTTTGAACTTTCCATCAAGATTTTGTCATTTTCAGAACGCGAGCTCGATTTTCAAAGTTTTCCGCAGACGCTCCCCGCCTCGTTCAAACAGACTGACATGAAAATTTGAAAAGCATGACAAGAATATCTTTTTTGTCTTATTTTTGGGAAATACATTTGAATTTGCATAAAATTCAGCTTTAATCCGAAAGTAGAATCAAGTTTACCCGAAAAATTTGTCTTTCCGCATTTCCGGGTGCTTTTTTTGCTTCAGGTCCATTGAAAATGCATAGTCGAACTGGAGAAACTCGGAAATTTGAGAAAAAGGAGAAAATATTTTGAAATTGAGACACTTTTTTGGTTCTTGAGTTGAGATTCTTTTGATAAACAAGTGCTAGAGTCTATTTTTTTCACTTTTGATAATGAATTGAGGTAAAAAGAAGCAATTCGATCAAAATTGTTACTTCTAAGGAGAAGAGGGTTATTTTAAACTTTAAAATTTTCTTCTTAAATATCTTCTTTGAGTTCTAAGTTTGTGAGAACTTAAATTTGCATCATTTCTTCAATTTCATTTTTTACTGACATCAAGAAAAAATATCGAGTTTCAAAATAACTGATTACAGGAAGCTTTCACGGTCACGAATAACTCCCATCCGTCTAGAGGCTTAAAAAAGTGTTAGTATCAATTAAGTGACATCAAATTAAAATGCTAAACTTACTTGTTAACCATTTAAAATCTAGTTGCAAATCTAACGCTTACTCAGAAATTTGCGCAGACTAAAGATAAGCAGAAGAAATTTTCGAGCTGAGAAAAGAATTATCGATTCTGAGCAGAAAAAAAGTTAAGTTTCAAAATTGCTCACTTCACAAAGCTTTCACGAGCAGCAATCGCAACTATTTTCACATTTGATTTACCGTTTCCTATACGCAAGCTCAGGATATAAAGTTTTGCAGTTTAAATTTTGAAAACCAAAAAGTTTTAAACGATTTGCATGCACTTGACTACTAAAAGTTAAATTTAAATCTAGTCAATTACAAGAAATCTTTACGATCTCTAATTATTCTTTCTTATTATTGAATACTGATCAATATACACTTCTAGAAAAAATGCTCAAAAATTTGATTCCCGAGCCGGATCTGAGTTTCGATGGGATTCCGCTGTATCCCGAATTCCTCCCGTGTCTCCAAATTTTGCGTCGCAAATCGCGGGGTCGTGGAAAGAATACACAACTGCCTTTCGTCTTTCGCAGGTTTCAACATTTTCTAAAGCAAATATTTAAGGGAATTCGTTGATTTCTCAAAGTTTCGGTGAATTTACCATGAGATAATGCCCGAAATTAGATCTTGTAATCATTGCGCTCTCCGAATCCGTAAACATCCCCTTTCTGGTGCACTCAATTCTTCCATTTTCCCTCGTGACACCAAATCTTTGCTGTGAGGGGAAAATGGAAGAATTGCAGCGCGCCAGGAAAGGAATTGTTTATGGGATTCTGAGAGCAGTAAGTACATCACGAAGAAAAAGTTGAAGATTGGCACTTAAAATCTCAAAGGTGCTATCACTAAAGCTTGACTTCTTGGCTGGAAAACCTTCAAGTTGAAACCTGACTTTTAGGGCTCTCATGTATAGGGTTATATCATAGATTATATGGACTCTCATAGAATTATATAATATTTTCGAAACTTTATTAAGATTTTCTATAAGTTTCAGAGTTAGACATGAGACAAATCACCTTAAAAATCTCAAAAAAACATTTAGATTTTACAAAAACGAGGAAGAGATGATGACGAGTGCCGAGTTCGACATCGATGGTCGGTCAAAACATTCAACTAAACATTATTAGCAATCAATTTTTAAAAATTCTTGGATATCGATACTGAGATTGCTAAAGAAGCCAAATGAAAAATCAATATTTTTCTTGTTCTTCTTCACTATTTTTACTTTCAAAGTGACTTGAAATGGGAAAACTGCACGAGTTTCTTTTGGGTTGAAGAAAATTCGAGTTTGGAAGCAAACGAGCTTGCGCAACTTTGGCGTTTAATAATTTTTCTTCTCTTTTCCTATGAATTGATAAAAGCTGTTTAGTCTTTTTTGAATCCTTTTGGAATTGAGACTTTTTAGATGAATTCAAATCTTCACCTTTTAAGCTAAAAAAGCTTTTTACGTTGATAAAAAATTTAGTTTCAAAATTGGGAAGTTTAGAAAGCTTTGGCCTGGCTAATGCTGCTTTCAGTTGCTTCATTTGTGCTCAAAAACGAGAGCATTTTGTGTCAGAAATGTTTAATATCACTAAATCAAACACACTTGGAACATTAAAATCTAAAAATCACTTTAATAGACTAGACTTTTCTTAATTTTCCTGAGGAATCGCGCAAAAAAAGGGCTCCAGAAATGGTCACAAATTGGGCCCCGGGGGGTTCGGCGGGGGCTAAAAAGGGCCAAAAACGAGGAAAAACGTTGTGCACTCCCGGAAAATCCCACAATTTCTCTTGGCTTTTTGTTCATTCGTCAAACGACTTTTTTGGATTTTTCGAGTTTGGCAACAAAAAAAAGGAGATTCCGGGTTTCAAGAAAGTTTGTGAGTTCATTTGGGAGTTCTCCAAAATGGCTGACTGCATTTTTTTCAACTGTGATGCTCAGAAATTTGTTTTTAGAATATTCTTTAAGGCCATGGGAATACTAAAATCGATTTGTAATGAATTAAGTCCGTCAACTTGAAACTTCACTTTTTTTTCTTAATGAAATTTTCCTTTCAAGGGTTACAGATATATTTTAAACCGATTTATATGCTTTCAAAGCTGAATCACTTAAAATTAGAATAAGATTGTAATGAAACATGCTTGAAACTTACTTTTTTTGTTTCTTTGGTTAGACTTTCAATTTACATCAAAACCTGGTGGTCAGATTTTAAATTTTTTTTGCCACAAAAACAGCGACAGAATTATTGACTAAAGGAAATTTGTAATCGAAGCGTTCAACTTGAAATCTTAGTTTTTCCATCGCACTTTCAATTCACTTTAACTAAAAGTATTCCTATCACTAAACCCAAAGTTTAACCCAAGTTACCCCAAAGTTAAGAAGACTTTTTCAAGTTCTCAATTCAAGAATCGGTCAAAAAAATTGCAACAAAAATCTCAATTAAAAAAAGCTTGAAAAGACTGCTTTTTTCTCTCACAGTCACATGAAAGTCAAAGAAATTTGTAGCCACAAATTGGGTGCCAATTTTCTCAAGTTTTTTGCTTCAAAAGCAACAATTTTTTGAGATTCTAAATGTTTCTAATAATAAGCTCACTTGAAATCATTTCATTAGAAAATCAGAAATTTTTTGAAGTTTCAAATTGGATGGTAAGAAATAACTGGCATTGACACTCTCTTCCAATGTACTCGACTTTTTGCTCTCCGAATCCCTTAAACACTTCCTGGCGCACTCAATTCTTCCCTTTTCCCCGTGACACCAAATCGTTGTTGTGAGGGGGAAATTGAAGAAATAAGTGAGCCAGAAATGGGGTGTTTACAAGATTTTGAGAGCCCAGAGTACAGTCTAGCAATGACCTGCTTTGTTTTTCTTTTCAAATCCCTTTGAAACTTGATCTTGTCTATTTGTTGGGAATTTGAGTGATTCTCTCACCTTGTCCCCTCAGCAGATCTCAAATTCGAACACCCAAAACGACAGCTGACTGCTGACTGCGGAGAGAAAATCTCTCATTGAAATTTACTTCCTTTTTGATTTCATTGGTCTTTTGAAACTAATTTTTATCGGTTAACATATTTGTTTTTGAAATTTGCATATTGAGCATTAAAGGTGATAGTTCTTTTGATTTTCTTGTCATGATCAGTCCACTGCTTTGTCCTTTGAAACATTCATTCCGCTTTTCGCTTTTTGGTTGAATGTCATACTTCTCGATACAATTCAATTACACTAGCCGTATCTAAAAATTAACATACTATGCAAATGGAAAGCAGTTAAAAAATGACTAAGGAACAGTAGCTAAATAATCGCATATTCAATTGGGTACTAATCTTTTCGAAGGCCCTGGAACCACCTATTAACTGGCCATTGCAACATTTGACCATCTCAAATTTGAAACTTGAAGTTTATTTAGATTCTTGTCTCAGTAGGAATCAAATGCGCCCCTCCTAAAGAAGCGGTTCTCTAAAACACATCCCTTTCTTTTCTACCGTAATCTAGTCCTATTTTTTATCTAATCTATCCACTCTTTGTATCTTTCGAATCCTCGGAGAATAATGTAAAAAATTAGATAAATTGGATAAAACTGAAAGCATTACGATAGTTGACACGTTTTTAAGATCGAACAAGGTAGATCAAAACCAACCGTGATCATCGTTTTGACCATTTGCGTTGTCTTAGGCGGGTGGTTCGGGAAGCTAGTCGGATTTGGAGGTTCTTGTCGTTGTTGCCGTTCTCTAAAACACATCCCTTTTCTTTTCTACCGTAACCTTGTCTCTATTTTTATCGAATCTATTCAATTTTTGTATGTTTCGAATCCTTTGTGAACCCTCACAAAAAGTGGATCGATTGAATAAAGACAGAGACAAGATTACGTTTGAAAGGGGACACGTTTTAGAAAACGATCTAGCTATGATGACGAGCACAATCAAATTTAATCCATTCTTTCAAATATGCTGAATTTATGAGCCCTCTTTTATCAACTGCTCTCTTTTCTACCATTCACTCGCTGACAAGCTTGAAATTTGTTCCTTTTCACGAAAGGTTCAGCCAAATTGTTCAAATTTCGCCACTTCAAATCCAGAGCAAAATTTCTGAATGAAGTGGACTCCCAAAAGTGGATTTTTTTGGAATTTTTGAAATTTTTCGCCGTTGTTCTGAAGTGTCTCTTCAATCGGCGAAAAAAACGGAAGAAATTCAGAAAACCCAAAAACCCGAAAAAAAGCGGGAACCTTTCGGAAGCATTTAGGAAGAATTTGGTCCCGAGAAATCCCCGAAATTTGGTCGATTTGCTCGCGGAGGAAAGAATATGTTCAAATTTTGGGATTTCGGCGCAAACGAGGTGCATCCATGCAGATTCAGGCGCTAAACTGCCTGAAAAACGGAGAAAAGGTGGAAAAGAAAAAATGTTTAAAAAGGGGTAAAAAGAACACGAAAATGCGGTGGTAAAGGGGCAAAAATGGGCTTTTTTCGTTTTTTTTTCGTTTTGGCCAAAGTGTCCGGGGAATTCGGGGATAAGTGCGTCACCGGAGAAAAACGAAAAAGAAGAAGAACAAAATGAATAACTCTAAAATTTTCTCTGAACTCTTCGTTGATTTTGAATTATTTGAACGTTAAAATTCAAATTTTAAGATTTTCAATAAAAATTTGACATTTTAGGGGACTTTTTGAAGATTTTATTGCATTTTTTAAGCGAAGTCACTTTTTTTTATCTCATGTTTCAAGTTGGATAATTTATAATTGGAAAAATTTGTCAATAATGTCAATAATCCTTCTTCTATCCATTTTGCTAGATTTACGCTAGATCTAAATAGAATTCAAACTCGAAAATTGAACTGAAAATTGATCTAGTTTCAAATTTCTCATAGTAAAACTTGTTTCCGATCCAGTAATATTATAGCTTTTCTTATCGCAAACCTAAAAGATCAAAAATGACATGATCCATTAATGTTTTCTCGAAGGATAAGCTGAAGTAGGAAAGGGAAAGGGCAAAGAAAGAAGTCGAATTATATCTCACATCATTTTCTCTCAAGTAGATCCCTTCTTTTCCTTTCTCTTTCCCCCATCTAACCCCTTCTATAACATCATCAATTTTCTCACCTTTCGCCCTAGAAAAAGCTCCAAAAATATGAGCATTCTGCATAAAAATATCTTATTTTATCTAATTTTTACTTTTGCTTTTTCTGAGAGACCCATTCCAGACGAACTACCGTAATTCGCCCGCCATTTTTCATTGAATCAGCCCAACTTTGGTATCATTCAATGAGGAATCAAAAGGCTCAGTCAATGATACCAAAATTGGGCTGACCAAAGGGAAACTGGCGAGTGGATTACGGTAGTTTGTCTAAATTAGCTGCTTCTTAGGAAACAGATTAGCTAAGAGCGCTCTGAAATTCTCAAGTTTCAAATTAATCATCGTTAAGTCCTACAGTCATCCGGGAGTGAGATAAAAATTCAAATCTTTTATCTTTTTGCATTATTTTGAAATATTCGATTCAAATTCGCATAGCTTTTGACAGTTAATTGAAGTTTAAGCAGTTCATTTTCCAATATTTTTGACTTTTGGAATTCTTTCACAGCTGGAGATGTGCAAGCTCGCTCAAAACATATGTACAGTACTGGACAATGAAATATGATATTTGAAAAACGATCGTCACTTTCGCACGTCTGTAACTCCCTTGTCTTTGAGTTTAAACTATTATTGTTTTACATTTCCTGAAAGCTCTTTTCAAGGGCTACACAATGGTAATATTAATATTTAGAAATATGGTAAAGACAAGGGAGTTACAGACGCGCGAAAGGGATGATCTTTTTGCAAATATGATAATTCATTGTCCAGTAGTGTATGTCAAAACTTGCAAAGCCCAATTCAAGTACAAACAGTCATTCTCGATTTCCAAACAATTCCTACTCATTTTCCAATTAAAAACATCTTTCGCGATTCTGAATCGAATCTCTAATCCCCGAAGACTCCGAAGAAAGAAAAGCAAAAGAAAGAAAGCAGATTGTGGGCGTCAATGAGTTTCCCCCTTTTTTCACTTCAAAAGATTTGAAACCAGAAAAGAGATATCAAAAAAGAAAAAAATGAAGAAAAGGAGGGATTTTCTGGCGGGGCACTGACACCTCGAAGCAGAAAAAAAAACGGGGGAAATCAAGAAATTGAGAGAATTGATTCAGAAAATCTTGACTCTCTTGGGGATTTTTGGTTCTCTTTTCACTAAATCATTTTAAATTTAAGAATTTTTCTTTCAAAATAATCAATTACAAGTTGATTGTTTAGTTGAAACAATTGTAACAAAAGATGAAATGAAATTTCTGTTTTCAGTCTTGTTGTGCCTCTTTTATCTCGTCGCACGCTTTCGCTGTGCTTTTCAATTTCTTGTTTCACATAGAGCGCTTTTCATGGCAGTAACGATAAATCTTATAAAATTAGCTGGTTAAAATTTCTACCGCTAAACGTCATCCTCGACGCGATCTTTGAAAAGAACTCTGGAGAATCTCCAAAACATTCTTTATCGTCGAATTTATTTCGTTTGGTTTGTAAAGCAGATGGTGGTTGGTTTCTAAGCTATTTTTCGGATACAATGTACAAGGAATTGTTCATAGGGCATCTATGATTGGAAACAAGCCTAACCATTGAAGCTCCAAAGATCGTACCCAACTACTGATCCCAAAATGACCCTGGCCCAAAATGAAACCCATTTACCTACCTATTATTCATGAAACGGCTAACTGATAAGTCCCAGACGTTCAGCTTTTGAAATTTGGTTATTTAGCAAAGTTAAGAAAAAAACTTCAGTTTCAAAGTGTGATTTCATGAAATGATTCCCGTTTTGTCCTTTTGTAAAGTATTCTCATAAAATAATCATAAGTAATCATAAAATGATTCCCATTTTGAGATTTTTACAGCTTCTCATTGTCAGAAACTTTCTAACTCTTTTTTACAGCACCAGATATTTTTCATATTTCACAATCCATTTCAAAAACCTAGTTTCAACATACGCCACTCTCAAGAAGTATTCGAGTTTCTAATAAAGCAATCAATAATCATTGTTTACCATTGATTTTTGCTTTGCTACAATCTTAGCTCAGTAGTTTGCAATTTCCCACACACCTCTCAAACTCTCAAAACTGTGCTCTCAAACAAAAAGGATGTTTTGTTTCATTCTTATTGTTTCACTCATTTTTCTTGTTTCATTTTCTCAGAAAGGTGAATCCAATTAATTGGGTATTCATTTATCTTTCTCAAAACGTGACTAGAGATTCTAAAACACTAAAACACACTAAAACACAAAATGGCACGTTTGAAAGATAAATTTTGAATACTCAGAGATATTCAAAAAAAAGCTTGTTTCAAAATAATGAACCATTTATCGAAATTTTGATTACCAGTCGGACAGTGTTTTCCTCTCGTTCACTATTCACAATTGAGTTTACGGCAGCTTGTTTCCATTTCCGTTTACAGCGAAATTTTAGCACTCACTTCAAGCAATCACAGTTTAATTTACGGTAAAAATGCTTATATCAAAAAAGTTCGGTTTCAAAATGATCAACCTAAATGCGAAGTTATAATGCGGAATAATGAGGGAACGTGATATTCCATTCAAATGCATAGATATCCACTTGGCCTTATCACTTGCCATAAATACCATTTTTATATTGATTAGACTAATCAAAAGCTCAGTTCAATGAAATATTCAAGAAATAAATTCAGGATTTGTCATTTTGCTGTTAAAATTTGATCCACTTATCCAAAGCAAAACACATTTTTTACCAAGATTACCGAAAACTAATGAGTACCACCCTCAATCTCTACCTAACAAATATTCTTTAGATAAAAAGTTAGAATCACGAGATTATCCCCACCCCCAAAATATCCGTGATTTGTTTTTTTGGCATTTCAACAGGAAAACTAATTAATGGAGAAGTGTAGTTGGAGATGACTTTGAGGGGTACTCACACAAAATATGATTTCTGTAAAAAGTACTATTGTTTATGTTGTTTATCACTAACAGAGATGTGCCTAATTGGTCCACGGATCTTTTGACCAGGTCAGACCAAGGCCTTCACCCTAATCTCTGAATGTAGAGCCCGGTTCGAACTGGCCTAAACTAACCTGAACTCCAACCAGACCTAGTCCCGTGTTCGAACCGCGTCCTGGGCCTGTAAGCCAGGTTAAAATCAGGCCATTGATTGAAATTAATTGACAGAAAAATTGATAGGAAGTTCGAGCAGACAGCACATTGACAATCCAGTTATGGAAACGCAACGCTTTACTTTGAAACAAGAATGTTTACTTTCAATGTTCACCTCAATTATATTCAGATCCGTGTGTAATAAAATTAGCAGGGCACTCTATTTTGATCAATTGTCCATGAAATAGTTGAATTGTACTTGAAAATCAAATTAAGCCATATTTGAAAACCTAGGTTTCAAATTTATTCAAGTTTACTCTGATTGAGTGATTCCAAAGCTTGCGATTTTCTTTCAAAAATTAAGTTTCCCCTCTCAATCAGTGACCCACAAACATTTTGTGATCGCTATTGTCTTATTTTGAAAAAAGGACATGATTTTTATTTGATAAGGCTTTGCATCGGTAATGTGAACGGCGGGAATGCACTGTTTTCCCCAATTGACCCATTGATATCAGAATATATTCAAATATTGCACTGTTCATAATGTGCACTCTTTAAGCTTTTGAAACAGTATTTGTCTTGTTTAGAAAACTGTAATTAATCTCAATTTTTAGTGGTTGATCCGCTTTGAGAATATTTTGACAATCATGTTACAAAGAAAGCAACTTTAAAACGTAGCTTTAGTTTATTGATCCGAAAGAATCTAGTTGTACATTTAAATAAAAAATGTTTATATTTATTAGCTTTTTTAACAAAAGCTATAAATTCGTCAAAAACGTTGAGCTCAGCGAAAATTCTCTACACGGGTAGATTCTGTTGAACTATACGAAATTTCATCGCTCGAGGGGTCGAACCCGGATGGGCTCGATCGAGAGACAACAGCGCTAGCCACTAGGCCGAGCGGGACTCCCGGGAAAGGTGTCAGAAATCGACTTATTTTGAGCCTTGAATGCTTTTGAAAGTAACGACAATCATGTTTCAAAGTAATGAAGTTGAAAAGAGAGATCTTTAGTATCTTTTTAAGCTATTTTAATAGTTTCTAAGCAAATTTTCTAAAAAAATAAGCAATTGGTCAGTTTTTCCAAAAAAAACTAGAACTTTTACGTGTTTTGTTGGCATAAGCCTGTCTTTTCACCGCAATCCCTACTTTTACAACTTCATTACTTTGAAATTACTTCATTACTTCATTACTTCATTACTTCATTTTCATTATCGAAATTAGTGCAAAATAGAAATGGAGTATAGTAGAAAATCCGCAAAATTCGCTTAAAGTCAGCCTTTCTGAAAGAAATTAAGCAAATTTTTGAAAGAACTTATTCGCTTTTTTTAAAACTCTCCAAACTTTTGGGTGATCGAAGTTATGTTGGTGTATCCCTTTGACTGTCCTCCGCCTTTTTTTCTTCTTCTTTTCATCCAATTCACCACCGTAATTCGATTTCCGCGTCGATCACTTTACACAAGTCTCAGAAAGGCAAAAAAAGGAAGGGAAAGAGATCCAAAAATGGGGCGAAAAAGCACTAAAAAATGACAAAAACAAATCCATTTGTAGGGATTTTGATTGTTTATCCAAGTTAGGCATTTATTGTGTCTTTTTCATTTGTTCGCATTCATTTTTGCGGATTTTCTTTGGCATTGAAATCAAAAGTTACTTGTTGTTATTGTTTTACAACGCCTCCTAGTCTTCACTTGTCAATCTTATAAATTAACTCATCGATGAAAATTAGTACGACTTATTTCAGTTTCACACCGGTAAACTTGAAACTGCCAATTTTGCTAAGAAATTATCTAGCTTTTATTGATTTATAACTTTTGTTTTGATTTGCCAAATTGACGCTTTCTCTCACAAATTCAGCATGCGCTAAACAATAATCTTGAAAAGTTACGTGACAACAAGAGTAGTACACTCATTAACTTGAAACAATGATTTTAAAACACCAAAATATCCAGTGAGCTTTGTTCTAAAAAGGCTCAAAATCCTCAATTTTAACTTTTAATTGTTGATCAAAACTTTGAAATTCGCCAAATTTTTCATCTTTTCAAATTTCTTATCTTGTTGATTTCAGTAGTTGAGTATCGAGTCAATGAAATAGATCACCGAGATGGCTCTTCCCAATTTGACCTCACCAAACTTGAGACATATTTTGAAAAAAAATTCTCTTTGAGAGCTTCTAAAAAAAATTTGAAGTACATGCGTTAGTCTAAGCAAATATCTTGCTCATTTTTTAGTATTTTTGGCGCTTTTGGGTGGAGTTTATTTGTGAAGGAAGCACATCTGAAATTAAATTAATCTTAAATTAATGAAATTAAAAGTTGACCCTAAATTGACCGAGTTGACTCTAAATACATTGAAACTGATGATTTTTAAATTGAAAACTCAAACTTTTTTTGGGTAAATCAATTTCGGTATTTCTTTTGATTTGCATCACTCAATAATTTGCTAATTTTCTCCTTTTTCCCAACTTTACTTTGACGAAAATTTTGGAAATCGATCTAATTTGATGATTTCTCCCGTGTTCAAAGTCTGAAAAGTACACAGAAGGATCCTTTCGAGAAAATGAAAGGGAAATTTTTTGAAAATCGATTTATATCGCAAACTTACATATCTTTAGTTAATTTCTACAAATTCCAAACATTTTTCTTTACCTCATCTTGCTGCGTGTTTCACGAAAATAGAAATTCCCATTGGAACTCTTACACAAAAATCAGAACTGATCGTCACCCCATACAAAGTTAAAAAAAACCAAATTTCTTGAATTCCATTAGATTGAAAGTAGTTCTAGAGTTGAATCAATCCTCGAGAAATCCCCGACTTCCCCACGAATGAGATCATTTCCGTTTCTCGTTGATTCATTTTTCGGATTACTCCCACTCCGATTATCCCACAAAAATATCGCTAATCTCTTTCCAAATAATGGTTTCCTTTTTCTTTTGAATTGAATGAGTCCCAAATCTGTCTTCCACCCCAAAAGATGCCCGTGAAACACGGAAAATCCATCGGTAAATCATCGTTTGGAACATCTGTTATATCTGATATTTTAATTGCAAATACATCGTCAAACTCAACAGGATTAAGTTGAAGGTCCCGAATTTGATCTCGGACACTTTGAAACTTGTTTCCTCTTTCCCCCTTTTTTCACTCTTATCAGCTAATCCCGATTCGAAAAAAGGACATTTTGGGGTCATTTTTAAAGATTTTTCCCCTCAAAAAAGCTTATTAATCGTTAGAAGAAAGATGTTTTTGAAACTATTTTTTCGAGATAAGGCTTTGTTTTTCGAAAACCAAGCTTCTCTATTTTGAAACAAGATCTTGATTTTTCGGTTATTTAAATTCAAATTCATTCTAGCATTTAATCTTTAAATGTTAATTTTAAATGCAAATTATATTTAATCCAAATTTCTTTTAGAAATGACGCTGCAAAAGCAGAAAACGGTACGGATTTTGCTAATTGGCTCGGAGGGAGTCGGCAAATCGGCACTCATCTACAGATTTATCACAAAGGTAAGCAAGTTTGAACTTCAAAAATGCTGTACTCGTTTGTAGTTTGCATATAAAGTTTAAAATGAGGAAATGAACGATTCGAAAACTAGCTATGCATCGTATTATTTGCCTCGATGCGATAGGATTCATTGATTAACTATACGACGTATCATTTGACTGGCTCTTATTTAAAACATCATTTTTATTTTTCGCAAATCAAGCTGCTTTGTCGTTCTTTTTTTTCCTTCGTCGAATTATTTCTTAGTTTTTATCATCCAAACGGCGTTTAATTTGAAATATCGAAAAAATTTGTTCGATTTTTCACTTGAAAGCTAACTTCAGAGAGCTTTCGATGGAACGTCAGTCTTCGACGGTCACACAACACTGAATCTTGATGGGGAAACGATTAGGATAGAGGTCGTCGAATGGAAAAAGGTTTCTTTTTAATTTGACATTTTTAAATGTTAGTTGTACAGTCAATTCCGAATGGTTGACTTTTTTGAAACACATTTTTTACTTCAGTTTGACAAAACTTTATTCTAGGATATGGATTTGGGCAGTGAGCAGACGCTTTTCGACGCAGTTGCCATCATTTTCTCGACAACAGATCTATCCGTGAGCTCTTCCTTACAGTTCATTTCACTCCAGCAATTTTCAGAGTTTCGACTATGCCTGTGAAGTGCATCGATATACATTAGAACAACAGGTCAGTCGGTTCAATAATCAACCTCTTTCAGAGAAATCAACCCGGCTTTTAAGTCCTCACTGCTGTGTTTTGGATAATTGTAATTGGTTTTTATTCTTGTACAAAATATTTAGACTCAATCTTAAGACTAGCCATTCTTTCACTTCACAAATACCGTATTCTCTCTAATAGTAGTGCGCACTATTATTTTTTCAACCCCCTCCTACCGCAATACTATTAAAGAGTGCCCTACTATTAGAGAGAATACGGTAATATCACTTTGCATCCCTTTATAATTTTTGGAAATTCCGATTTCCAGGTCGGCATTCCAGCCCTGCTGATCGAGAGTAAAAGCGACAAATTGGAGGAGAGTGAAATGAATCGAGATGAAGTCCTCAATGTTATCAAAAGATCACACACTAAATTGTACAGGTAATTCGCGGAGATTCTTTAATGCTCTAAATTCAATTATTTTGGATTTCAATAATTGGATCCACTTATTAAAAATCAATTCTGATCTGGGTCCTGATCTGGCTAGGTTTTGCTGCAAGTTCGGTCTACAAAAGTGTACTTTGCTCTGGCCTGGATTCTTAAAATCTTGAAAGCTTCTTTATTGCTAGAAATTTAAAAGCACAACTTTTTCTAGGGTATCCGAGAAGGAAAACTTCAATGTAACGGCCGCTTTTGCCTACTTGGTCGAACAGGCGTTGCATGTGAGTTCATTTTAAAGTACAAAAAGAACTAACGAGAGTAAGGAGTATATTTGGCGGACAATGAACCGATTTATGGTTTAGAATTTTTTTTCAGTTAAAAGAACAAGATGGGACGAGGAGTCGCGTGGAAAAAGCGCTTGACAGTAGCTCGTGTGGAGAGAGTGTACAGGTGAGGTTCAATGTGGAAAAGCGAGCATTAGGAACTTGGTAATATTGTGAAACTGTTGACAGCGTTGCAAAAAGTTTTTAACCGAAATGTCCGAAGCAGCTTCAATTATCTGGTTTCAAAGTTGGGTTAATCGTGATAGTGATTGGCACTGAATGATCGATGGAGATCTAGAAAAACAATTCTTGAGTTTAATTCCAGTGTAATGTGTGCAGATTTTCGAAAGTTCAGACAAAAAGTTCCAAAAAGTTCGTTTAAAAAAGCTGAGTAGCCGTAAAGAATGGTAGAGAATAGTTTGAAATTTAAAAGTTTCAAAAAAGGTTAAAATTCTATTTTTAGGTAGACGAGGACAGCCGACCGAGTAGCGCGAAAATCGACCGAGAAAAGGGGAAAAAGTGTCGAATAATGTAATGAGGGAATTTTTCGAGAGAAAAATTCAAAAGAAATTTTTTGAAGAGAAATTTGTGCATACGAATAAACGGGAATTTCATCTGTTTACTGTAAAGTACAGCGATGCTTTAAAGAATGAGTTTCAATCTGGACAAGGTCTAATGGTTTAGGATAAAAGTTTAACGATAAAAACATAATATCATTTTTGCCTTCAATCATTCGAATTCGTATCAGAAACAACATTTCTTCTTCTTGTTGAAAAACGAGTTTGACTTCGTTTTAAAAGTCTTAGTTTCAATGTTAACAACCTCCTTAGTTCCATGTTAGTTCAAAAATAATTATTTTAAAAAACATTTGTTTCAATATATATTGGATTAAATGATAGTTTTGGGATCTCAATGCATGCTGCACATTATCCAGATTTCCTGTGCCTCGAAATCAAAAACACTGTTGCATAAATCCGTATTGGATCTAAAAAGGACTGTGTTGGAACCGTATTGGAGTCGTATTGGAATTTTAGGGATTTCCCTCAAATGTTTTATTTACAAGGTTAAGTTAGATCTTAGGTTTCAATTAAACAATCAATAAAAAAAATTGTGTTTCACTATTGAGTGAATCAATTTACTCGTTTTAAAAACGATGTTCCCCGAGCAACACAAATTAAACAAAGCAAATGATTTTGATTTAGAAACTTTAGTTTCAATGCAAACAAAGCCAAGACATTCAATGCGTAAAGAATCTACAAAACTTTATTAACAGATTGTTGGTTTTCAGAGGTAGTAGTGCTTGGATTTTCGCGAGAAAGTTGTTGATTTACAAATGAAAAGTTGTAGCATAAGAAAAAAGAGAAAAATAATTAATCTTTTCTTCATGGAATGAAATGGTCGATCGTCGAGTACTCTTGCTTGATTGCCTGCAATTTGTTGAAATTTGTTGAAATCCTTTCGTTACCTACTTTAATTTGGACTACCGGATAGGATACAGTATTCCTTGGTGTACTCTACTTTGCCACATTACTATAATGATATGGCAGTTACTAAAATAACACTGGCTAGTCTTGTTCTCTGTTATTGCAATCATTGCAGTTGTTATAGATATGTTTCAAAGGACTCGAGTTTGTTAATCTTCATAGACGGTTAATTTTTGCACCATTTTGTGTCCTGACAATCATTCTACCTTGTACGTTCCAGCAACGATCGCATACGAGATAAGGGCAAAAACGATGGCAAGTGCTTGGGCAAAGAGCCAGCCTAGAAAGATTTAAGTTTCAATAAAATTATAAAAGTAATAGCATTGAAAACTGGTGCGTATCCATAATTAGAGATTTAAAAGCTATCGGTTGGCTACGTTTTTTGAGAAAATGACAAAGTTTGCTTCCAAAAGATTGCTTTCAAATTTAATGCCGTGCAAGCTTAGATTTAAGCGTCAATAAAGTAAAAATTCGTTTTCTCGAATTTCAAAATTCACCTCCACAATTTTTGTAATGCATCGCGTACATGACTCCCATGTAGACGTAGATAACGATGACGACGATCTGAAAGGGAAAGATAATAGCTTCCACTTCAACACTACACTTTCAACCTTTATGATAATTAATAGTTTTGCTGAATCAACGGCTTATTTTATAGCATTACTTTAATCATTACAATATCAAGTTTCAAGTTATTCAACTCCAGGCAAGAAAACACTTTAATATCCCATGTATAGCGACTTTGTACCTCGAATCTGAGTTAATTGATAGTAAATACTAGTTAATTGCTCGTTGTTCTGTTGTAAATCGTTATTTAATCGTTTAATTTACTTAGTTTCAAGTTGTACAGCTTCAAAAATATTTTTAATTTGTCAACCTTGCGGTGATACCATTTTTTAAGTATTACTGTGCCATTTTTTAACCAGTTAAACATGTTAAGTTTCAAGCTAATCGGGTATAGAAAACAAATTGCTCTTTAATTTTTTTTGCGTATGAATATCGATTTTTTTGTACCTTGAAAATGAGATAGGGAAGTAAAAATTTCGATTTCCTGCAGCACAATCCGAAAAGAGCGATGATCGAGATGAGCAGAAGGGACATCTCGATAGCCATCCCAACTTTGCCCAAGCCAAGATCGAGGCAACGATCTCAACGATTGTGCAGTTCTTTTAGGGTTTATAAGTTAGGTCAGAGCCAAAGAAACCCCACAAATTGTAAGTTACAATCCATTAAAACCTACCAGCTCGTCCCCAAAACGAGGCTCGATTCGCGGTGGCTTTCAGATCGAACCTGCAAATGTTTTAGAGTAAACTTCTGTGTTAAACTCACCAATTGAAGTCGAAATGTTTCATAGCGAAAAGAAGACCGAGGAAGATGTCGAAGAAAAGAATCAAGTAGCACCAGAACTAAAAGAATTTATTACAATCTAATGCAAGCAATAACCAATGAACACGAAATCCGATTAACATTAATAGCTGATAACTTTGAAACTTGTTTCCTTATTTTGTGCGCTTTGCACTCATGCAGTTTAGACACCGCCTTTCTGGCGCCTTCAATTCTTCCATTTCCCTCATAGCAACGATTTGATTTCATGAGGGGAAATTGAGGAATTGGGTGCGCCAAAAAGGGTGGGTTTACGGGATTACTTTAGCATAAAATGAATAGGTCCATTTGAAAAGGTCAATGTGTTAAAACTCGCCACAAAGGACATTAGAATGAGAAAGTTTTAATTGCTGTGACATTCATGATGACATTTTACCCCTAACATCTGATCTTAGGCTCTTTCCATAGCCTAAGATACAAGGGAACCTTCCCAAGTTACCCGCGAGTTACAATATGAGATGGGTACCAAAAGAAAGGCCTGAAAATGTACGTTCAGAAACTGTTTTCAAAAACCACTAAACGGCAAAATGCACAAAGTTATAGCCGTTTGAATTTCGAAAAAATGAAGGCTTTTCTCGAATTTGTGGAACACTGATTTTTGCCGGTGGAAAGGCCTTCCTTATGCCATCCCAAAAGGGAGCTGGTAGCCTAGTGGTTAGTCTGCCTGCGCTCGGAACTCGTTGATCTTGGCTCGGATTAGCAGTCAAGCTTTTTGCTTTGTTCGAAAGACATTTAAAAATCCTTTTTTGATGATTAGAAAATTGAATAATGTTATTTTCTAATGTTAGTTAATGATTGACAATTTATCCATCATACCAGTGGTGTACAGAGCTTGTTCAACCATTGGATGTTTACTTTCAACAATTTAAAGGCGTAATGAAAAGAATTCACGGAATTCTTTCCGCCGACAAAAATCAGTGTGCCAGAAATTCGAGAAAAGCCTTCATTTTTTCGAAATTCAAATGGCTATAACTTAGCGCGTTTTGCCGATTAGCGGTTTTTGAAAACAGTTTCTGAACGTACATTTTCAGGCCTTTCTTTTGGTACCTATCTCATATTGTAACTCGCGCGTAACTTGGGAAGGCTCCCTTGTTAACTTTTTTTGCACTTTTTCCTAGCTCACTCACCACAACGGTGCATCCACACAGCTTTGTCACGGTCATTTTTGGAAGGCTTTTGGAAGGTTATAGATATCTGAAAATGTACCTTGTTAGTGCTGAATAATCTTTTCAAAGTTGTACAAAAAGAGAGAAAGTGAAGAGCTTCGAACTAACAATACATGGACAGATTTGTTCCTGAAAAACTTGAACTTCAATGATTGCAAAATTAGTCACACGACAGTTTGATGAACAAAAGGGATGTAAAAAACCTATCTAATGAATCAAATTTTCATTTTTTTTTGCAAAAGAGACTCTCAACAGTTGTTCTTTGCAAGAAGGGTCAATAACTCATCGCTCAAAGGCGCCAAAAATGAATGAGTTTCAAGTTTCGGTTTCTTGTGAGTATGAATAAAACAACAATAAAAAACAAACCACAACAAACAACAACAAACAATAACGAGAACAATTTCAAATTTGGATCTAATTAATTAAAGCAAGATTTCATTCCTCAACTATTTTGGTGTCATTTCTGAACGTTAAAGCTGAACTCTTGGACAAATGACTGTAATAAACATCCATTGTTGTTCATTGTTCATTGTTCAAACATTGTTCAGTCTCAATTACTTTGAAGTACAATTACTTTAACTGGTAAACACACACCATGATCAACCTTGATACCTTTGAAACATTTGAAATATGTATGATTTAAAGCCGATAGCCAAAACAAATATTCATTGGCAGATTTGATTTGCTCACGAAAAAATTGAAACTGGTTACTCTTATGTTTATACGACTAACGGGCGTGCGTGTGGTTTAAACCCGAATGCTTTGAAACATTTAAAATAGAAGGCGAGAATTAAAAAGGAAATTCTGAAAATAATATGAATTTCTTTGAAACATGAAACTAAAACTGATATCAAAAATGAGCAGCTCATCTAAAATTGAGAGAATCTTTGAAATTTTAAAACTTTAACTACAATAGGAATAGCTGCAGGTTTTTCAATTTGATAAGAGTAAGTTTGCTAAATGTAAACGACAAACAAGTGCTAGGGTATTAAAAAGAAAATCCTCAAATAGCACCGATTTCTTTGAAACAGTGAAAAGAAAACAAAAAACAAGAATGCAAAGCTTCTTTTTGGGTCAAAGAGTGTGCCAAATGCTAAGCCCTTTTGCTATTTTTGCTTTTTTCCTTTTGCTTTCCATGGGCTTTTCAGGGGATCCCAACTGGGACTCACTCACTCGAATCGGCTTTTTCTTTTCCCTTTTCGCCAAGTGAGGGGTTATCTCCATGACATCCCCTCTTTACTATCTCTTTCTCTATTGAGTCGAGTCGCTTAAAGGATAATGAGAAAAGTTGGGCTTTGAGATGAACTTTGTGCTCTTAAATCACTCCCTTTATCTAAAAAGATAAAAAGTTTACACTTGATAATGATTTGGATTCGATAATATTTGATGGTCAAAGTCTATTCTGAAGCTTGTTTGCCTGTCCCTCTTTTATCAGTGTCCACTATCCTCCCCGTGTTTGGTTACAAGGTGTCTAAATTGAAACTGAGTTTCTTTCACAAGTAAAGATGCAACACCTAGGTTATAACAAACTGTGGATTTTTATAAAACAAACAAAATTAAAATAATACTAGAAGCACTTGAGAGCTCATTTTCAGAAGCGCTAACTCTCAGATTGTTGGTTGCAAGTTATCCAAATTGAAACTTTCTTTAGTTTTAAAGAAATTTACTTTAAAACTATCAGCCACAACGTTTAAATAGCAATTAAAAGGCCAAAAGAATATAGTGAAGAAAGACAACTTTAAGTCCAGATAAACCTCTTCTTTTTCTTTTCAACTTTTTTGAAACACACAAACTCAATATAGACAAGTGAAGAAAATCGAAGAGATCTTTGGTCGGCTAAAGATTGCGAAATTTTTGGCTTGCTTCAAACGAAAAGGAAAGTTTTGCTTGCATTACTTATCGTAAAATGCCCGATTTTTCAAAGTGGAGTGCGTTAAGGATAGAATATCACGTTTAATCGGTTTCAATTAAGTTGTCAATTCTTATCCAGCATTACAATATACCCAAAAGAACCAGTCAGCTGACTATTTTCAGCTTGTTGGGCAATTTGAAACTTCAGTCTTGAACACCTAATCCAGCATACTATAACGATATAAAAACACAGTAATTTTGAATGCCAAAAATGAAACTAAAACAATTTATCACCTAAAAAACGAATCAAATCGTCAAAAAAACGCGGTTGGCACCTCTTCTTTTCCATCAAAAATGCATAAAAGCTTTTCCGGGCGCTACTTTCAGCCTTTCTCCTTGTCAAACACTCATCCAACCGTGAAATTCTCGCAAATTTCGGCCCCTAAATTTTTGACGATCCATCTGATGGAAAAATCGAGATTTTCGAGTGGGCACGTGACATTTGGCTAACAATAGCATTTAGCAGAGTCTCAAAAAAGAATTAGTTTCAAGTTTAGCTACTGAAATGGGTCTGAATCATTAATTCAAATTGTTCGTACACCGCAAATTTAATTTCAAATTATCTTTACACTTTTGGTCACATGGAGATTCATTTTCTCATCGATATTACGTTTCGAAGTCCGGATCGACCGATTGAATGTTTCTAGTTTTTGGAGTATCGGTCCAAAAACCCTTGGCAATGCAAGGAGGGGTTGCGTGAAATGGACTTGAAATGGACTTGAAATGGACGTGGACGTGGAGTGGACGTGGACGTGGAGTGGACGTGGACGTGGAGTGGACGTGGACGGCAATGCAAGGAGAGTGTTTAAAGATTTTAGCATAGATTGGATAAAAAAATTGTTTACAACAGTGAAAATGCATTTGAATTTAACTTACTGAAATACGGATTCAAATTGGCAAAACAAGATTGACAAGATTGGTCGTTTTGACAGCTATTCGCTACCAATAAACTTTGAGTTAGGTTAGGAACTTTGAGTTAGGAACATTTAAACCGAATTTGACTCTTTAAACTTTCAACCCTTGTTCCCAATGCCTGAATATTTTAATTTTACATGGAAAAACTTTTAAAACTCAAATATTTATCGAAAAAAAGCAAATAGAGAGAAATAATAGATAAATTACTGAAAAATGAAGCAAAAGCACAAAATTTAACTCTAGCAAAGTCCTTAAAAGAAAAAAGTTGCACATTGGAACACCAGAAAAGTCAAAAGCTGAAATTGAAACTTGCAAATTGGTCAAAGCTGATTATTTTTGGGAAATTTTGAAAGAAAATAGCCTTTGGGAATACTGATATAAAAGAATGAGCTGAAGGAAAAGTTGAGGTGAAAAGATTTTGATAAATATTGGGGAAAGGTACAGTAAACCTGAAGAGAACTACCAGGATAAGCCTCAAATTTGCCTTTTTATGGATAGCGTCTATCGACTTCTTGATAGTCGTACTTGATGAGACGATAGGCACCGGCCACGATCGAATAGATCAACAATGAGACGACCAGGCCGATCACTTGAGCAAAGAGGAACTCTGGAAAATGGTGAGGAATTGACTTTGAGCTCTTAAATCATGTAAACACACTTTTCTTGGCACACTCAAAATGTGAGTTTCAAGATTATGTAGGTGAAACTCGATTGTTGCTTTGTAATCGCTAGAAAGCTACAGATTGCTACAGATTGCTACAAAGCAACATGGTGCTTTTGCTGTAGTTTACTTTGTGCTCTTTAGCAGAAAAAGTGAGCAAATTTTCATTTTAAAAACGCTGTACTTGTTTGTAATTGCATATAAAAATTGAAGCCTAGCAGATGAAAGATTCACAAATTAGCTATGCCCTATACCATTCGATTGGGTCAATCAGCAAATTAAAATCCCTCATGAACCAAGTTTGAAACCAAGCCGTTCAGTTTGATTTTGTTTTGATTTTGACAGCATAGAAACATTGTTTTCTATGCTGTCTTGGAAACATTTATGCTTGCTTAAAGCGAATTTTGCAAAATTTTGATCTTCGTTAACTGTCTATTCGCTGTAAAACTAAATCGGCTTTTTGCAAGTTGTATAAACCGCTTACTCTTGCAGGTGTCGAAGTGAATAATGTACTGGACAATCATGTAGATCGTGAGGCAGATCATCAAGAACTGAAAATCGGGATAAATTTTGAAAGTGAAAAGTGATAGCATTGTAGGTGAGAATTTATCTATGTGGTTAACCATTCAGAGTCAAAAACCAAGCGTTAAATGATTGAACATGGAGACTAATTAAATATTCTTTTGCAAACTTTACCCACCTTAGTTTGAAACATGCTTTTTTTGTTTGGCTTTATGAGAAGTCAGTTGGATATCATTTGAATATTTCAAAAAGGAACTGAGTTTACATGGGGTTTGCATACACCTTTGGTTACGCAGGCCGTTAAGGAAACATCAAAATATAAGGAAATATCAAAATATAAGGGAACTATTTTGCAAAATTGACCTAGCTTATTTTGAAAGCAATCTTTTTGTGTTGTCTTTGTGAATTCTGAAAGGCTTCTGGTTCTTTCACCTCTGTAAATCAATAGTATTTTAATTTGATTCACCTTGTAAATGAGATATGGAAGCAGAAGAAGCGATTTCCTGCAGCACAATCCCAAAAAGGCCAAAACGACGACGACAAGGAGGGACATTTCGGCGGCGACCCCGATCGGACCCAAACCCAAATCGAGGCATTTATCTGGAAAATGTAGCATTGGGTAATGCATCCAGCTTTGCTATAACCTTGGATTTCTTAAACTCCTTCTTATTTTCAAAACAGTAAACAAACTTTTGTTATTTGGCAAAAATCAATTGAATCCATTGCTAGTCATAAGGCTGTTTTAGCCCCAAATTCTTTGAAAAAACAATTCTCAACCTGTGGCATGGAAGAAATCGGAACGGTCGGCTTTATCGCGGAGGTTGAACCTGAAAAATTCGACTCAGGAGGATATTGTGAAAGTTTCTCCGGTGATTGGTTTAAGAAAAAGTTTAGAAAGATACATTCTCAGATTTTATAACAATCTGCTTGCTCTTTTTTAGAAGAGAGCTTTTTTAGAAGCTCTTTTTTAACTCACAAGTTGAAATCGTAGTGTTTCATGGCAAAGAGGAGACCGAGGAAAGCGTCGAAGCAAAGCAATACATAGCACCAGCACTGAAATGAAATTCCGAATAGAAATTTGAAGTGTTTTTCGTTTCAACTTGAACAAACTCAAAGTGAATTCGATTGTTCAATAGTTCGACTCAACTTTCTTTCAAGTAAAATTTCCAGAAAACTCACAATGACACTGCAGCCGCAGATGTGTGTCGTAGCCATTCTTGGTGAGTGTTAGATCAAGTTCTGAAGTTTAATCATTAAAAGTTTAAGTTATTGGAATTAAATTGTTTACAAAAATAAAGACAATTAGCAATTGGAATTTAAAAATGATCAATTTTCGAGAGAAAACAAAAATTGAGAAGGCAAGCTGTCAAAAATTGTTTTTATGATCAAAGGAAACGATAAAATTGTTAGTTTTATAGTCTATATTCAGCGCCCTTTTTGTGTTAAATTCCATCGTTTCGGACCTTCAGTGAACCCAATTGAATATATTTTCTCCTCTTTTGTCCCTATTCAACCCCCGCGCGAGGAATTTTTCAGTTGATAAAGTGGCGCAATGAGTGGCGAGCAGAAGTGATTCGATCACTGACTAAACCTCGCATTGCCGGCGCCCAGGATCGACTCACTCTTTCTCCACACCTCCCTATTGTTCCATTTTCTTGTAAACGCTTGTTTTCTAAACTCGTATTGATCAACCCCAGAACACGAAACCGGGAGTTCTATGTCCAGACTCGTTTGGGAGCGAGTATAAACGACCCTATCTTGATTATTGATTCTACGCTTGATTCTTGGATCGTCACCGCCTTCTCCCTGCCTGGCTTTGAATGGACATTCAATGCACATTCAAAGCTTTCATTGAGTCATGGGAACTGGGTAGTGGCGATCCAACTAAACAGCCAAGTGACTGGTTTTGGAATTTTCAACGGACTATTTAATCTTTTTAAAACCGTTCAAAAATTAAGTTGAGTAATCAGCCATTTAAGCACAAGTATTGCGTAAAAATTTCAAGTTTCACTTTGTGCGAGCCGAAAAAAATGGTGAGCTTATTTAATCTTACAAGGCTGTACAGATAATGGTAATTATCGTTGATGAGAATAAGATTTTGGAAACGTCTTAGATTCTTAAGCACAAAATGTTTCGAATAAGGAGGAATCCTTGTTTACAAGGAAAACGAATTGTTGACCAGGGGAAAAAAAGAGAGATTCGAATGTTGGCGGGAAAATCCCTCGTGGATGACCTTTATTTGGATGATGATGGGGAAATGTTCGGAAAGAAAAGAAGTTTTCAAGTACTTTCTTAAAGTTAGGAGAAATCTGTCAATCAGCATCATTAGAAATCAAAAAAGTTAAAACTACCGGTGAAAATTTGAAACTCGAAAATTTCTGTAGTTATTGTTCTTGTTGAAACGTGAATCAACTGTAGGTATTGTTCTGACCAAAGTTCTCTGCTCTTTTGTTATGCAAAAGGAATAATAAAATCCAATAGTAAGCTACCGTATATTGTACAATTGAAAAACACGGCACATCGGAATTAAACAACTAAAGAAGCTGAGAAGAATGAAAATGAAGATTGAAACTTGCAACATGAAAGTTCTATTTCAAGTTCTTATGGCTACCGTAAATACTGTAATAGTACCCCACCCCCCTCGTACAGTCGCGTAAAGTTTTTTAGTATTTCATTTTTTTTAAAGCGCCCGTACTTTCAAAAAATGCGTCTTTGGTATCAAAAAATAGCTGAAATTGAGGGCTATTTTTTGATACCTAAGCGCGCATTGTAGCATAAACCAGTGTCGAGAAAAACGCGTTCAAAGCTAGACTACGCAACGCTCCGCACCGTCATTTTGGGGGTGGGGTACTATTACAGTATTTACGGTAGGTCAAAATGAAACATTACCCTCCCACGCCGTTAACAGCCAAAGAAAGCTGAAACTGAGGGTTAAATTTGAAACTTTCAACTTCACAGGAAAGTTTTACTTTAGAAAAAGTACTCGAATGCATCTAATAGAGTAACAAAACGTTACAGAACTTAAAAAGAAGAAATAATCTTCTGCAAATTGTGAACACCTGTCAAATCTTCAACCAATCATCCAATTTTTCAATAGGACAAATAGGAGCCATTTTAAGGATAAGGTCAAAAAATTTGTGAAAGGTTGAGAGTGGATTTTTGTGGGGTGAACGTCGATTTTTCAAGGACAAACACAAACAACTCGGAAAATCCATAGGAGAAGGGGAAAAGATCTGATTTTTACGATTTTCGAGCATTCATGAAAAGTTTTTTTGCATTTTCGATTTGAAAATCGAACTTATGGAGTAATAAGTAGCGAAAACACTACAGCTGTGAATCTGAACTAAACTAGTTTTGTAAGTTTCTGATTCATTTTAGATCAGTAGCCTGGTATTGTGACTAAAAATCTGACTCTGGCTTTTGAAATTCCCTTGGAATACTGCTCTTTAGTACCTCGGGTACCGTACTTGCTATGGAGCTCATACAACACTCATACATCTAATATTTGTGCTATACTATACCTAGTCTACAGCACTACAGTACAGGCTAAAGTATCTTTACCTTACAACTGTCATTTCTTTGTTGTGCAGGTCTAACAATAAATAGGAAATTGAAGGTTTCAACTTATGGAATAAGTACAAGCAGATTCGGTAATAAGTCCATTTTGACAGTCAAATGTAAACACCCCCTTTTTTCAATTCTTTCATTTTCCCCTCGTGACACCAAATCTTTGCTGTAAGGGGAAAATGAAAGAATTAAGTGCGCCAGAAAGGCAGTGTTTACGGGTTTCGGAGAGCACAAAATACAAGATCCGTACGATATAAATAAAATTTTATTTACAAAATTGAAAAGATATATTTTTTAAATGTTGATTCGTTTTCTGTTTATGAATCATATATTATTTGCTTTTGCTTTGTTTTGTCGCCGATTTTTTGGGGAAAAGATAAGAAAAAAGAAAGATTTTGGGATTCTTTAGAAAATGGACAAAAATGAAATGAATAGATTGTTTTTGTTTAATGGAGATGAGGGGTTTCTATGGAGATTTGACCAGATGGGAAAATGAAATGAAATAGAACAAGAAAAGAAATGAAAAAGAAAAGAAAGTTTCAAAGTAGATAGCTTTGTTTTAAAATGTAAGCTGGCAATTAGGGTCTGAATTGGCATCGGCAACCTATCCAGCATATAGTTCGGAGATTCAAAATGAACTTTGTAATGCCTGTAAGTGTGTTAAATCACTCGCCAGATTTTTAAAAAACCTGTAAAAATAGAACAGCCAGATATTTTATTACAGTATTACTAACTTATAGTTACCTATTTATAATAAACAGATCTTTCAAATGAAGTTAATATAGTGTTTGAAATTAGACAATTTGTTGTTAAAAAGTAAAAATGAGTTTAAGTTACTTGATGTTTCGAGATTCAAACTGTATCTTATAAATGAAAAATTTGGTGAAATATAAAATCCCACCAGGATTGCTTTTGAGCCGGATCTGCCCTGGCCTGGAGAAATTAATTTTGGCCCTGCCTGCTCGGATGTTTGTTACGGTATTTCCGTAGATCACCTAGCACACGAGTGTAAATGTGGATTGTAATAAGCCGAAAAACTAATTTGGCTCACCTCACTTTGGTGGCATGAAAGTTGAAACTAGGAACCCAAACGGGTTGTTGAAAAAGTATATCAAGAACGATGTTAGTGGTGCGGTCTTAACTTTCAAATAACAGATGAATCTGATTTGCGAGTGCTGAATGCACCAAAATTGAACAAGTTCAAGGAAAAGTCAGAAACGGAAAACAAAAGAAATTACAAAATTTCTAATCAAAACAAATGCGGGCGCTTCTCAAATCGAAAACAAAAAGTGCGCAAAAGCTAAAAAAATTGAGGGTAAAAGCTCGGAGTAAACAACGAGTGAAAGGGGAAAAGAAAAGGGAGCAAACTGTGCCTTCCCCATTCCTTTTTTTGCGGTTTCTCTTTTCTCTGGGGCTATCAATTTTTTGTTGAGACAACATGTGTTTTTGAGAGTTTTGAGAGAAAAAGAGAGAAAAATGTGGGGGAAAAAGAAATCCACATTTCCCCTTTTTTTCAATGGGTCTCTGTGTATCGACTCGACAACAAAATAGCCTTTTGGTGAAGGGAAAAAAAGAGAAAAACGAATGATGCTTTCTATAAATAAAGGGATAGGGGCAATGATTTTCGGGTACTGCTGAGGGGATATGAGGTGTTGCTTCCGAGTTCTAGAAGTCAGCGGTGATCTGACTTGGACTAAAGCTTGCCGAGGATATGTTTTCTAAAACATGTCTCCTTTCTCGACTATCGTAATCTTGCCTCTATTTTTATCCAATTAATCCACTTTTTGTCTGATTCTGTGAGGGTACACAAAGGATATCGAAAGATACAAAAAGTGGATAGATTAGATAAAAATAGAGACAAGATTACGATAGAAAGAGAAAAGGGAAAACGTTTTAGAAAATGGATTGCTTAAGAGGAACTCTATTTACAGCATTAATCTGCAACTGTTACCAGTAAGGCTATCAAAGTTAGCGTAAACAAATTTGAAATTGTTTTTACAAATGACAAGGGGCACTATTTTTTCCCCAAAATCACTTTTTCTAGGGTAGTTTTATGCGTAGATTCCGAAAAACACAACGAGAGCTTGGGAAAATGCGTTTTAAGCCAAGTTTCAGGGCTCCAAAGTGCGCGCTTTTATAGTGTACTTCACTATATGGAGCCCAAGCTATCGACTATTGGGGCACTTTTCAAGGTCAAAACTAGAGCAAAAACCATTTTTAGCCACTAAATATTCATTTTTGAACTTAAATTGACTAGTAGAGGCAAAACAAATTGAAAAAATATTTTTTGAACTTTTGACCGATTTTGAATGTGGTCGAAATTTGGAAAAAAAATGTTTTGTTTTGCTCGAATTTGATCAAAAACGTATCAGTAGGTTAAATTATGCTAAAAGAAGTGTTCTTGGCTTCAAAAAATCTTTTTTGAGAGACCATTTTTAGACCACTTCCCTATGTGTATCCCTCTCATCACACTGTATGAGCGCGCACTTTGGATCCCTGAAACTTGGCTTAAAACGCATTTACCCACGCTCTCGTTGTGTTTTTCGGAATCGACACGTAAAACTACCCCAGAAAAAGTGATTTTGGAGAAAAAATAGGCCTCCCCCAACTAGGCTAGTATCCAAATTTGATTTTTTTGATTTGTTGTTACGGATATTTATCAGCAATCCATGTAGCAATAATTGTAGCTCCAGCAGTATTCTATAAGCTTTGGCTAAAATTTATTGAGCTTTGCATGTAAAAAGTTGAGGGTCAAATATTTTTAACTCCGGTTACTTAACAACTCATTCTAATAAACATCTTTTAGTGAACACCGTTCGCGCCGACGAGCCACCCAAGGACCACATGAAGCTCGCGTGTGAACCGAAAGTCGGAGAGAATCATTGCTGGAGCAAAGCTTTAGAAGATGGCAAATGCGCGGTTGGTTGAGAAATCTTTTTACTGCCAATTTGTGTGTTTTAGCTTCCACCCGGAGAAACAATACGCGTGGTTATACACGAGAATTGTGTCTGTAAGTTTTGTTTTGGAGTTTGTACTGGCTGGATGTCTAACATGCCTTGCTTTTGTGTCAAAAACAAACCTGAGCTGCTATGCAGCTTCTACACAGCTAAAATGAGCAATAGTGGATTCTTAGCTTTAGTTGGTAGTCACATTTGTTAGAAGTTCTACATAAAGAGAAGATATTCAGTTGTTGAGAGGCATGTAAGCGTTTAAAACGTTGACTTTAAACGAGGCTAGTTGCTAGCAATTTACTCTTGCTGCGTACGGATACAATCTTATTTCTATTTAGTGTGCGAGAAAGGATACGTGGGCGAGGCGTGCAAGATCTTCGTGCATACATGTGATCGCTATCCCGACCTCGAATGCTTTTAAACTGATGAGAAGAAAAAAGAAGACGGCGGTGTTTGCGAGAGCAGGTGAGTGATTTATTCATATCACTTAACTTGTTTATTAATGTTGTTAATTGGTTTACAGTGAAAATAGACTGTGAAAATAAAATAATAGGTGTAAACTTTGCACAGAGCTTTAACAAGGCGTTAAAGGCGTTAATTTAGTATTTTGCAGTCTTTTACAAGTTTACTTAAGGTTTGATTCATTTGTTGATTTGTTTCCGTTTAGTGTGTGCCCCGCAGATGACGAAATCCGGTTGTGAAGCTCAACCGTTTGACCAGAAGAGCTTCTGTGACTACGAGAAAGGCACCGTGCTCGGCTTCCGCAACCCGACACCTGACAATCCGAGGGAACTTATAAAAAAATACGTCTTGTGTCTCTGTCTTGACGGAATCGATGTCGGAGTGAGTGTTTTGTTTTTTTTATGCAAAAGTTTTGACTAAACGTTAAACTGCCTGCTCTATGACTTAAAGCTTTAACTTTTGTTTTAGATTGCCAGAATAGTCCGTTAGGCGAAACGTGCGAAGCGATGTGCACATGAGGTCTCTGCAACGATCATCACCTAGTCCGATGTCGCGTTTCTGAATAACTCTGCCACGGTCACGAAACGGAAAATTGTCCGGGTCGAGGTTGGTTTTGTTTGAAATTTGGTAAGCTAGCCGTTAGCCGTTACTGAGCTTCCGACTGTCATTCTTTCATTTATTTAATTAAAAGCGAGCGAAGATTTAAAATGGTTTTTGCTTTAGTTTGCAATTATGGCTATGGACGAAACACCAAAGTTGACAATTGGGTTTGCCAGAATGCTTCTCGACACCCGAGAATCTGAAATACGTTGGAAGGAGCACTTGTGAAGTTGAAGGGGTAAACGATTTCGTCTTTGAGATGTATTTAAAACCCTACTTTTAGCAAACGTGTACCGATGGGCACTCCGAGGTGTGCTCGTGTGATCCGCGCGACGACAAGGACGGACAAGTACTCGCAAGAAGCAGCGTGTCCCATGGCGCTGTTGAGGTCAGATGGTTCAACGGTGGTGATGGTGAGTTATTTTATTTTGAATAGAATTGTCTAGGAGTTCTATGGCAGGGATTTTGGTAATAGTAAAGATTTCATCAAAATTTTTCTTTAGTACATTGGATCTCCGTGTGGCTCCCTGGTTGAGAAAATCGAGGACGAGTCGGGAACACTACTAGCAAGATGAGTGGGGTTGTTTTTGATCTTTACGTGATTGCTTAGATTGGATTGATTGGACTGCTTAGAATGGAAATTAAAAATCAAACTTGCTTCTTGAATTCATTTTACAATTCTGTTTTTAGACGCAACAAGTCCTCCAGAACCGCGTCGCCCGATGGAAAAATGAATTAGGTACTTTTTGGGGAATTTTAAATTTAGTGATCGAACTTTTGATTTCTGCAGACAAAAACTATTTGCTAAAGCTTTAAATTCTCTTTTTTCAGGTTGCCCATAAAGCGAAGAAGAATTAGAGACGGCGAGAATCTCACTTTTTCATCACATTGTTTCTCATCACTGAAATCATAAGAAATGGTGTCCAAAATACGGAAATGAAGACGACTTCTCTTTTTTTGATTGGTTTTCTTTTCAATAAAGAACAGTGTTTTGTGTTTTTTTTTGTTCCATTTGTGATTTTGGCTTATTTCAAGAGAGGATTGGTTGTTGAAGGTAGAGATGATTACTATATAAGTACAGGATTCTCTTGACCAACTACAGTACACCGGGGTGAGAAGTATTCTCCAGATAACTCAAAGTTTTAGTTTCAATTGATAAACAAAAACACAGCATATTCAACTTTTCAGCTGACTAGCCCTGTACTGTAAGGAGACAAAGGGTTGCGCATGACTCTAACTCACATGCTCACATGACTGGCTCTAAAAAATGTTAGCTTATTCGTTCGTTTTTGAATTGCTTTGATTTGGATTTGGATAACTTTTCGGGCAACCAATCCACCTTTATGATTTGAAATCCACCACCGGGTCACTCCTCTATTTACACTTATCACCTCAAGTAAGTTTGCTAAAAGGGAAGGCAAATTTTCTCGGGTGAATGACGGGGATTGGGATGATTGAATAGCCCGATTGAATGGGATATCTTAAGTGCCCAAAATTAGGTCATATTTGTTTGATCATACTCGTTGCATCACTTGTGGAATGGTGGTTTGGATGAGAGAGGATTTTTTGAATTCCTTCGAAAAGCCAGCGGTACATAAAGTGGATGGATCATCCGGGGAGATTAAAGACGGTGGGATTTGCTTGGGATTACGGTAGATGGGAGGTAAATTAATTTCCTATACATTTTCTAAAACGTATCAACTTTTGCGGCTATCGTAGCTTCGCCTCTCGTTTTATCATTTAAACTAACTGACTGAGTTTCTCCATTGAAACTACATTTTTAAATCTACAGTTTCAAATTAAACCATCCTGCTAAGCTAGCTTTAGAGTTAGTATTTGTTTATTGTTAAAGAAAACATTGAATTTTGACTTTTTAAAGCTTCAGAGGGACAATTCCCAACTCTAAATCTTCAACCCAATCCATTAGTTTCCCCTTGATGAACTGTCTGTTCTTCTCTTCTCTTCTCTTCTCTTCTCTTCTCTTCTCAATCACAACTCCTTGGCCCAATGCTCACTGACCAGTCAACGTACAGTCACCCAGACTGTGAAAAGAAAATAGCCAATAGCTTGGGTCCTTTTCTTCCTTTCCCTTTTCAATCGAGTACTTGGTGGTACCGGGTAAATTTCGAAAGGTTTCTGAGCTCATCGGACGGGTGAAGTGAAAGGTTTGAACAAAAAGCATCGGAAAATTTCAAAAGCCTGTGATTAGATGGATAAAAAAGCATCTTTAGTGGGTCCAATAGACTTCAACTGATACCTAGTGTGCCAGAGAGTGTTTCTTATCGTTGTTGCAGGTTTAGGATTGATTGACTTAGGATTGCAACGCTGGAGTCGGAGCTAACTAGTAAGTGGCCTTAGCTTTTTGGTTTCCTTTTCGTCCTCATTCCCAAGTCGTTCTTTTTTTGAAACTTGACTCTTGTGAAACCAAACTGCCAGTAAAACTGAGAGATGGATTTAATTCTAAATGCAAAATTGGTCCTATTGAATGTTTTTTGTGTTCCCACTTCATTTCCACATTTTCTATCAATAATCTCGCATCGGGTGAGGTGGTTTGGTCGTGGTGGGGTGGCCGGCAACAGCTCTATTTGGCCTCGCAAAAGTCGCATCGACTTGGGGGCAAAGCGTGAGTGAGAAAAGGAGAAAAAAGGAGAAAGCGGTGGGGGTTTGTCGTCCGTGAAGGGGAATACAAACAGAAAATGGGAGGGTGAGTCGTTCGGAGGGGAAGAGGGTTTCGATGAGATGTGAGTTGTGTCAGAGAGACAGTCAGATATGACGGTGAGTAAGGTAGAAGATCTGGATAAAGAACGAGACGAGAACAGGAGGCTGGAAGTGATCTAGAGATGAAAGACTGAATATTTAAGAGAGTAGAGAATAAAGTTAGAGTAGGAAGGAGGACAAAATGATGGATAGAGTGAGAGGCTGATGGAGAAGACAGAAGGATTCTGGGTAAGAGAAGAGGTTGTGAGGAGTGGTGAAGATGCTAATAGCTGTGAAAAGGTAGTGGAAGAATGCTAGACTATTTAGGAAAGGTGGAAAGGTGGATGATATCCAACTGGATCAAGCTAGAGGAGGAGAACTTCTGAGGCATCACAAGGCCTACAAGTGACTTGAATCATTGAGGCTATGATCTACAGTTGTCATTGACTTAAAACCCTTTGAATTCTTACAGACTATGAGTTCTAAAGAGATATTAGATTCCGAGAGGCAGTATGGATTCAGTCAAGTAGAGTACAAATATAGGTGTTATGGAAAAGAGGCGGTGGATGGGAACAGTGAAAAGAGAGGGGAAAGCAATGGGTAAACATAGAAAGATGGGGATCTGTGGAGGGGAAAAGAGAAAGATAACAAATATAGCTATAGAATATAGAGAGTAGGAGAGGGAGGGGTGACTGGGATGACTGGGGGTTGAGTGTGCCCAGTACTGCTCTCCCAGTACTGCCCAAAGCCCAGAGTCACTCCATTCGGTCCATTTACCTAACCCTCACCTCGGAGAGTGACCTGTCGACCCAGCCTAGATCGTTCTAGGGATTACTGTAGTTTTTGCTTTGATTCTTATTATTCCGTATCGACTAATCGATTCAATTATTCAACTAATTATGGATGAATAGCTTTTGTTTGTGTGAAATTTAAAGATAATCTGTCATGGTTAAGTCGAACTCGACTATACCTGAATATCTTTAGATTTGAAACGTAACTGTGTCGCCTATCGATTCATTGGTTGAGCACTAGAAAGTTAAAACATCGATTTTTCAAATAGCTTTAACATTTAAATTTAGGATTTGCTTTGATATTTGAAAGTGTGTTTCAAAGTAATGAGTTCGCATAGCTGCTTTTAGATCTAATAGGTTAGCCGATTGAATCGAATTTAACGTTGTGAGCTTTCGAAAGAATTTTCTTTTAAACCCAAGATAAATCGGGATTTTTCTCATTGCTACGTTTAAAATGCGCATAAATTGACCCTAAAATTAAAACTCAACCTTGAGAGTGCGAGTTGTTTAAGTTGAAACGTGAACATTTTGGCGGAATGAGCTAATTTCAGAAATGAAGGGGTCCAGGTAAATCTGAAGACATTGTACAGAGCATAGTTTTGACTTTCAACATTCTAACTTATCTAACGCCTAAGTTATCTCACTATGTGTCGGTAATCCAATCAAAATTCAAATTGAAACCTTTTCTTATCATTTGCTTCAGCAAGCTATGTTAATCAAGAAAAACTTAACCTACGCCCGGCCCATTAGCGTCCAAAGCAGTCACTCATAATACTTAATTTCGAAACGCGCTTTTTACAAACCAAGAAACAAGCTCACATCAGACTCAGAAGCTTTGGAAACTTTTGAAATCGACTTTTGTGTTGGGTTTATTTAGATTTTCACCATGAGAAATCATGAAAAGCTCTACAGAGTCTTCAAATAGCTAATCTCACCTTCAATTCTCGAAGCTTTAGTTCACGATAAAGCAATAAACTTATTCTTAGCTATTTTAGGGCTCTAATTTCAAATAGCAGAGAGTCTTGAGCTAGTTGGGTTTTAAATGGCTTAAGACAAATTTGCCTTTGAAAGCATCTCGAGGCTAAACTTGCCTTATTTTAACAAGACGCACACAACCACCAGGCGCATTAGCGTCCAAAGCAGTCACTTATAATATTTAATTTTGAAACGCGCTTTTTACAAACCAAGAAACACGACTTAAAGTTACTCTTTGAAAAAGGCATGTTTCAATTTTCTGGCGCTCAATCAAAGTCTCTCGAGTTGCAATTAGTGTTTTCAGTTTCTGTTTTATTTTGTCTTTTGAAACAAAATCGGATCCTTTTCAAACCAATCAATTCCCCTTCCCTCCAAAAAAGCGTGTGAGTGAGGCAAGATGTTGGCATAGCTGAGCTGTGATGGGCTTACGCGGCTCACTTTTGAAAGGACTCAGCTTTGCTACAACTGGCCATGCGCACTCGGCTTGTTCTCGTTGAAATGTGTTTTCCTTTGAATGCATTTTCTAAAATGCACTCGTAATCTAGCCGCCATTTTCATTCGATCAGCCCAATTTTGGTATCATTCGATCAGGGAATTATAATGGTACAAAAATTGAGCTGATCTAATGAAAATGGTGGGTGGATTACGGTAATTCGTCTGAAATAGGTGCATTTTAGAAAGCGGATTATGTACTCCAGTTTTGATTTAGTTGACAGTTATTTATACAATGCCAAATCTTGACTCATTGGCTCTTTTTTTGATTACAACATTTTAAAACACATCAATCGATAGAATGACACCGGTTTTCGCGAAAATTTCAGTAAAGGCAATAATGAGTGAGCAAAAAAGGAAAAAAAAGAAAATAATAATAAAGAAAATTGGTCCTATTTTCAAAAGAAATATGAAGGCTAATAAAAGTTGGGAAAATTTTGGCATTGGGATTAGGTTTTGGACTTGGACACTAAAATCACTTAAGTTGAAACAAGAACTTTTCAAACTTGTACACAAATGCATTTGAATATTGAAAATAATATGTAAAAGCGTCAGAGCAAACATTTTTAAGGTACATAAGCGTATTGTTGTCGATTGATGCCGAATGGACACTCGTGATCCCATAAGCGATTCTCGCCGAGATCCACGACGCGAACGCCCTCCGAGAAGCGCACCTGAGTCGATTTCTTGGTAGATTTTAATATTTTAAAAATCCCCTCCAAAAATTGCAAAAAAAATAACTCTTGATCCAAGCCTAGGTTGAACATAAGCAATTTTGAAACCTATTTTTTTCAATCTCACCTCCATTCGCACTTTTTCGAGGTGAATCTTCGTGTTCGGAAAGCACAGCTCGTGCGCGCTTTCCCAGTATGTTTTCGCCGCGTATTTTGGACAACAGTCATCCTGAAATTGTTGCCAAAAAGTGTTTATATTTCTTGCCGGATGTAGAGGTCAATCATTAAAATTATGCTATACAGATGCCAAAGTAATTCATCGATTTAAAACACTAAACTTTTAGTTTCCAAAAACTACAATAAAATTACAATAATCCTGAGCTGTTTTTTCTGAAAATCCATGACAAATTTGCATGAAATTTGATAAAATCCTTCAAGTGTATGTATTAGAAAACTGTTACTTAAACATAATATTGAAATAATTACGGTAGCTGATCATAATGAGTCCAGCAAGAGAACCATAAGGGTCAGTTTGAAAACTTGTTAGAACGATGATCATTGTTTGTTGTAGAAAAAAACTTCAACTGGTGGCCTTTGCTTCGAAACACAGTTTTATAATCATCACTCACCTCTACAATAAACGCATCATGACAACAGCGACTGAATTTGTCGGTTGGAGTGTTTGCATCGGATTGACTCTCGTCATTGCAACAACCGTATCGAGACTGGAAGCTTTCATTTTAATCTTTAAACCTATTTTATTCCAAACATTCAGTCTATTCGTATATTAAAGTTCAAAAGCTGAAGTACACTTATAGTATCTCTGTAGAATAAACGTTTTGGGTGCGATTTTAAGTACAAATATAAAGTCGTAATAAGATTATTTCAGCATTCCAGAATTCAGAGTTATTTGAAACTAAAGATTTTAAATCTAGTCCGAAACTGTCGACTAGTTAAAGATGGGAAAAAAGATGTTTCAAAGTTTTGAACTTGAAATGAGAATGGTACGATTTAATGAAGTATTGCAACTGCAGATAATCAGTGAAATTCAGATGGCAAGTGTTAATCGGTTCATTTGTAATTTCATGCACTCATGAGTCTACTTTTAAGCAGTCAAATTTTATAAATTGCTAGAAAATAGATTAAGTTAACAAATCCTGAAGTGAATACAGATTCTGGCTAGCAAAGAAGCCGTTAAAGTCCAAACTAAACCATTTGCACTGGGATTTTCGTTTTTCTTAAGCCTAATCTTTAAAATTCTTACTTTATCGAAAGCAATGAAAACTAGAAACACATCAATGACTGCTTATATTTGAACTTTGAAACACAGACCTGCAAAAACTTTTGCATACAGCAGAGTTGAATCGTCGAATTCGAGCATTTGCCGGGCACGCACAAATCGGTGAAGTAAATCCGCTTTGAGCAACATTTCGAGATGTGCGCAGTGCCGACTTTTTCTTGCTAAAAAGACTTTTAATATAAGTGCAGGCACAAGTTTCAGATTGAATTATGGAACAAAAAACTTTTGATTGTTTCGGAAATCCATAAAAGCAACCCATCTCAGTTTGAAACTCAACTTTTATTAAATTAATAGATTGACTCAGTATCCCCTCGTACTCCGTGTCCTCAAACCCCGTAAACACATCAAAGAAGGACCACCAAACTACAGAGCTCACAGATTTAATTTTGAAACCACAATTTTCTCAGCTGATTAGTTTTGCATAAAATTTGAATAGAAATGATGAATAATTACCTGATGAAAGCACACATCATCCGTGTAAGCAGTACACGGAATGTTCTCTTCTCCCAACAATGAGATCTGTTGTTGCATGGGGATTGTCGGTGGTGGAGCCGACCACCAGGGTTGCAGGGATGGACGGGGGATTTGAGTCTGAAAGCAGTATTGGCCGTTGCTCTTCATTGCCAGAGTCGAATAACTTGGAAGAAGAACGGCTTAAATCTATTTATTAAAAGCCCTCAATCCGTACGGTTTTCCCAAAAATTTAACAAACCAAAAAAGTCAGTTTCAATTTTTATGAAGATCAAGCGACCACAATCCGACCACAATCCAATTCCATTTGGCCGAGCGAAAAAAAATGGGTTCACTAACTATTATACTGAAATCAAATGCTAGTTCATTTAGTTTACAAAAGCAAATAAAATTTTCTATGCTTTCCTTCAACACGGCAAGTTTATACTTGCTCTGTAAATTCTGTGGTTCAAGTTTTTCGTCATGAAAGTTTTCATCTCTTTACAATAATTCTTTATTCGTTTTCTAAAAAGACACCAATTTCAGATAAGACTACCGTAACCCCTGCCCTATGTTTCATTCGATGAACCCAATTTGGATATTATTCGATCAGGGAATCACAATGATTTGAAAAATGGGCTGATCCAATGAAAAATGGGCTTTTGAACTACGGTAGTTTGTCTGAAATGAGTGTCTTTTAGAAAGGGATAACCAAGAGGAATCCACTCAAACACTAATCAAATCGATCCAATGATCAGTGAGTGGAAGTAAATGAAACCCTCCCTGGGGTGCTCATTCAAATCTGGGTCTCCCCAAATCAAACACTCCGCCCAATATTTGTGATTCGGTCCATCTAAAGGAATGTGGTGAAGATGGGAAATGAGGAAATGAAAGAAGAGAACGGTATGAAGGGAACCCCAGGGTCAACCCTGAGGCTCAGGGTGGACCCCCAGGGAGTCACTTGGTCAACATTCCCGTGGTGGAGGTGGGTACTGAGAGAGTACTAAAGTGCCTCCAAACATCAAAAAGGAGAGGTGATTGGGCTCTTGATGCGTACGTGCATAGGTGAAAGCCAAGAATTGGTTTACCGTAGGGGAATGCATCCTCCTGTTCGTAGGGGTTTTTTTTGTTTTTGATTAGAATAATATATGTACACTTTATTTACAAAACCAATTTGAAGTTTAGCGTAAAACAAGAAAGTAAATGGCAAACAAGGATATCTCTCGATGGACCCTTTCTCGACGATCGACTCAAGCAGGACTGTATAGTCGGAGAGCTGTATGAAAGCCTTTGATGACCGCTAGCCCCAGGAAATAACGGCTTCTATTCAGGACCTACCAAAGTTGGACAAAGCAGGATTGGCCTAACGTGATTTTCGTCGATGAAACAAAAGTGGATATCTTTTCTCTAAAAGGTAACCACTTGATCAGACGACCCATTGGAAAGTAAATATTTCTCAAGTATTGGCGTCCTACAATGCGAGCCGGCGGAGGATCAATCTGGTAAGCCTCATTTCTAATACATGCATTAATGTACTTCTCTAGGGGCGATGGCAAAAAATGTGGCAGGTCCGCTCATCCTCGTCGAGTCAACCATGGAGCTCGCCAGTATATGGGAATACTAGAAGAGCGTCTACTTCCATTTGCTCAGGATCACATGGCTCCTGGATGGTTTCTCTACCAGGACAATACGCCGGTTCACAAGAGCAAGCTTCTGGTGGGTCGCGCAGTGGAACTCTCGAATGGAGAAAAGCTCATCTTTCTGGATGGTTTGACCTTAATAATGTTTCGTTGATCAATGCGCCCCCTATGTCGCCTGATTTGAACGTTATTGAGAATCTATGGGCTTACGTGAAGACAAAGTTACGAGGAAAAGACTTCCACACAAAAGTTGAATTATGGTTCTACATGCGAAAAGTTTGGAGCTCAATTCGACCAGCGATTCTTCACTAATTAGTCGACTCAATGCCTAAACGACGAATGAAGTGATTTTGGTAGGAGGTGGACCAATTGAATATTGATTTTTAATGTTTTTAATGTAATGTTGCAAGGCTTTTGCACTCAGCTTTTAGGGTATTCGAGAGTTCCACTGTGCGACCCACCAGGAGTAATGGTTTTGCCATTTACTTTTTTGTTTTACGCTGAACTTCAAATTTGTTTTTGTAAATAAAGTGTACATTTATTATTCTAAACAAAAAACAATCCCTACGGACGGGAGGCGTTTTCTATCAAAAATTTTCATAAATTTTTTTTGAAAAGTGTTATGTTGCAAGACTTTTGCTCGGTTGTAGCTCGGTTGTAGCTTGCAAGTGTTGTTTACTGTATCGAACTAGTAAGATGGAACACCAAAACCCACAAAGCACACGAACTATAGCAAGGACTCACGTATTCAATTTGACTTGAAACCTCAATTTGCTCACCTGAACAGGTGCCTCAGTGGTCGAAGCAGCACCGACTGCTAGATAGTAATCATAGTCTTCCTCAATGAATTTTGATGGCTGCTAAATTTTGATTTTGTTTTCAAAAGCATTTTAAAGTAATCAGTCAGTTTTAAAGTAATTAAAGCCATGCTCAATCACATTTGGATTCATTTTAGTTTAGAGGATTTTCAATGAGCAGATTAAAACGGTTCAAATGAATCTGTAGCCAGAGATTTTCAAATCTTAGCCTTCAAACATATTGTTTATAACTCTTTGTTAGACTCCAAATTTTGATTAAAACGTATTCATCTCTTGATCCGTTTTCTAAAACATGCCAACTTTCTCTTTCTACCGTAATCTTGTCCTATTTTTTATCTAATCTATCTTTGTATCTTTCGAATCCTTGGAGAATAATACAAAAAAAGTAGATAAATTAGATAAAACTGAAAGCATTACGATAGTTGACACGTTTTTAAATCGAACAAGGTAGATCAAAACCAACCGTGGTCGTCGTTTTCACCATTTGCGTTGTCTTAGGTGGGTGGTTCGGGAAGCTAGTCGGATTCGGAAGTTCTTGTCGTGGTTGTTGGTACTGTCGTTGCTGTTGTTGTTGCTGTTGTTGTTGCTGTTGTTGTTGTTGTTGTTGTTGTTGTTGTTGTTGTTGTTGTTGTTGTTGTTGCTGGCTCCACCGATCCGCTGTTCTTTCCCGTTCGTGTCGTTCTTGATCTCTTCGCTGAACCTCGGAATTGCGTTGTTGTTGCTGATAGTATTGCTGTTGCTGGTGGGTTTGTTGGGGCTGGTTTTGTTGACTTTGTTGTTGGCGTTGCTGAGATTGTTGGACCGGCTGGTACTGTTGTTGAACCTGCTGATAGTTCTGCGGATTTTGTTGTTGAACTTGTTGACCTTGTCTTTGCTGGTATTGCTGTTGATTTTGATGCCCAGTTCCCCGATAGTTCAACGGGGTCTGCGGTGGTTGGCGGGTCACTGGCGGAGTTTGACGATCCCGATTGGGCGGATTTGGCTGTGGCTGTTGATGTTGAGGCTGGTAGTGGGCATTTTGTTGTTGATATTGTTGTTGTTGATTCTGTTGTTGTTGATTCTGTTGTTGTTGTTGATGTGAGTTCTGCTGATATTCCGGTAGAGATCTTTGAGGGAATTCATAGTTGGTGATCGGCGAGGAGCGGTGTTGACTGTAAGTCGGTGAAGTCGGTGGCAGGGGATTGGAGTGAGAGCTGAAAAGGAGAAATGTAGAAAAATTAGAACAAGTTTAGATTGTATTGCTCTTGTCTTGCTCTTGTCTTGCTCTTGTCTTGCTCTTGTCTTGCTCTTGGCTTGCTCTTGTCTTGCTCTTGGCTTGCTCTCTGTCTTGCTAACTGACGTTTAACTAAAGATCTCAAATATTCCCTTTCATTAAGTTCAAAATTTACTTTTTACATACACTCACAAATTGTAAAACTAAAATTATATCTTTTGATCAGTTTTTGGAGAATCCTGTCGACTAAAGCAAACTACGCGTACGCTTTGACTAAATTAAACTTGAAACATGGGGATTTTTATCCAAGAACTTTTCAGCTTGTTAGCAATGAACGGTGCAGCGTAGGTCCATTCGCTGATAATGTTGGAACTAACAATTTTCTAACGTAAGCATTTCCCAGAACTTTAGCAAAACTTTACAGTACATCACATCTTTATCAAAAGTCAACTTTCAAGTTTCAAGATTTTATTTTTATCAGAAAATGAGCCGACCTTCTCCTTTTTTCCTGATCTTTCGGTGCTCGATCGTAGTCAACCGCTGTGTGCGCTTTCAGCCAAACATCAACTTTCTGTAATCAATTCATTTTGTAAGGTTTTGAATTTGATTTCAAATTTAGCAAAAGCCATAGCGGTTAGTAGAAGCTGTCTTTTCGTGCGTACTTTATCCTCTCCGCATCCCGTAAACATTCCCTTCCTGACGCACTCAATCCTTTTATTTTCATCTCACAGCAAAGATTTGGTGTCACGAGGGGAAATGGAAGAGTTCAGTGCACCAGAATGGGGGTATTTATGGGACTTGAGAGAGCACAAAGTACACAAAGTCAAGTAAAACGATGGGAAGAAAGCAGTCACACAAAGCGCATAGCTTGTTGAAAGCAAATTTCAAGCTAACGCTTTTACACTAGAACCTCAAATCCCCGAATCGACGAGGATCCATAGTTTCGAGCGACACGGATTGGGCCACCGTTAATATGGGCCTCTGGCAAGGCCTATATAGAAATGGGATTAACTGTAGAATTGAAAAAATCACGTCAAAAATAATGAATAACTAGCTTCAGAACTAACTCGTCCAGGTGCTCTACTTTGAAACTTTGAGTGTTGAAACGTAGCTTCAAAGGAAGAAATACAGTTTGGTACAAAATAATGATAAAATAATCGTTTTTGTCAGATTAAACGTCTCCAGAGTTTAATTTTAATTACCCAATGCAAAAATTGAGCCACTTTTGAGATTGAATCTCTTTGAATTCCTTCCTTTCAATTTTTAGGGTGCCTTAATTGAAGGGCGAATTGCGCTCAAAAAAGCCCATTTTCTCCTGATAAAGTTGAAACCCACTTTTTTCGGAGAGTGATGGTCAAGCCTTTTCAAAAACTCATTGGGTTACTTATTTAACTTTTTAATTTTTTGGTATTTGTCACACACATTGAGTTAAAGAATATACATTTTATCCAAATAAAGATGAAAGATCCTTTCTCCGAGAGTGGCTAATCTGCTTTAGCCCCTTTAAAAGCTCATCGAGGATTATTTGAGCTCTTCAACTTTTTCAGATTGCATCCTACCACCACCAAAATGCAAGGCGTTGAACCCAACAAAGTACATTTCCTTTCAATAAACTTGAAACCCACTTTTTCGGAGATTGACTCAGCTTGTGAGCTTCCATAACTGCACCATCCACAAACGGCATGCGTTTGAGCCGACTGAAATTTTTGAGAAATCACAAACTATGGGTGTGGTTTTGATTTAAAATAAGCAATAAGCAAAAAAGTTCACAAGCAAAGCTTTTACAAAAGCATGTTTCAAGTTATTTAAAATAGTTAGTCTAGTAGTCTGTTATTCAATTTATCGGTGCCATCCTTTTTGCTTACTCAAAAGAAGTTTGATTAGTCGTTTAGCAATCAAACAGTGACTCTGTTTGGATGAAAAATTACACTGAAGCCATTATCTCAAATGCTAGAGGCCAGCAGCCAGGCGATGGTTTAGATTTGAAGCCAATTTGAAGCCAATCGGTAAGCCCTGACAAAAGTAGCAGACGTTTGGTAACCATTGGCAAAAATAACAATGCATAAGCAAAAGCCAGTTCTTGGTTAAAGCCAGCAAAGCTTTTTATCATTTAATGTTCGTTTCGTAAGCTTTTCTCAGAGATTAACAAGAATTTAGTACTATCTTTTATCTTGTATCTTGTAGTACGGTCATTTCTGCAGCCTTTTGATTGTTTCTGTTAGATAAAGCTTCTCATAATTCTCACCAAGCAACTAACTTTTAGTGCACCAAAAGTGTCGTCGAATTGTGAGAGATCCGATCGAGTCGATGGGATCACGTGGGCTAAACGGCCACATCTAAAAAAATCATACTCTATATTCTAAGACTCCTGAAGCGTAGTTTGAAAATTTTTACATTTTGCTTCTTCTATTTGCTTCTATGGTGTTTTAAGTGATACAAACCTGTCAAACAGTGCAATCTCGTGCTCCTGGATCCCCAGTCTTTCATAGGTCGAATCGACGTCTTTATCGATGAGTACTCGCGGGAATTCTGTCTAGAAACGGTCTGGATCTGCTTTGAGAGCATTCAAAGAAGATTACAATGTATGCATATTCTTAAAAACTGCCACAGTTGAGGAAAAACGGCTCAATCAAAATGACAGTGGAACCTCATTGAAAAAGTCCTAACTGCTCATGACTGGAGTAATTTGAAACTTAAAGTTTTTAGCAAGGCTTTTAAAGCTTGTTGCTTTCGATCCTTATTCTGTAACTGTGTAACAAATAAACTATAAAATTAGTTTCGAAAGTTTTTGTAAGTTTTTAATACCAAACCTGTACTTTCCCGATCACCACGTAATTCTCCCAGTGTGGGGCCAAAACGGCGAAGCGGACACCATGAAACGTTAGAGCTGCCGCCGCCAATCTGGAACAGGAAATCATGTTTCAAAAGATTGAAATTGAAATGAATTTGTTACTCCTCAAGCCACATTTGTTTACCTTTCTTATCCTTTTATTTTACAATTAAATAATAAAATCTTATGATTAGGTTGCACTTGGATGGATCCAAAAAGGCATGTTTCAAAGTATCCAACTCGCTGAGCCTTTTTTTGGAACTATGCGCTTGATTAGCATTGAAAACAATCATAAAACAAAAAAAAAATAAAATTCACAAGTTCACTATTCAACCGAGCTTTGGTATAAAATTTAGAGTAAAAATTTTCAGAATTTAGACCAATTTCCGGAGAATTATAAACGGTCAAAGCAGTGACTCATGATTAATTTTGAAACGCGCTTTTTAAAAAATTAACAAGACTTAAAGTTACTCTTTGAAAAGAGCATGTTTCAATTTTCTGGCGCTCAATCAAAGTTTGTCGAGTTGTAATTAACGTTTTCAGTTTCTGTTTTATTTTGTCTTTTGAAACAAAATCGAATCTCTTACAAACCAATCAACCAATCAATCCCTCCAAAAAAGCGTGTGAGTGAGGCAAGGTGTTGGCATAGCTGAGCTGTGATGAGCTTACGCGGCTTAGTTCACGATAAAGCAATAAACTTATTCTTAGCTATTTTAGGACTCTAATTTCAAATAGCAGAGAGTCTTGAGCTAGTTGGGTTTTAAATGGCTTAAGACAAATTTGCCTTTGAAAGCATCTCGAGGCTAAACTTGCCTTATTTTAACAAGACGAACACAACCCCGGTCCATTAGCCTCCAAAGCAGTCACTTATAATATTTAATTTTGAAACGCGCTTTTTACAAACCAAGAAAGAAGACTTAAAGTTACTCTTCGAAAAAGGCATGTTTCAATTTTCTGGCGCTCAATCAAAGTTTCTCGAGTTGCAATTAGTGTTTTCAGTTTCTGTTTTATTTTGTCTTTTGAAACAAAATCGAATCCCTTTCCAACCAATCAATTCCCCTTCCCTCCAAAAAAGCGTGTGAGTGAGGCAAGATGTTGGCATAGCTGAGCTCTGATGGGCTTACGCGGCTCACTTTTAAAAGGACTCAGCTTTGCTACAACTGGCCATGCGCACTCGGCTTGTTCTCGTTGAAATTTTACAATTCAATGATAAAACCTTATGATTAAGTTGAATATGGATGCATCCAAAAAGGTTTGTTTCAAAATATCCAACTTGCTGAGCTTTTTTTCTTGGAGCTATGCGCTTGATTAGCCTTAAAGACAAATATAAAACAAAAAAGGATAAAATTCACAAGTTCGTTGTTCAATTGAGCTTTGGTATGAAATTTACAGTCAAAAAATTTCAGAATTCAAATCGGTTTTCAGACAAATCAGTTTTCATACTCACTTTTCGAGTTGTTTTATGCATTTGGGACATTGGAGTGGCTGAAAGGAGACGAGCACGATTTGGCCCTGAAAAGTTAGCGGCAAATGAGAAATTTTGTAGATTTTAGATTGCTCTATAGTTTTTCCAGAAGAAATTTGAGTTCTTCTTGCATTTGGGTTTTTTTCAATGCAACCAAGCAACATCGTGAAGTTAAATTATTGTCCGTTCAATTTATCGGCCACACTTTGAAACTGACTGTTAGTAATACTCAAGCTTAGCGTATAATTTGGAAAATGTTTCCAAAATGACCTAATAGACTTAAAAAAGCTAAAATAAACTGATCAAATTACTTAGATTAAAACTTATATAGTTTGAAATACCGAAAAGGACAAACCTTTGCATTCTTGATCAAATCAGTCCCTCGAAAAACGAGGGCTTGCGGTGAGCAAAGCTCGCTCGATATTGAGAAAATCGAAGAGATTAGAGAAAATTTTACAAATAAAATAAGCATTTGTTTTTGAATGTGAAGATTCAAGCGGCTACATTCAATCGGGGAAACTCTGAAATTCATTTTGTTTTAACGGAAAATCGGAAAATTTGAAACGAAACTTAAAGTTTCAACTTAAGATTTAGCTGTAGCTGACGTCCAACCACAATTACGATTGGACAACAATTGTACAACGATTGTACAACGATTGAACAACAATCGGTTTATTCGTTAAATCTTTCGAGAAAACAATAAATATTGAAACACAATTTCAATGGCATTCTTCGTTGTTCCATTGAGCTTTGGTATGAAGTTTACAGTCAAAAAATTTCAGAATTCAAGTTGGTTTTCAGACAACTTAAGATGTAGCTGTAGCTGACGTCCAACCACAATAGCAATTGAACAACAATTGAACAACAACAAGAGACTTGATTTTAAAGGATAATTGGCCAATTTTCTGATTGAAAACATAAGTTTCAACTTAAATGAGGCGAGCAGATAATTGTGAAACATCATTTGAATCGTTGAATTTTTCACTTTTGAAGAACAATTTTAAACAAAGATTAAAACAACAGTTTCACTTTTACCTTGAAAAAAAGAATTGAATGATTCGGATTATAACCGATTCGGGGAGACTCGAGAAAGGAAAAGAAAGGAAAGCTTCGAGGACAAAAATAGGCAAAAAGCAGAAAGGATCATGACTGCTTATAGAAATTTTTTAACGGAGGTTTAATATTCTCTTTGTCTAAATGTTTTAAGTTCCAAGAAAAAAATAGCAATGATTCAATGCAGCGCGTGCGTACGCGGTGAGAAAAATGAGAGTACGCTAGAGAGGGTGTGCTTACAAGAGTTGAGGACAAAGTACAGCAAAAACCTGGTATCTATGATTCTGATAGATTTTGCTAGAGTATTGCCATAAAATTTAGAAGTGTGAAGTTGCTACCAATCTATCCTTTAGTCACAAGGTCCAACTACATTATGAAAAGCAAAAAAAAATGGAAAGATGAAAGAAATTGGATACAATGGAGAAATGCGAAGAACAAGGGGATTTTTGAGGGAAATGACATTTGGGGAGGATGATCGGGGGGACGCATCGATAGAATGAGAATGGGCAAAGGAAAATGGAAAAAGGAGAAAGGAGAAAGGAGAAAGGACGGCTGTCGTTTTGACGAGTGTGTAAGGATCCCCCTTGGATCCTCTTTTACTCATAAAATTTGGAAAAATCCAAAAGCTGAAAAGAAAAAAAGAGAAAAGGTAATCTGGAAGAGGGGGGAAAAGTTGGGACGAGTTCAAGAATTCGCGAGAGACGGCATGGCACACCCGTGTACCATGCATTTATTTTTATGTCTTCCTTTTGGCTTTTTGATGCCAAAACTTGGATCTGGGGGTTTTCGAGTACGGGGAATCCGAATCCGACTTTAGTTTTGTCTACAATAGCTTCTAGGGCGGGAAATAGTAGTGCTTTCTACTGAAACTTTTGGCTCAATTTTAAAATCGAAATTTATTTATTGTTTATCATCTCTAGATAAAATATCTAATGAAATATCTATAAACGAAGCACCAGCATTGTTTTTCCTAAATGATCTACCCGATTCCTAGATGATCTACCGATTCCTAAATGATCTACCCGATTCCTAGATGATCTACCCGATTCCTGAATGATCTACCCGATTCCTAGATGATCTACCGATTCCTAAATGATCTACCCGATTCCTAAATGATCTACCCGATTCCTAAATGATCTACCCGATTCCTAAATGATCTACCCGATCCCTAAATGATCCACCCGAAATTTATTTATTGTTTAGATAAAATATCTAAAAAGCTATTGAAAAAATATTAAATTCGAAGAAAGTTATTCATTTTTTCGTGCAAAAATGTGCCAAATTTAAAACCGAGCACTTGTCGTTCGTAAGAAAAGGTTTCATGTTGTTCGTAGGAAAAAGCGACATCTGGCACATTTATTGAGTACTATCAGCTGGGAAAACATTTCTTATTGAACTTTTTGAAAAACACCCATTTTTTTAGTCTCTTTATGGAAATCAGTGTATTTATTATCACGGTTCAGGGATTTTTAAGGGGCCAGCTTTAGAAAAATACAGTCAAATTCAAGGCATCCATCACATTGATCCCAAAAATTTGGGCATAGTGACGCCGGGTCAATCATCCACCCCGGCTTCCACTTTATGGAATCACCAAAAGGGAAGTACCTTATACTAGAGCGGTTTGCCAGAAGGCAAGCGATTACGTGGCTGCACAAGGAACACTTCGCCAGTTATTTACATAGGGATTTCCTTCTTTCGCTTAGAAGATGGCCCAAAAAAGAAGAGATTCAGCTGCAAATTTCCCGGAGATCTACCCCGGGGGTTTCTGGGGACTGGTGAGAGATAAAGAAGTGTCTAGGAGGTAATCCCTCGTAATCAAACTACCGTATATAGAAACTCTGGAGTCTTTTTGTTCTATGCTTGATGCATCATGATTGCGAGCTGGAACCGTAATCAGAATTGACCTTTAAAAGAAGTTGAAAGAGTTGAATCTTTTGAAAGAAGCCGGCTTAATGTGAGCAAAGCAAAAGAATTGTCGTAAATTGTAAAAGTTTTCCTGTATTTTCATCATTCATTCAAATGTTTATTAACGAAGCACCAGCATTGTTTTTCCTAAAATCCAAAAGATCTACCCGTTTCAAGCACGATATCATAAACAGAAAGTCAAAAAATAATCGAAATGAGATAAAAATGAGGTCCGAATTGGTGGGATAAGGTGAGTTTCAAAGGGAAAACTTGAAATAGATTTGGAAAAAAGCAAAGTAAATAATTGGGTGCAAATCAATGAATCAATCAATCAATGAATCAATCAAAAGATTACTGTGAACTCTCATAGTTGGTCTCTTTTGTCATTACCGTATCAAAAAGGATATTCATTAAAAAGGATAAATATCTTTTCAAGTTCAACTACAGTGCATGGGTTTAAGCCAGAAGTTGGAGGATCAAGAGGAGAATTGAAAAGATAATAAATCTGGGGAATTGTTCAGCAAATTTAACAGCTCAAAACAAATTTCAATAGAGAAGCACAGTCGTTGGCCCTTTTTTGTCCTTTTCAGGCGTCCGGGGGACTTTCGGACGAGCGCCGAACACCGAGATGTACTCGTAAGCACTGCAAATTTGAGATGTTTCAAAGAAATGCTAATTTAATTGGCTTTCAAGAAATTAATGGGGTGCTAATTGGTCGTTGTCATAAAAAATGAGACTGCACAGTAAACTGAGCTAAAGTTTGCATGTTTCAAAGAGGAGCTAAAGTAACTTGATTTAAGCCAGTAGTGAATTGCTTTTTGAAGCTCATTTTAGAACCCGTAAATACCCCCTTTCTGGTGCACTCAATTCATTCATTTTTTTTCCTCGTTTTGGTGTCACGGGGGAAGGGAAGAATTGTGTGCGCCAGAAAGGGGATGTTTACGGGATTCGGAGAGCACAAAGTACATCCAGACAAACTTAGCATCTTCCGGGATCCGCTTTGGTATTTTGTCGGTGACTGGCGCCGCTTCGGGCACAATTTCATCGACCGGTAGAACGATTGGTGAAGGCTGCAATTGATTTTACTGTTTCAAAATTGATTTCAAAAAAGAGGTGAAATCTGGACTCTTGAGAATTAAGATCCAATCAAATCATTAAAATTTCTACAGTAACACACCTTTTTCTTCTCTTTCACCGTTTCAATCGGCTCTTCAGGAGCGCTTCGCGAGGTGAGATTTTTCAGATCTTTCGGAGAATTTGTCGATTCACTTTTTGTTTTGGTCTCTTCTTTCTTCGCATGCTCGACTTTTCTCGATTTCTGTTGGTCGGATTCGATCTGAATTTTGTATTTATGGAACTTTGTATTCATGAGTATCACAGTATCACAGAGTAAACAAATCCCCCTAGCAGTCATAGCAAAGAAAACCGTCAAAAAAACGAGTCAGGACTTTTTCCGCCAACCTTATAGTTTTCAAATTTATTCACCGTGCTTTCGTTTAGTCTTTTCTTGCATTCCCTTGAATACCGGGAAAGCGCCAAGAAATGCTAGGTTAACCAAGCAAAGACTTTTAAGTCAAGTGCTAAGTTAACTAAGCAAAGCAAAGAAAGTAAAGTTTCAAAGTAAAGGATTTAATTTTGGGGTTTCTCTCATTAATCGTTGGCATGGTGTTTATGTAAAATTTAGTTATGGTGATGTCATTTGCTTTTCATATTCCTTTACCTTAATTTCATCTTTTTTCGGTGATTTGTTCTCTTCTTTGATTTCCTCTTTTCTCGAGGCACTCCGGGCGCTTTTCACCGCGATTTTCTTCTTCTCCTTGTTGTCGTCGAGGTGAATCGAATGGCGTTTGCTGGAATTTTTAGAAGTCGAAGTCGATTTTGGAATGAATTGCTTTAGAATTTTAAATTCGGCACTCCACAAAAGGTCCTTTCATTGGAGGTTTCATTGGTAGCCGTTAAACTTGAAACTCTTATTCTAAGCTTATTCTAAGTCCCTCAAAAGGTTTGCTGGAATTTTTAAATTTTAAATTGACTTTAGACGAATGTACTCATTGAAATCGCTTAAACGAATTAAACTATTTGAAGAGCCTTTCAAAATGTTCGATATTTACTTCAATTTGTTCAGAAACATACTCCAGGTTTTTAAACTAATATAACTGGTTAAAATTGAAACTCGTATTGCGATATTGTGACGCTGTTTAATTGCAGACGTTACACTCATTAATAGCTATTTAAACGTGAAACGTACAATCGAAAAACGTCTAAAAACTAATGTACCTACTAGAATTTGCGATTAACTTTAAACGATTGACATTTCAGAATATCTGTTCGATCTTTAAAATAAATTCTAACTCAAACTAACCGAAATTATATGAAAGTTTGGTTTAAAAAGATTCGTTTTGTTAGATTCATTTTGCTTTGGTTTAAAAAGATTCATTTTGCCCCTTTCATCGGAGATATTTGCACTTATTTTTAATGATTAAAGTTGAAATTTTGAATTTGACAATGAGTTGCCTGTAACCGAATCTGAAATGATTTCATTAAATTTTTAAAACCGACCACTCTTTTCCATCATGATGGTGATGTTTATGTGTTGCTCGACTCGTCGTGTCCCCTTTTTTCTTCGAATCTTTTTCCTTTGGTGAATCTTTTGATTTGGCTTCGAGCTCTCTGAAAGAACTTTTTGCGAATGGAGCATTTTCTGATTGGGTGAAGGAGTTGAAACTTCCTTTTCCTGATCTTGAATCTTAATCCAAAAAACTTTTACAGTCTTATGAATTTTGTAGTATTTATTAACTTTATTAACTCCAAACTGTACAGTAACAAGTTGATCGAATTGAAACCCCAATTCTTCCTAGTTACACCAACTCTTTACTACTGAAGAAAGGATAAAGTTCTTGTCGGAGTACCTCTACAGTAACAAGTTAAGAAATTGAAACTTCATTTCTTCACTAAAGTTTTTGCCCCTTAATGAGAGATATTGAAGATTTCATAGGCGTCATTAAACTAGAGTGTGTTCCTCGCGAGCGAGTAATGCTTTTTTTTTTAAAACGCACACTTGGGAAAAATTACCGTACTTTTAGCAAAAATTATTGCAAAAAAATGACGCAAAAACCACGAGCCCCACATTATATACGACACTTTTTAAAGATACTCAGCCGTTTAATTGGTTTGGTGGGGAATTCCCTTCCAATGTAATGATTTTTTTGAAAAACCTGGGGGGTGGGACAAATGCGACCTTTTTTTGCGCACCTGGACATTTGCGCAACTTTTTTTTCTGGAAAAGGCCTTAGGCAAGGCCGTAGAGCTTCAAAAACATTTTCATAGAAGGGAATCGTATGCGTAGATTCAGAATTTTGACAAATCAGACCTCGCTGACACGTCAAATTTGGGCTAAAAGGCAAAAACTACGCAACTTAACGCTTTTCCGCAGTTTTTGCCTTTTAGCCCAAATTTGACGTGTCAACGAGGTCTGATTTGTCGAAATTCGGAATCTACGCATACGACTCCCTTATATGGAAATATTTTCGAAATATTTTCGAAGCTCTACGACCTTTCCTAAGGCCTTTTCCAGCAAAAAAAAGGTGCGCAAATGTCCAGGTGCGCAAAAAAAGGTCGCATTTGTCCCACTCCCAAAACTGAGCAAAAAAATTGCTTTTATATTTTTTTCGCGCAGGCGCACTTTTTAGAAAACGAATTACTCGAGCTATTACTCATGCAAACTTACTCGAGTAATTACTTACTCGCGAGGAACACCCTCTACATTAAACACAAGCAGTAAACATTGAGAAGCACAAAAACTTGAAACTTGAAACCTCATTTCCTCTGATTAGATTTTTACTATACGGAAGAATATTAAGAAAATTTTGAGATTAACTCTATTCATTAATCTATTAACCTATTAATCCTGAGTCATGAATCGACAAGTTACAAAAATTGAAACCTCTCTATTTACTTCTCTATTTTTTAAGTTTCTGCGACTTAAGAAGGGATTTCGTGAAGGTTTTATTTTTTTTATTAAGCTTAAAATAAGGTTTATTAAACCCAAGTTTCACATTAACAAGTCGAAAAAAATAGAAACCTTTTCTTTTCCTCTTCTCTTTTTTGTTCTTCTTCAACTTTTCGTTGTTCCTCTTCTTCCGATCGCCGTTTTTCCACCTCGATTTTCTCCTTTTCCTTTTGCTGGTGTCGATATTGAAGAGCTGCTGGAATTGGGCTTTCGTTTAGCTCAAGCTTTCCAATTAATTACAGACGCTGAAGTCGAAACAAATACAAAAGAAATGAAGTTTATGCCAATGTTTCAACTGCTTATAGAATACGTAATGAAACTCCGAAGAATTGCTTCACAAAAAGCAAGTTTCAAGTTAGTTTTCTTGAATCTCTTGAAAGAAACGATTTCTTGGTTTCTTTTCAATTAATTTTCAGCAATCAAAAACAAGGAGAAACTGAAAGATCCCTGTGAAAGAGAACGGTTCAGGCACAAACAGGCTATTTTTGAGCGATCAGTTCCGGCAGAATTTGAAATATACAGCTTTCAAAAAAAACTTTTTAACTTTACAGCTTTAGAAATATATATAAAATTTGGGCATAGCGATGCTAAAAAGGGGAAGTTCGGCTCAGTCGTTCCCCGCTGCTTCCACTTTCATGATCCCAAAAGGGCTCTACCATATGCCAGAGCGGTTTGCCAAATGGAGAGCGATTACGCACAAAGAACACTTCGCCAGCTATTTAGGAATTTCCTTCTTTTGCTTTGAAGATGGCCCAAAAGAGAAGAGATTCAGCTGTGAATTTGTACGCGGGGGTTTTCGGGGTCGGCGAATCGATTGGCGCTATTCATTTTGCCGGGTCTGCTAATTCTTATCTTCAATCTCAAATAAGATCACAGTATACTAGGCTAATTAGGAGTCAAAATAAGATCGACGTCTCGTTGCGACTTTGCACAGGGGTTTTAGTGTGCTATATCTAGAAATGATCGCTGAATGACCTAGATTCTAAAACTATCGATATCAAATGAAAACTAATTCGAGATTCTGTAGACTTTTGTTGTTTTAGATTCCATGGATACGGCGTCACTATGCTCAAATTTTGCCTAAAGTTTCGCTTTATTTTTTTACAAATTCCAGCAAATCTATCCTGGCCGGTCAAAACGTAATGGGTCTTTATCAGATTTGCTTTGAACCGGTTGAGGGTAACTCTTAACTAACAGAACATAACAAATTGCATTAGTTTGCTGCGAAAACTGGCACTAATAGTAAGTTTTAAGTTAATAGCCATGTGGCAAAAGGTTTTATACCCATTTTCCAACCGATGTTTCAATTTTGAGAACTCGAATGAGACAATGTGAAAAGTAATCCCCATGCGACGGAGTTTTGGCATTCTTTCGATTTGGTTATACTGTACAAGCAAGTTTCAAAAATTAGAATAACTCCAGAACAAGGATCAAAATTTTCACCCTCAGTTAACCCAAGTGTGACCACACAGGGTTTTCTCTTCTCGTGTTCGATGATGAAAGTCGCCTGTGAGGCTGTGGTCGCCAAACGGGGCTCCGATCTGGAAAAAAAATTGAATTTCAAAAAGTTTCTGCTCATACTAACTTCACTTAGACTAATTTGAATATATTTTTAGTAATTGTGTCTTTTAAAAAAATTAAACAAAAGGAAATTGGACTTCCTGGAGTTATTACAGATTGAAATTGTCGATCTTCTCAGTTTATATCAAGAATCAAGGAATAAAACTTTATTTCTTGATCCTAAAGCCATCAAATTTCAAGTTTTGTTAAAATATTTGTGAAATGGAATGAAAAATGACTTTAGCTAAACCCGAAACTCACCGTGAAAGCTCAAAAGTGACCACCCGTCCGCGGGCTCGTTTCACGGTGGCTTCTTTCTGAAAATTTGTGTGTGTTTTAGCTTTTTCATGGTCTGATAGAATTTGTAATTCTCAAGATAAATCTGCTCATAAAATCCCATTAAAATTTAATCATTTAAATTAATTTCAAAATTCACAAACTTTTGCCGTTCGACTTGTAATCGGCGGCTTTTGGGGAACCGTGCCGGGAACGTTGATCTAAAAATAAAGTCTAAAAATGCGTCTTAAATTCCAAGTACAACTTCTCCCGGAACTTCAAAGACTCTAGACACATTAGAACTTGCAAGAAGTGCTCATTGGCCAAGCCTGTGTGAAAATGAGATTGTCAAGCTGAACTAACAAAAACTAAAACTAACACATCATTGCACAAAGAAGTTTCAACCCGGTGTTAATCCCTTTGAAACTCAATGTTTTTAGCTGATTGATGTGGATAAGCGCAGCAATACAAGATTGTCTACTAAGCAAATTATGAGTTTGCTAACTATAGTGTTCACCAGTAATGCACTCATTCGATTCAGCTTACCTCTTCAATTTTCGTCTCTTCTTTTCTCCCCTTTGCAATTAACAACCGCGCACCGCTCATTTCGGATCCACTCGCTCGAAGGGAATCCGTTGAATCGATGTCCGATTCCACGTTGTCACCAGCCTGATTTTTAACGCAATGTAATTTTCTATTTTTGGTTCTTTAACAGCTTTCAGCAACTTTGCACCAATACAATCATTGTAAATCATAGCTTTTTCTGCATTACACATGCACCACTCGTCAGAACACTCGTTAATATTGAGACATGATTTTTAAAACATCTAAAAAGCAATGACTCTTTGAAAATGTTCTTGTGGTGTACGTTGAATTCATTCTTGAACTAGGACTGGGCTGACTAAGAGCTCACAGATAGCCTAGTACGACTCTTAAGATTCTAAATCTATTCCATAACCAAGTGAATCCAAATCCAAAACCAATTTTGTTATCGTCCAGCTTTCGGCTTTCTCTGTATTGTTGGATTGTTGCAAAAACAGGGATCCATTCTTAAACCAGGACTGATCTACGTAGCTAAACGTACATTAGTACAATCTTAGCATAGCTTGGCATAACTTAGAGATTTTAAATATAATCTGTAACCGAATATCTGATCTATGTCTGTCTATACCTGCGTCGGATCCAGCGTTCATTTCTTAATCACCCCAATAACCTCGCTAATCCCCAAAACCCCTCACTTTCAACGGGAGAGACGGCCCTATTCTTGAACCGGGCTGGGGATGGGGAGCTAGCTAGAGCGGGGGTTCTAGGGTGGTACGTGAGCCGACGATGGACGGGGAATCCATCGAAGGGAGGCTGGGCGAGGGGTGAGTGCTCGTCGGTGCCTGTCCTCCTCCCCGTCCATTCCACCCCCAGCCTCCCCAGTCCTTTTCTCCTCCCCCAGCCATTCCCTTTTCTCTCCTCAATTCCCCAATCTCCCACCCCTTTCCCGCCGAAGTCTCTCCCCCTGTTCCGATCTTTTTTTCGTTCTCTACTCTCAGTGCAAAAAAGAGCTATCACTGGTTGGTACGCCGCAGCCCGCTTTTCCTTTTTTCAAAAAAACTCGTCTACCCTTCGTTCTTTTCCCTCGGCTCGGTCCCACCCCGTCCCGCAATTTCCCACGATTTTCCCTGAGTATCCCCGTTTTTTTGAAGATTCTTTGGAAACAATGGGATCTATTTCCGATTGGGGAATCAATTTTGGTGAAGGGAAATTGATCTATGCTTACAGTCTTTGATTCGAGTGCAGATACATTGTAGTTGGCTAGGGATTTTGTGTACTTTAAAGAAGATAAAGCCATCAAATTGTGTTAAAGATATGGTTTTTTATTGAGCAATAAAAGGGTCAAGTCCTTTTTTGAACTAGTAGATACTGTAGTTCAAAAGAAAGTTATTCAGAGATCAATTTTCAAATGGGGAATCGATTTGTGATTTGTGAAGAAGTAAAGCAACTCAGCAGAATTAAATGTTCGGGTTGCTTTTTGATGGGGAAAACTTTGATACTTGACATTTTTACGCTAATAGGATTCTTCGCAAACTCACCACATCCTCCTCGTCAACTGGCGGCAGTGGAATTCGGTGCATTTCGACTTCTGAATTGAAAAGTTTATCTACAAATCTCAAAAGATAGATCAGTTATCGATTTTTAAGAATTTTAATATCTAAACTGTTAAACTACAGTAAAAAGAACTTAAATTTTATTTCTAAGCAGCTCTCGTTCTAGATTCTAGATGCTAGACATTCTAGATAATTTCTAGATGTTTCAAAATGAGCGGCACCATCGATAAACTGGCTTGAGTAATAGATCTTCAATAGCGTCTTTAAATCAGGTTCAAATTTCATTTGTAAATCGCTAATGATGATTTTAACTTTGACTAATTCAAGATAGCTCGGTTCTAAATAGCTCAAATCACGTTTTCATTGTCTAGTTAGTTAGTTATGACAAGTACGGTAGCTGGGAGGTACGGTGAACTGAAAATACAGGGCTTGAAAGTACTGTAGCCAAAAATAGAGTTTATCTTTTAGTCTATCACTAAAATGAAGTCTAGATAGACATTCAGCTTTGTGTTAATCCCTGTATTTACAGAATAGCTTAAGTTTTTTTATGTGAAAATCGATTGCATGAATATAATGTGTTAGTACCAGCATCACTCAAAAAATGCATGTTTCAAAATATTCTGGTTTGTCAAGAGGTTGAGGTAGTTGATAGCCAAAACTGATTGAAATTGATTGAAAATTTTATCTTACCGAAAATAAGTCTTTAAAGTGTATCCTCTAATAAAGAAAACTCTGATTTTACTTATTAGTGTCAAATTTGATTCCTAAAAAGTGCATGTTTCAAAATTCATTTTATCTTTGGTGGTGAAGAGTGGCTAATCAAAACCTTTTTTTTTGATTGATTGGATGAATGAAAATTGAGAATTGAGTCTCAGCGTGGGCCCCGAGAGCTCAGATTGTGACTCCTCTCTTTCTCGGGATGGTCACTTCTCCGGTCAGATCGGACAACTCCCGTCGCAATTGAGGTCTCAGGGAGCACGCCGGGGACTGCTTGGGGAAAGGATCAGGGATTCCACATTCGATATAAGAACACATAATGTAAGCTTAAGATATAAGATTGAGCTTGTAAATGATGCACTATTAGAAACGGTAAGTTTAGAGCTTTCCTCTAGAGAAAGGATTTGAGATTTTGTATGTGTAAGCACAACTGTAAGCTCCTAACAACTTATCTAGAGTCTGAAGCTATTAAATGCGTAAAAATGGCAGTACGATCTTGCGATATTCAGATCCAGAAAAAACAGTATTCTTGGGTCTTGCTTGGGCATGATATGTCAAAATTGGTATCAAATTTCAGATCGATTTTCGTCTCAAATTTGTCAAATTACAGCTTAACCTATCCGATTGCGTAGGAGGAACCCCATTACAAAACCAGAGTTTCATTTTAAATGGGAATCGTTGAGGCTCAAGTAGCCTAATTGCTGTTTAATGGTTGGCTTATCAAAGGTAAATTGATTTCATTACACTTACAAAACTACAAAAAAAAGCAGAATACTAGAAAAAGACTCAACGAGTCAGAAAACCCAGTACAGTACCTCGGGCTGAGGATCAGTTTGAGTGAGCGATTTTAACTTCGATAAGGCCTCGCCCATTGGAACGCTTAATCCTCAACGAACTCATTCAAAGATGAAACTCGGTCTTTTGAAATGATCTTGTAGAAATATCTTGAAAAAGTCAAGTCACAAAATCAGTTTGCCATAGTTAACAAAAGGAAATTGGACTTCCTGGAGTTATTACAGATGGAAATTGTCGATCTTCTCATTTTATATCAAGAATCAAGGAATAAAACTTTATTTCTTGATCCTAAAGCCATCAAATTTCAAGTTTCAAGGCAAAACTAACAAGTAAAAAAGATTTGAGTAAAGAAAATATATGGTACTGTCCCAGGGTCACCATAACAACGCAGGAAACCTCTAGGTACGAGTACAGTATAGAGTGCATTCCTCTAGGCTAATCCTTTTTCTAAAAGGCACCCATTTCAGAATACCGTAATCTGCTCTCCATTTTTCATTGGATCGGCCGAATTTTGGTATCATTCGATGAGAGAATCACAAGGCTCAGTCAATGATACCAAAATTGGGCTGATCCAATGAAAAATCGAGAGCAGATTACGGTATTTTGTCTGAAATGGGTGCCTTTTAGAAAAAGGATTAGCTGAAAGGAAATTGATCAGTAAAGAAGTCAAGAAAGTAGTACTGTACCGGGATCAGTAGCTGAAAATCTAGTATCAAAGTATCCCAGATCCCAAAGCAATCCATTACAATAAAGAACACAAACATAGTCAGATCAAATTTTGCACAGAATCAGACGAATCAAAGAATATCATCGAATATCAGGGAATACTGTGGAATCATCGGAAAGTGCAAATTTTGTGAGCAATGGAGGACGAGAGTGTCCAGTTGGATGGGGGAGAATTCAAAAGGGAAACGGGGGGGCGGGATCAGCAGCAAAAAACGCAACTTCTTTGTGGAGAGCCGTTTTTTATGAAGGTTTCAAGGGATGGGGTAGCCCTAGCCCTCCCCCAGCCATCCCCCCAGCTATTCCCCCAGCTATTCCCCCAGCCCCCCCCCCCAGCCCGGGCCACCCCGTGCGAGGCCAGCACTGACCAGCCCCGCCGGACCCCCTCTCTTTCCCCCTTTTTTGCTCATTTTTTTCGTTTCCCTTTCCGTGACCTAGTGGCCGCTTTTCTGTGGCTTTCACCAATCGGTTTTCAGCTGGAAATTCTCTCTTTTTGCTTTCTGCAGTTCTTTTCCATCTCTTCGCCTTGACCAATCTCTCTTCAATTCTTAGGAGATCTTTTTTTCTGTCTAAGTCTAGAATTTCTCCATGTTCTCTCTTTTGATTTGGTTTTTTTTTCCATATCTAGAATTAAATGCCTTATATTCTATAGGTAATTTCCGTGTTTTCTATGTCTAATTCTATATTCTGCGACCAATTCCTGTGTTCTATTCCTTCTTTATGCTATCTTTACTACTCTCTTTTGAAAAGTTTATGTCTAGACTCGATTTTCTCTATATTCTATGAATATCAACTCTTTTCTCGACTTTTTCTAGTCAATTCTTTATCTTTCTTGAGTCTAGTTCTCTATTTTAGAATCTTTCCTATAGCCAGATCTATGCTTTTCCTCTATCTCAAACAATTTTCATACTCAACTCCTTTTTGTTGTCTTTTCTAGTATCTCATTCTTTCTATGATATAAATCTTTTCCTTGATTTCCTTCAAACTCTATAGAACTGTCTCTTTCTATAGCCCTTTCCTCTAATTTTCTTTCTCAATCAATCCATTTTTCTTTAATAATAATCTTTATTTTCTTGATTTCCCCTCTTTCCTTGGCCATTTACTTTTCCCGTGCTTTCATAATCTTCACCTTACCCATTCAGAATACAGATATTAACACTTGAAAAGAAGTAACCAAAGCTCTATTAGATCTCCCGAAAATGCATTTATTGCTGTCTAAGTTGAAACGGAGAAACTTTTTCCGGATCGTTTCCAGAAAAACTTGAGTTTAAAAATGAGAAAACCATTGTTCGTCAAGACGTTTGACGTGAAGCTCTCAACAACTCTACTTCAAGATCTTGACCTCATCTGGTCTGCATTGAAACCGAATCTTTCTCAATGAGGAAAAATGAAAGGGGAACGTCCCGATTTGCACGTAAACAAGCCAGAAAAGTGAGAAAAGGAGTGAAAGAAGATGAGTGAAAAAGGAAAAAAAACGGGAAGAAAAACCGATTTACAGTCAAAAAATGCAGACTTTTAAAAACTAAGAAAAGAAAGCGAAAGGAAATGAATTTAAGTGAAAGTTTTTGGTTCAAAAATCGGGTCATCGGGTCAATGATTTTGCTTTTTTCATTTTTTTTCACTTTTTTCACTTTTTAGGGTTTCGTATCACGGCGAAACATCGATGACCTGGTTTTCGTTTTTTTTTTCGCGCTTTTCGACTGGACAATGGATTTCCGGGTTTCAATGACTCCGATCTTCAGAAAAAGGGTTTCAGAAAATGAAATAGACTGGAAAATGAAAAATTAACATTAGAAAGATACTGTAGATTTAATAATCGTTAAGAAATTGGTTCCTATGCAACTTTGGAAACACAACTTGAATGCAAAGTGCGTTTGTGGATAATTTTTGGGTCTAAATTTGCATTAAGAATGTTCCTAGAAATGCAAAAATCATACTGTAGATTAATAATGAATGTATATTAGCCAATGAATGATTGCCGAAGCAAAAAAATTGACTTTGACTCGTTTAGATCCAAAGAAACTGCATCAAAAGTGAAACACAATGATTGTGCTTACAGCGAGTCAAAGGCACAGCCCAGTTTCCAACTTTTCGACTCAAGTACGTTTTTAGTACAATAACGTACCGACTTCCTTTTACTATTAGTTATATTTTATGATGTTTAAAATTTGTACAATGTAAATCCTCATTTTTGGTGTTTTCGACTCTGATCATAGTCTGGTTCAAAATGTGCGGTGGCCTCAAAAACGATGTGATTATTTTTAGATTCCGCGAACTAGCCCCATTCAAATTGAAACTTGGCTTCTTGAACTCTCTCCTAAACTACCGTAAATACTGTAATAGTACCCCACCCCCATAATGACGGTGCGGAGTGTCGGGTAGTCTAGCTTTGAACTAGTTTTTCTCGACACTGGTTTATGGTTTCAAAAAAATAGCCCTGAATTTCAGCTATTTTTTGATACCAAAGACGCATTTTTTGAAAGTACGGGCGCTTTGAAAAAAATGAAATACTAAAAAACGTTTGCGACTACGCGACTGTACGAGGGGGGTGAGGTACTATTACAGTATTTACGGTAACTAACTCAAGTCACTTAACGACTTCACTGACTTCAAAGATAGACTTTGTCTTGCTTTGCTTTCAAACTTTTACTTTACTCTCAAATCTTGTAAACATCCCTTTTCTGGCGTAGTCAGTTTCTGATCCCAAGATATTTCAATTTACAGTCAAATTTCGATTTCATCCATTCATTTTCCACCGAATAGTCATTCTCATCGATAGGGAAAAGAGGATAAAAGGGACAAAAACGAATGGGGGTCAGTGGATGTCTAATAGAAAAAGGAAAGAGAATTCGGGACACCCCACTACCAAAAAAACCTCAAAAAGGAGAATGGGGAAAACGTGGGAATCGAGGGAATCGAGGGAATCGAGGGTAAGAGGAAAGTGCAAAAAATGGGAAATGGAGGAAAGATTGGGGTCGATTTGAGGAGAAATGCAAGTAGAAAAGGCTCGAAAAAAGGGGAAGGGGTGACTGGCCGTGCACGGGAGGAGACACCTTCCAACAGCTCCCTCAAAGGATAGACTCGGCACTCCCAGGGATATTCTAAAACTGGGGAGCAGGCCTGGATGACTGGCATGCACGGAAGGAGACATCCCAGCTCCCAGCTTCCCTAGACTCAATACGTTCCCAGGAATGCTTTATGGGTCAAACGAGGATCATGCTTGAACTAACCAAGCCAGATCAGCCTTGATCCTTGCCTCTAAACTACACCGTTTTTAAGGAGGCGCCTACTTATTCAGCTTATTCGAAACGATAATCATATTCAGAGTGTTGTCTTGTCCCCTTAAGGCATTCGGAAATCATTCTAAGGTAGGAATCTGCAAAAAAAAATGATATTCGAAAAAAAGAATTCAAACGATTCAAAAACAACTCTGAATTCACCGTTAAAACTTCCCGAGTTTCAAATTTCTGAATTGAAAACAAGCCATGAGGATGAGGAACCAAACTTAGAGAGATAAGGAACCAAACTTGTCAAAAGGAATGATTGCAACCAATGGCGAGGCGAGGCATTTTAGCTGAACTTAATTGCGAAGAAACAACAACAAACAATGTAGCAAATATGTAGACTGATCTTGTGAATCTATAGAATAAGAATTCTAGCTAGTTTTCGAATTTTTAAGGCAATAATGAGAAAGGAGAACGAGGGGAAAATCCTTGATAAACACCCTACCACGCGGTGGGGGAAAATCGATGGGATTTTTTTTTGTGAACGGAGAAATATTTCGAAAAAGGGAACGGGGCAATGGGCAAAAGAAAACGGGACATGGAAAACAACCCATCAGGGCTGAGTTTGCGCTATTTTTAAGGTGATTTCGACCCGTTTTTGTTAAAAAAGGTCATTCAAAAGGTTTGCCTTCAGAACCCCGTAAACATTCCCTTTCTAGCGCACTCGATTCTTCCATTTTCCACCCAGAGCAACGATTTGGCATCACGGGGAAAATGGAAGAATTGAGTGCGCTAGAAATGCGGTGTTTACGGGATTCGGAGAGTTCAAAAAGTGCACACAATTTAAAATCTCAATTTTCATTCATCTATTATCAATCAAGAACTCGAATTTCCTATTTCAATACATTAAATATTTCCTTTTTTTTCTTCTCGATTTGTTTTGAAATTTTGTTTGAACTTTATTTTGAAACAAACCTCCGCGAATTTGTCTCATCAAAAAAGGTAACTGGAACTCGTCGAGAGTGCAATCGGCTCGATCCAGCTTGTTCTGGAGATCGTCTTTCAATTTAAATTACAAAATAAAGCATGAGAAATTTAAACGGTTAGACAGAGGGCAAGCCGGGACTTGGCTGCTAGCTGTCTAACCGTTTAAATTAAACGAAAGTTTAAAAGTTTCATTTCAATTTGAACAGGATCTTTTTGCAACAATCAAATCAAATTCAATTGAATGAAAAAAAGGTAACTGGAACTCGTCGAGAGTGCAATCGGCTCGATCCAGCTTGTTCTGGAGATCGTCTTTCAATTTTAACATTATATTTCTTAAGAATTGAATCTGCTCGAATACTCAGTTAAAATGCTATTGTCCTTGACATCAGAAATGCCAGGAGTGTTCGAATTTGAGGGAAGTTTCGGTAAATTTTGTCTTTTATAGACTCGCGATTGTCCACTGATTGCTATGCGCCGTTTGAGTTGTTTTTAAAAGGCAAAATATAAGAAAATCTTGGACAATTGACTATAAACTTTGCAGAGATTCAATTTGATGAACCCTATAAAGTTCAAATGTTTTTTACCGAACCTGCAACGCGAATTCGAATCCAGCATCTCGTGCTCTCGACCTCGCCCTCCCCAACGCCATCAATCCATAAATACAACCATTCAAATAAGGACACATCTAAATATCATAAAATAATATCAAATTGTTTAGATTTTCAAGAAAAACTACCTTTATCGACAAAATGAAAGCTACATAAGTTGGGTTTGATTTTAGATCTTCAACTTTTAATCCATCGACTATTCAACTTAATTACCGTCATTTTTCCACTCTATTAATGAATAAAGTTGTAACTCAAGCTATCAAAATATGTCAAATTTCAAATGATTCAGCAGTTTTTACAGTGCGAATGATCATTTTACAAGATTTCATGCAATTACCATCATTTCCCCCCTTTTGTGCCCAATAAACTTGAAAACTCACCGACGAGTTGTGGATTTTCGTGAGAATTTTGAGCGTCTGGATGATCGGATCCAAATATTTTAGGAGAGTCGGTTGACCGGCTTGGCACATGCAAAGATTCATCAAGAGAGCCGCACCGAATTCTTGGGCTAAACGAGGGAAATCTTTGATGTGAAGCGATTGGAGAGCTTAAGACTTCAATGATATTTGTGAAATTGGGAATAGTTCAAAACTAAGGCAAGCCTCGATTCGATTAAACAAATGTATCTTTTCCTTGAACCATTTGAAACATTAAAATTTCATAGCACTAGTGGTTTTGATTTGTCATTCACGATAAATTTGACTAATTAGAAAACGATCTTTGAGCTTTAAGGTGAATCCTTTGAAACTTTAGATTTCGAAAGGTTTTCGGTGGTTTTATTCAATTGTATATGGTAAGAAAAGGAAAAAGAAAAAGCCGATTGGTCCAAACCGTCAATGTTACAACTGGAATATCTTGAAACATCTCATTTTATTTCAGTGCTATTTCAGTGCTGTTTGATTAGAAAACAATTAAAGTACTCCAAGTCGAATAAGTTATAACTTAAAATTACAAAAAGTTCTGTTTCCTACCGTAACTCGAGAGTCTTCCCTCCAAAATCGGCAACAACCAATCGAGGACGCCGAGTTGGAGAAGATCGCGTTGAACTTGTGAGCTAAAAGGTAAAAAATCAAAGATTCGAACATGATTTCAACAGGTACTGTTTATAAAAATACAACAATATAGCTTTTGTCGCGTACTTTTATTCATTTAAAAATAAAACCGTTTTGAAAAGAAATCTCGAATGAAGATTAAGCTTTTGATGCTTGATCTAGCTCCAGGGATATTCTAACTGGATCTGCAAGCTAGATTAGACCAGAGGGCAAGCCAGGACTTGGCTGCTAACTGTCTAACCCGACCTGGCCTGAAAAAATTACTTTTAAAACCACCTGTCTAGCCTCTTTTTGATACTAAATGTTTCAAAGTATACAAAGTGTTCGTCTTCTTCTTTAATTGACCATCGAAATCATCCAAATTCATGAACTCACTCAAAGTTGAACATTCCATTTCAACACCCACCGTATGCTCAACTTCTGCAAAGTCGCCAAAAGGTTATCCTGTGTTTGCGAGTGAATTCTTTTCGTTCGCAAGCATCCCAAAATTTGCCCCATCAACTCTTTTCCTTGTCCGATTGAGAGCAGATAATCACGACCCACTAAAATGGTTGAATGTAGTTTGATTTCAAGTTTCAAAACAAATTAGAGACATAAAAGGTTTGGAGATAAAAGGCTTGGAGGTCATCTGTGTAAAAGAATTGCTGTGAAAAGATTAGTTCCAAGTTGAACGGCTAGTTTGAGTAGTTTAGGACTTGATTTAAAGCTCCATGTATTGTATTCCTCTCAGTTAATCCTTTTTCTAAATACTTTTTCTAATTTTAGACAAACTACCGTGATCTGCTCTCCATTTTTCATTGTATCAGCCCAATTTTGGTATCATTCTATGAGGAATCACAAGGCTCAGTCAATGATACCAAAATTGGACTGAACGAATGAAAAATGGAGAGCAGATTACGGTATTTTGTCTGAAATGGATCAACGAAACCAAACCTTTAAACGAGGCGATGGCGTTGACGAAACGAGCCAACTGTTCGCGACTCTCCAAACCGTTCGACTCGGAGCCGAGGAAAATCGTCCCAGTCACAGACTGAAATGTCTAAGTGCTAAGCAATATTCCTTTGAGCATAAAAACAGTTTTAGTTTAGAATTCCTTTCGTAGTTTATCAATAGTTTTATCAAATGCAATATTTTAAAGATTTTGGAACTAAACCTACCGTTTTCCGATGTCTCAACAGCAAAATATCCCGTTCGATCATCAAATCGATCGATTTCTTCGCGTACATTTTGCACGAAGAGACGCTGATTTGCTAAAATTTGAATGAATGAGCAATTTGCATATGTTGTAATTAATCCGGAAAAGGTTTTAAATGATTTCTTCAACGATTTCTTCTATTCGGCGGCTTTTTCTGTTTGCTCACCGCTTCTGGAGCTCAGAGTCAGAGCTCAGAGAGCTTCTGGAGCGAGTAAAACATTAAAAAAGTGAGTTTCAAGTGTTTTTCAGTTTACAATAGTTTTACAATAGTACAATTTTAATTACAATAATTACAAAGTTTTACATACAAATGTTTATTGTATTAGTACTGTGAAATGGTTTATGCTAAATTTTGTTCAAGAATTTACAAGTAAGAAATTTTTTTGGATTATAGAAGTAACCTGCTACCTGTAACTTGTAAAATAGAAAATGGATTGCCATACAGATCACAGATAGTTTAAGCTTAGCTGTGCTTTCTATTTAGCACTAACTTCACTGCTAAGCAAGACTATAGCAGGCTCAATTTTTAGCCTTATTCACTGGGTCACTGTAAAGGCTCACTCATTTGTATGACTACAATATAGTCGCATCAAAATCAGCTCAATTGTATATCTCTATTTTCCTAGAATAAGTGAATCTTTTGCGAGGCGTACTTCTATGAGAACAATGCAAATTACGACAAGGGAATGGCAATTGGAGTGATCAAATCGATGAGGATTCTCGCCATCACAAATATTGTGTATTAACAGAGTGTACTTTGTACTGTCAAATCCCATAAACACCCCTTTCTGGCGCACTCAATCCTCCCATTTTCCCTCATGACACCAAATCGTTGCTGTGAGGGGAAAAGGAAGAATTGCGTGCGCCAGAAAGGGTGAGTTTACAGGATTTGTGAGCACAAAGATATCAATTCAGATATCTTTTTGTTTAGTTATTCATTTTCTGCGTCCTTCTCTTTCTCAACGTGTACTACTCTCGAGTTGCGCATGTGCATCGTGTGAAAATCCTTGTCCGAAAACGGAATCACGCCCTCGTTCAACAGCTGACCATGTGAGCGACTCATGCAAATCAATTTTCCAAAAAGGCACCCATTTCAGACAAACTACCTTAATCCGCCCGCTATTTTTCATTGGATCAGCCCAATTTTGGTATCATTCTATGAGGAATGTTCATATTATTATTCATTCACCAAAAGATATTCATTTCAGACAAAATACCGTAATCTGCTCTCGATTTTTCATTGGATCAGCTCAATTTTTGTATCATTGACTGAGCCTTGTGATTCATCGAAAATTGAGATGATCGAATAAAAAATGGCGATTGAATTACGGTAATTTGATAAAATTGGTGTCTTTGAGAAAATGGATTGGCTTCGGGGAACATATCGAGAAGTTTTCTTATGTAAATTCTTCTAGTGCATAGAAATGAGTGAGACGAAATTGTTCTCAATGCTATTAGTGCTGGAAATCTTCCATGTAAATTTTTTTCTTTCAAAGCAAATTTTTAATTTTTAGCGATTCGTGACTTTTCACGCTGATCACCGTCGAAAAACCGTTTACAATTTGGATTTTTAAAGCTTTTTAACAAATTTCTACAAATTGCATGCGTTTAAAATGAATATTTTTCTATTTTGCAGTACTTTTCAAATGACAATCAAAAATTGTATTGTAAAAATGATTCTTTTTGTGTTTTAGCTAGTGAGAAATGCTGAAACGAGGCTTGTTGAGAGGAAACGACTAAATCGATAAATGAATATGAGATTTTAAAAGGAATTTTCGAGTGTTGAAGTTTTATTTTTGTGTCTTGAGAGAATAAATACAGTAGCCACAAGCCGCATATTAAAGCTACAAGCAAGTTTTGTAAGCAGTTAAATGACAAAAAGTGGCTTTGTCGCCGAAAAAATTGAAACTTGATGTCTTCGAGCTGAATTTGGAAGCTTTTAAGAATACTTTCAACTTGAATCCTTTTTATAAAACGTGTCCCCTTTCTCTTTCTACTGTAATCCTGCCTCTATTTTTATGCAATCTATTCTCTTTTTTCGATATTCTTTGTGAATTCTCACAAAATCAAACAAAAAGTGGAAAGATTGGATAAAAAAATAGAGGCAAGATTATGGTAGAAAGGGGGCACGATTTAGAAAGCTCTTTAGTCAAGAAGAGCAAGCTTTAACGGTAATTGGATTATGGTAGAAAGAGAAAGAGAACATCTTTTGGGAAACGGATTGAGAGGCCAAACTCATTCACTACTTTTAACTGTTTACTTGGGTTTTTATTGGATTTACTTTTAACTGTCTGGTTATTTTTGGGTTAAAGCCTTCGATTACGTTTCCTTCCTAATTACAATTACATTCCCTTAAATCTATCTATAGCTGCAGAACTTGAAATTCAATTTTTAAGCCAATAATTCACCGATTCCACAGAAAATCTCATCAAATACAAATTCCGAACCTGTCTGAGCGCCTGCAAGAGTAGAGCTGAAGTGCGACTTTGCGGAGATTGGAGGAGAAAATTCGAGATTCTCGACAACATCAAGTCGGTCACCAATGGTTCAGATGAGGAGGGCGTTGGACTGGAAATCGGGTATCTTTTAAACTTCCCAAAGTTTAAAACATATTACCGGGGAACGCATATTACTTTTAGAGTTTGAACAATGACTTTGACCACTTTGAAACATTGGTCAGTACTTTGGCAGTCAGTGTCTTAGCAAGTTGAATGTCCTTAAACTTGTTCATCGAAACTCAAATTTAGTGCTACATTATGTTAAAGTTATAAGCTGAATTAATATCTTCTTTTAAAAGATTAATATCTGTTTTGAAATCACACAAAAATGTTGTGAAAGAATAGTTGCGGGGTGCGACGGACTGGTACTCATTCTCCTTATATTGTAGAAGTACACTTCGGGATCCTGTTCACTATTATCAATGGGTTTCTAAGTTTAAATTGATGTTATATTTTTATATTATCCACTTTCTAATTACAAAACCTTTGATTCGTTGATCTAGAGCATCACATGAACTGGGATTGAAACTTGAGCATTAACATTAGCTACTTTGAAACATTGTCTTTACAAACCAACCCTGGATCTCTTGGCGGTGATTGTGGATCGATGGGAACTGTGTGCAGGGACTCACATTTGCGGAGATTCGTTCGACCTGAGAATTTTGATCATTTCTTAATAAGAAAACCCCTTTTTGTTGAAAAAAAAATCAATTATCATGCAAACATCTGAAGTTGAAAAGGTTGAAACAAGAGTTTTCATTTGATCATCTATTGATTGGTAGTTTTGAAAAGCTAATTAGGCACATTTATTTGTAACGAACGATTTCTTTCGGTCAAGGATCGTCCTCTTCTTGGCGGTACTCCTTTTCGGACCATTCTTTTCTCGGCTTCCTCATTCGTTGTCGTGACTTTTTGCCGCAACTCGGCTACAATGGAGGATGAACACTGAAATAATCAGTTACTTTTATGGTACTTTAAATAGAGCTGGATAAGATTCTAGAGCCTGTAAACCAGTAAACCGATCAAAGTTCAAGTTTAGGCTTCAAGTTTGGCTTCAGGCTGGCTGGCTCATGCCCATGGATACCTACCGTCATCCAAAGATAATTCAAAGGTTTTTTCAAAGTACTGCAACAAACAGTCAAATTTTTAGCATTGTAACCCTTTTTTGCTTTTAAAACTTAATGCTTTCCTGATTATTATGTTGATTTACAGCTGAAGCCCTCAAAATTGAAACTTAGTTTCTGACTTTCGAGTTTTTCCCTTCATTTTTGTTGTGTTCCTGAGTAAATGACCCAATTTTTGTAGCTTTTTTCAGATTTTCACATAGATATAACTAATCTCAAACGTTAGAACTGTTAGATGATAGCTCATTTTTAAAAGCCGAACCTTATCCCCTCTGGAAGTTCTCTCCAAATGTGTCACCATATCACAGGCGACATCGTACACTTGATAGTAGTCAGATTGAAGCTCCAAGTAGTCGTCCTGGAATTTTAAGAATTACAGTAAAAATCTAAGCCGATTTTGTTTTAAGCAGTTGAATGGTCCAGAACCGGACCAGCTCAAAAACTTACTCAGAAGATAAAAGAAAAAAACAGTAAATTACATTACATTAAACTACAAAGATGCTTTTTTTAAGCCGATTAATTTAAAATTTGGACTTTTTCAAAGATCAGTCGATACATTTGCAAGCAATTAATCAATCAAATCTTTCCTGGCAGGAACTAAAAAGAGCAAAGGTGACTTAATATTAAAAATTTTGAAACTTGAGCTTTTAAAAGTTGTTTTTTATTAAAGTTAAATTGAGTAAAGATTTAACAAGTGCAAAAGTATATCAAAGTTGGAATTAAAAATGGAAACATTGCCCCTAAATTCATCACGTTTGACCAGGTGAAATTGCGGTAGTCAAGGGAATCAAAAAAAGAAAAGGAAAAGTTAGGCTACAATGACAGACTTGTCATCACTGGAAAATTGGAGGTTTCAAGTTTGATTGGATCAAAAAGGTGATCAGAGTATTAATAAATCAAAGCCTTTGAAATAATCTAAAATGGTTTCATGGAGAGCTAGTGCTTTGTGCTCTCCGAATCCCATAAACATTCCTTTTCTGGCGCACTCAATTCTTGCATTTTCCCCGTGACATCAAATTGGTGCTGTGAGGGGAAAATGGAAGAATTGAGTGCTCCAGAAAGAGGGTATTTACAGGATTCAGCGAACAAAAAGTAAATCAAAAAGAATCCATGAAAATCAACTCTACAAGTTTCGTAAAAAGAAAATATTTTTGTTTTGCTCAAATTTTTAAAAGCTTTTTTTCAAGAAAAACGCTTCGAAAAAAGCTAAACCCTAGAATTTTTAATGTCTTTTGTTTTCTCTAGCATTGTGGGCTTGGTAGAATGCAAAAAAAAATACGAGGAAGCTATACGTTTAAACTAAAATCTAGGAATTGGAAAAGGAAAAGGGCTATGGTGAATAGATTTAGAATGCAATACCGTTATACCACCACAAGACGTTAATAAACACAAAATTTTATTTTGAAACAATAAAGATTTCCATTCCTAAAGCCATAGTTATATTTGTGAGCAAAGCGATAGTGTAGCTCAATTTTGGTACTGTGCACCATACAGTTCCAAGAAAAAAATCGAAAGCTGACTAACTTGAAGAAATAAAAAGATTATAAGCTGATCTTTTTGTGATTTCAGGATTAAAAATGAAGTCTGCTCAGTTATAGTACTTTAACGATAGAGTTAACACGTTGACGACAATGGCGTTTTTGCACAAACAATCGCATAGGACCACGTTGTTTTTTTTCGACAAAAAATGTCACCTGACATCAGGTGACAATGTCCCAGGCGAACGAATATGTGTCGGACAGCATCAGGTGACAATGTCGTCAACGTGTTAAGAAGATTATTAAGATATTAAAGATAGAGTTAAGAAGGTTTTCAAACCAAAATATCAAAGAAATATCAAATATAGAGTTGTTATTTCAACTGAGAAGTAGTCAATTTCAAATATTCAAAAAATAAAAATAGTTGAGGAGTGATAATTCCAAATTCAAATCCAAAAATTATAAGACAAATATATGCTTAGTAATCTGTAAAGGCTGAGAGTAAATGAGAAACTATAAAAGCTTAAAAGAAGCTCACAGTCACTCAAAATCCTTCAAGCTTTCAGTTCTGCACTAATTTTTGCAAGAACAAGTTCAATTTTTAAAACGAAATCATAAAAATTTGAACTAACCTAGTAACAGCTGAGTGTTTTTCAGGAAAGTGCACAATTTTCTGCTTTTTTTTTCACCGGCTAAGATTGTACTTGAATTTTTGATGGAAAATGGGAAGGGTCTCCACTGGCAACATCAACAAAAGAGGGCAAAGTCGTTTGGGAAAAACACACAAAAATGGGGCATCAAGAGTGGTCAGTTTTGTGTACAGATTTGTTTCTTTCAAGAATTCAACCCAAGAATAAGATTAAAAGCGATTAAGGGCACTCACCGTTGGCATCGTTGCACAATTTCACTCGTTGTGCTGCATCAAATTTTCGTCGGCATTATCTAGAAAATGTCTTTTGCAGTGTCGGGAAAATGCGTTTCAATAGCCATAAAAGAGATCACACTAAATTAGACTTTTAACTATAAAAGTTATCAGATTTGAAACTTGACAAATCGTAACTAGACGAGCCAACAATAAATAGAGTAGTTAATTTTATTCTAATGGCTTAAAGGGAAAAATTTTGAAACATAAAAACTCACAATAACTAAAAAGTAATTCCTAGATTTGAAAAGCATTCAGCTGAGTGAATTGAATATCTTGAAATGCCTTTTTTGAGGCCGAGGCTGTTTTGGCGAGTCATAAAATACACAAAAGAGTAATAAAGTTGGGGTTTTTAAATGTATTGAACGAATTTTTGAGATTAACAATTTTGTATAGGTACTAACAATTCGAAAAACAATGCTATGGATATAACAAAAATTTCCGAGAAGAAATAGGCCTAGCTTGAACTGGGGGTACTTAAAATTTTACTGTGATTTGGCCCAAGTGGTCATGGCTAGCAAAAACGTCAAATTTCCAGGCTCTTGGAGCATTTTGAATTATAGAATTAGAATTTCAGAGGTTATTCATATTTTCTTTTTAATTTAAACAAAGTAGAAAGTAAAACAAACAAACAAACAAGACAAACAAAAGTAAAGTAGATCGATGGTTGGATACTTTGAAACATGAATCTTTTAGAAAAATTCAAAGTTTCTGGAAGAAAAAGTGTTCAATTGGGGGGCTAGGCGACAAGCGGCACACTACATCGGAATTTCCCCTCGTTTAAGGGAAAAGATTTCAAAATCATTGGAGATTTATGGGGAAAAGTGGGATGGCTATTTGTGAGGAAAATATTGGGAAATGCGGTGAGGTTTTTGAGAAAATTTTTGAAGAAAAATTTGGAGTGCAAAAGGCGGGAAAGGGGGTTGCCATGACGAAAGGATTCTTATGAATGAAGATGAAAAGAGAAAGGGAAATCTAAGGGGAAATATGTAGATGGATGTGTATAAAGTAGAGGTAGTCGAGTACTTGATACACTAGAATAGCACGTGGGTGAATGGCGTCGTTCTTTTAGTTTTCGGCCCTAGCAATGAGAATCCATAAGATCTGAGGTCTTGGTGATCTAGTTGTGTATAGCTGATTGTGAATCTGTACAGGATAGTACAGGATAGTACAGGATTTCAAAATGGTTCTGGAATGTGAGTTTTATACAAAGCAAGCACTGAACCACTGAAAATAAAGACGTTTCAATCTAGGTTCTGTATAAAAAATCTCTGAGTTTGTCTGAAGCCTCTGACCTCTGGTTTGACTAGTTTACAGGTCCTGAGGCCCGCTTGCAACAGCTTGGTCAGACACAAAGGTCAGGCCCAGCTTGGCACAAAACTAGCTCCAAGCCCTTCGGGCTAGACCAGATTAGAAAAGCAGCTGTCCGTAATTTTTAGTCTACTCCTTTTCAATAAATGAAAGTCAGAGAGAGCTCAGAAACTGAGCAACCATGCGGTAATCCGTCGGAGAAAACAATGACCAACTCATTACGAGATCTCAGTGCATAACTTTACTTTTCAAAAGTACAGAAAAAGTAATTTGTACATAAATTCTGCAAAAACACTACAAAAAAATACCTTGGGAACTTTGTTTGAAAAGTGTTTGTTTCAAAATGTTTCAAAGATTAAGTTAACTAACTGATTAAGGTAACTTTCGGCTGTTTATTAATTTCAAATAGTTTTCAACGTTTCAGTATTTCGTCCAGTAATTCATTTGCATTTTTGTTCGCTTTTTAATATTTCGAATCGCCGTTCTAAGAAAGCCTAAGAAAAATATCAAAGCAAAAAGCAAAAAAAAAGATTAAACAAAGTCTTCGCAGGGATCGATGAGTGCTAAAGGGGGTTGTCAAATAAAAAGCCAAAGAAAGATTCGTCGTCTCGATATAAAATGCATGTGAGTGTTCCCACTTTTTGCCGGACTCATCTTCGATTTTTTTCCATTTCTTTTTACTTTTCTTGTGCCAATTGATGTAAGTAAGTTGTTATTAATGAGCTCAAAAATGGCAAATTACTGTAAGTGAGAAACAGTATGATGCGAAAATGCTAGTGAAAGAGGCCCAGGAAGGTTTTTCAAAACGAATTTTTAAACTCCACGCTAAATGTAGATTGAATTTGGTTTGACTTATCGTCAAAATAAAAAATACCAAGCAAAAATGCTGATTTTTATGCGATTTCGTCAAATTTGCGTTTAAATTTAATTTATCTTGGCAAATTTGCATTTAAAATCTGTACAAATGCTCGTTCGCTCGACAAACTTTTCATTTCGATTCATCTTCTTGCAAGAACCTCTACAACTAAAAGTAAGTAATTTTATTCGTTTTTGGTTCTTTCGAAATCTAACTAAAAGAATGGATAATTCTTAGAAAAAGGTTACCGTTTCAACTTAAAACGATAAATTTGCATTACTTTTGTTATCATTCACTTTTCAATCTTGTAAAAATGATCGATTTTGCCTTACTTTCACAACTTTAGATCCATGGGTGAACCGACGACAGTGTCGAGAGCGGACGGATGGAGGCAACGAGTCAACGGATGGCTCTTCGGCTTCTTTGTTTTAACCTCGTCGTTGTTTGGTGGGTATTTTTATAGGTGAAGCATGTTTGACTTGAATTTGCTTTGATGAATGAGCCAAACTAGCTAACTGCATATTAGCACTGCACTGCACAAGCACTGCATATTAGACTTGTTAGTTGTTAACACTTACTGCATAATTACCAATTACACCACTTAAGCATCAGTGCCCTGAGAAGCTGTAAGACCATGGCTGTTCTGAAGGCAATTTTTCTGAGATTTCTCTGTTAGAAAATGCCTGGTACTCTTTTTAGGCTCTCATTAGTGGTAATCACAAAGGAATAATCTATTTTACATTTTCAGGCACTCTCTACTTTTTTCTTCCCTTCGTTCCACTCATGTTTCTCGCTCCGCGCATCTGGCGGCAATACATTGATCGTTTGAGCGGCTATTGGACCTACGTGACAGCGGTTGGTGGTTATATAGTTGATTTGGAGAAAATTCTCTTTGTTTAGGGGATGATTCGCTTGTTGTTCGGCGTGAAAACCCGGGTGATCGGGGACAAGATCGAGGCCGAAGAGATGGCGCTGTACATTATGAATCATCGAACAAGGTAGCTGTTACTTTACATCTTCGGCAAATGTTTCTACTTTAGTTTGGACTGGCTTTTCTTTTGGAATGCCCTTTACCAACAAGATCCACGGCTCACAGATTCGCAGAAGGTCATCCTGAAGAGCAGCGAGAAGTATTTGCCGGGAGGCGGTGGGGTTTTTGCTGTGCTACTATAGACGAACAAGGATAGCTTGCTGAAAATCTATTAGACTTACTTAAACATTAAAGTGGGTGAAAACGAGCCTAATAGGACTAGATTAACGAGTTCGGTAGTTAAATTGTGATTTAAACTTTCTTAAAAAGTATTTTTGGCTATATAAGTTGCTTTTTTCTAGGCTGGGCAATGCAATGCAATAGCTTCATCTTTCTGGAGCGAAACTTCCAGAAGGACAAGATGAAAATTCGGCAACTCCTCGACTACTACACGGATATTGGCAACAGTTATCAGGTTTTACGAACTTGTTTTTGCTATTAAATTTATTTTTAGCTTCTACTTTTCCCAGAAGGCACGGATCGATGCCCGAAAGGGGCGCTCAGAAATGAGCGATATGCGGCTAAAATGGTAACTAAAAAATTGTATTATTTATTCTTGCTTTAGGATCTAAAGCCTTATTCGTATGTGCTTCATCCGCGAACCAAGGGATTCGTCTACATTGTGCAGGAAATGAGAAGATGTGGGTGGAATTTCAAGATCCCTGAGTTGTTCTTATTTTTAGCTGGAAAACTGAAGGCAATCTACGATATCACCGTTGGATACAAGGATAAAATCGTGCAGAAGGAGACGGATATCGTTTTCGAGGGGCTCGCCCCACAGGATGTACACTTTCAAGTGCGAGTTTTGCCCATTTACTAGTCAATCAAGCTGTATCATAACTTAGACAGCAAGAAATTTGAAACGTTTCTTTGTTTTAGATTATCCGAATACCCATTGAGCAATTGCCGGACGATGATCGACAATTGGTGGAATGGATTGAAAAGAGGTCTTTTGCTTTTTTCCGCTGTTGACTCTGATGTGACCTTTAATTATATAACGGTTGTTTTTTTACAGATGGGCCAACAAAGAAGAGAAGCTACGACAATTCTATGAGGCTCCCCGTGGAGAAACTTTTGAGAATACACCGCAAGGAGCAGAATATGAGGTTAATTTATCGTTAAAATTTGAGAACGGTCAGCTATGTAACTTTAAAACCTGTATGATGCTTTTTTTTCCTAGCTAATTTCTATCGTTTAGTTGACGCCCGACGCGGAACGAATGAGCAGTTTGGGTATCATCGCTTGTGCTGGCGGGACCGTGTTGTGGATGCTCGGCTTGCTGCCGTTCTCGTCGATGTTCTCGTGGTTCTCGTGAGTTTTCAGTTCGAACCTCAAACCTGCATATGCTTGGCTATCGGCTTGTACTAGAATTGTGGCTTCTGCCATGTAAATTACTGCTACATAAGTATAGTACAGTAAGATAGTTTTAATTAAGATATTGCTCTACCTGGGCCATTAAACAGTTTCATTTTCTTCGTTTCAGATTCTGTGGTGTCCTGTTCTACCTGATTGTGCCCGTTTTGTTTGGCGGTGTCGAATTTTTGGCCATTGAGGGGTGGGTTTTTGTTTCTACTTGCAAAGATAAAGTTCAGCTCCAAAATGGACTTGACTAAGGTTCTAAGAGTTGTCATGAGTTTCAGAATATTGAAGTATTGGAGATTTTCTAGCTGTTTAGAGCTATGGCGTTATACTTTTAAAGAGCAGGACGGTAAATCTTGAGTAGTTGACTATAAGCAAACTATAGTAAACTTAAAAATTGGGATTTCATTTTCGTGTTTTAGACTCCGTTTCTCGAAAGGGTGGACTAAGCAAAAGCGAGCCGACTAGCAAATTCGTTTGCGAAAAATCTTGACAAAATTGCCTCCTCGAATCGTTTTTGTGTCGTTGCCCGTTTTACAAATTTTTGTGATTTCTACCATTTTTTTTCTCCTAGTCATTGTGTGCCTACACAATGGAGAAAAAAATGGTAGAAATCACAAAATTCTTTTCTCTCTTTCACATCAAAATTCTCATCACTTTTCCCTCGTTTTGTGATGAGATTTACCTGTACATACGCATGTGTTTAACCCCGGAATTGTTTGTATCTCTGTTTTGACTTTTTTGCTTGAGTTCTTTTGTACTTGTACAAATTTGGTTGCTTTGTGAGTGACTTTATGGGAATGATTGAGTGCAAACAAAAGGGTTTTCTGTGATATCTGGAGTAACGTCAGCTGTTGGCTTGGCTCAACTTTTTGAATCGTTGATTTGAACAAAGAATTTTAATCTAAGAACTTTTTCATCGGGACTTCATGCAATTTTTAAAACGGTAAGAAAGCAAAGTAAAGCCTAAATTTTTATGACTTTTGGTGGAACTTTGAAATTCAAAATTGTCAAGCTAAACCTTGTCAGGCTTTTTTTAACTTCAAATTTGTATATATTTTGAAAAGTTTATTCATTTACAAAAACACCGCCACAAAAAGCTCGCTTGTCAAAGTAAAATGCAGACAAAAAAGAAGAAATGTGTTTTGCGGGAAATACAATAAAAATACCAAGTATAATGAAAAATGTTACATTTTGATCACCTTGAAGCTTTTTTTTCACTAGATTCAATTCAATTTTATAGGGTAAAGATATCACAATGGATTGACATTTTATGCTGTGAAAGATTGAGGGGAAACGGGTAAACGCAAGCCATCTGGTGCCCTGATTCGGGGCACTAAATTGGCTGGTTTGTGTGAAATTTTTGCTTTTTTGGGAAAATTTTCGAATCGATAGAGGCAAGAAAGGGATTTTCGTAAAGGTACTGTAAATAGCCTAGCTTCAATGAAAGAAATGATTGAATAGCTTTCAAATTAACGTATTCGGGCTTTCAGTTCAACTCTTACAGTACCCTTCACCTAAATTTTTTTTGAACAGATTCTCAAATGCAAAGCGAAAAGAAAGTAGAAGAATTTGTGGATGTACTTTGTGCTTAAAAATGTAACCACCCCCTTTCTGACACGCTCAATTCTTTCATTTTCCCCACACAGCAACGATTTGGTGTCAGGGGGAAATGGAAGAATTGAGTGCGTCAGAAAGGGGATGTTTAGGGGATTCGGAGAGCATAAAGTGTACTTTAGAACAGAAAAATGAAGAAAAAACGATCGCCGGTTTCTATCAGATACCCATTTTTGCTAGACACAGAGAGGGAGAAGACTATATAACGGAGAAAAATTCGAATGCAATATGGAAGGATCCAAAGTTTTTGTTAACTAGACGATCAAAGCATTTGGAGTCGTATTAAGGAATCGTTCTCTCGTAATTTTGAAATAAATGAAGGATACACTAATCCAGTCTTTTGTCTTACTACAGTACCATTACAGTACCGGAATTAAAAGCATTCAGCTAATGTTGGTTTTATTTCGGTTTTCTTTGGTTTTATTTGAAGCTAAAGATTAGCGTTTCAAATTCGGCCACTTAAAACTTGAATCGACTCCTTTAATCAAGCTCGAGGGTCACAGGCTTTGTTTGACTACAGTATATCGGGAAAAAAAAAAGATTAAGCTTTCGGTATACTGTGATGTGAAAAAGACTGTAGTATTACCATATTTTTAAGGTCAAATTTCATAGCTCAAAGCATTTCTACATGCTTTCAAATTTGCTAGTTTCAAACTATTTAGGGTCATTTCAATTATCCTAATTTTAGACCCTCGATTTAACATTCAGAACATTTAAAACTTTGGACCTTCCCTAAAAGATTTCAATTATCTACAGTGATCAATTTTGCTAAATTCCAGTGCAATACACGATCACAGACACTTGTGCAACAAGTTAAAAAAGATAAACATAAAAAATTTTAGTAAACGAATTTGTCAATAAATCGATGATGAGCTACGGTTTGGTAAAACGTAAAACAAATGCAAATTAAGAATTAAAATATACAATATTTGAAGATCCTCTGTGGGACTCGACAATCCACAAGATTTTACAAAAAAATCACAACAAAATGAAGAAAATCGTGTTGGCAATTTTGGGAAACTTCATGTTTCAAAAAGTTTCAAATTTTGGAACATTTTGATCCCAAAATTGGCATACACGAGATTATGCTGTTTTTCACAATTATGCACACTGTTTTTCTGAATTCCTTATCTCATTTAACCCCTCTGGAAGAAGGATCCCCAATTGGTGGGCAGACTTGGCATGTAGCTGTAGATACGCTCTGTCAGTGGGGCTGATGATTGGGAATGAGCGGAATCGAGGGAATCTGAAGAACGGGTTGATGAGGGTGCTGATTGGAGTGGAGCCTGGAAATGGAAATGGGATAACGGAGTCCATTCAATTCTATTTTCTTTAGTATTCATGAAGTCGAATACTTTGAAACAACCAATTTTTCTCAACAAACTTAATAAAACCAACCATTTTGTTGCTGATTTTGTGCGGATTGCGATCCCGCGAATCCTCAGCTCTCCATTGAGTGCTCCTGAAAGAAAGTTTATCAAATTTTGAATAGCAATTACCTATTCAAGTGATTTCATTTAATATTTTTACTGATTTAAGAAAATTTATTGAAATAAAAGCAGCTCGGCGGATTGGCGACTCATCAGATGAACAGAGGCCGTCTAGCTTGAAACTTTGATTCGATAAATTAAATGATAAGATTTCTTTCATAAAAAAGACATATTATAGTAAAAACACAAGGTTAAAGACATAAGGATGAATTATATGAATTATATTATATTTAGTGTCCACTTAACCACAAACCTTTCGTTGTTCGAGGATTTCGGGGTGTGTTTCGATGACTCGCATCAAAATCCCGTTGATGTAGACGCGGAGCTTTTGATTGCAAATCTCTTGCTCGCGTAGTGCGTTCACCAACTGTAAATTTGCTATTTGTCATTGAAAGCAAATAATTTGGATTCGAAAGTAAGGTTTTTGCTATAGACGTGCACGCTAGGCACGCTGCACGCAAATGATTGCCCCATACTTTGAAATTTGAGGTCACCTAGTTTGAAACATGAATATTTTTGGTTCACCTAAGGTTTTTTTTTGGTTTTTTTGGTTTACTTTTGCTTTTTTAGCCTAGTCATTAAAGAAAATAGATCTTTAATTTGTAGCTCTCGCATCGAAATACATCAACTTTTTACTTATCAAAATATTCTGTTATTAAGCTTCGTATTGTAAAAGAGAAGTCACTAAGTTTGCGACATGCTTTTTTATATTTGGTTTTCGTAATGATTCTAAATAGAAAATTTGATTTCAGGTTCTAAATTACCTATTTAGATTAGATTAATACTATTTTGCTATTATAGAGTTTTGGTTTTTGAAACAAGCCTCAGTTGTGTCTTTCCCATTCAACTCTTCAGCAAGCGAGACACCCATTCCATCTTCGAGCAAACTTCGGCCTCTTTCCACACTTTCTTGCAGCATTTGGGTCTAAAAAGTACTAGGCATTACAGTATCCCTAAAAGGTTTAAGTTTGGTTATAGATCATTTTTAAAACTCTGTTTTAAACCCTCGAACCTGTAACTCTTCATTGTTCTTTTTGAGCTCACGACACTCGGCTCGCAATCGAGCCACCTCGTCCTCCAAAGAAACCATCTGAAATTTATTTTGAAATATAGAAATGGGACAGTAAATTAGTGATTTCTCTAACAAATCGACGTTCAATACATTTAAACAATTTCTTTTATAATTGCACAAAAACTTAGGACTTATCTAGTTCTACTTAGATTCAACGATCTTGTATCCATTTTTCTTTTCTGCGCTTTAACATTTTGGGGTTAAAGCTGCATTCAATGCACGTAAAAATTTGCGTTTAACTAATTGTCTTAACACTAGAGCTCAAGGTTGGCCCAAGAATTGTTCCTAGATCAAGTCAAGCTAAGGCTTGCAAATGTTAGCATTAACTCAAATGGATTACTGTAAGTCTGCTGTAGATAGTTAAGTTGACCGGTGGAGTTAAGATCTTTCTTGTCGATTGGCACCTGTTCAGCGATACTTCCTTGTCTCGGCATCGACGCTCTCGATCTCAATTCCTCGGTTTGCCGACTCAACTCTTCGACCATTTCACTCGACGAATCGATCTCGTGTTGGGTCTCTTGTTGAAATCTGAATTATTGAATTTAGATAAATTCTATACAATAAATTCTATTACTAAAAGTAAATCAAAATCAATGAAAAGTATCTAAATAATGACTGCTTGAAAGGCATGTTTCAAAGTGTAAAAAAAAAAAAAAAACAATTTGAAACAATTCTTTAGCCCTGATCGACAACTTTCGACGATTTTAAAGCAATCAGAAGTAGAGTGTTCTTCTAATCCTTTTTCTAAAAGGATTAGAAGAACACATTTCCATTTCGAAGAAACGGTAATTTGTCTAAAATTCCATTTTAAACAAATTACCGTAATCCGCTCTCCTTTTTTCATTCGATTACCCCAATTTTGGTATCATTCGACAAGGCTCAGTCAATGACACCAAAATTGAGCTGATCGAATGAAAAATGGCGGATGAATCACGGTAGTTTGTCGAAAATTGGTGCCTTTTAGAAAACAGATTAGAGGAGAGGCGGACTCTAGTAATTATTGATTTTCAAACAAATGTTTCAAAGCGCTCGTTGCGTGGGGAAAAGTTGTAAGACTATGGGGCCTGGTCGTCTTTTATTTATCGTCGGTTCAATTGATTCTTTGCCTAAACCTTTCCATATTTCGTCAAAATCTATGAAACCTCTTGTATTCTCTCTCCAATTTGATCCTTTCATTCTCCAAATCTTCAGCCAAAAGATTCGCCTCAGCCACTTCATCCTTCAGCTTTTCGTTGTTTTCTTTCAAATGGCGATTCTCGTCGGCGAACTTTTCGCGTTCCTTTTTCAGTTGGAGGAAATCTTTTTCTAGGACCTAAAAGATTCGATTTTGAATTTTTCAATTAGTGGCATTTGGGCTGATTTTTCCTTTAAATTAGCGTGAAATGTGAGAAGTATGACCATCGCTTGAGTTTGGTTGCCTGGGCCTTTTGCCTTGGCCTTTTGCCTTGGCCTTTTGCCTTGGCCTCCTTTTGATCATAACAAATTTAAAATCAATATTATTTTTTCTAACATAAGTAACCATTCTTTTTAAACTTAGAAACTAAGTACTAAGTGGATTTTATTTTATTGTAAAAAATGAATTAACCAATTGATGCACTCAATTCTTCGATTTCCCCTTCACAGCAACGATTTGGTGTCACGTGGGGGAATCGAGGAATTGAGTGCGCCAGAAAGGGAGTGTCTATGGGATTTGGAGAGCAGAAAGTACGCGACAAAGAACAGTTCTCTCACCTGATATTTCAACTGTGCACTCTCGTTCTCCAATTGTTTTTCCCTCTCGAGTCTGCCCATGAGATCTTTCGTCCGGGCTCGTTCTTCATCCAGCTTTTCTTTGTATCTGAAGGTTTTGCGTCTTTTTAAAATGGAGTCTAAATTTGCATTGACTCCATTGATAGTTGAAGTGCCACTCGAGATTCCCACTTCAAAATAGTCTTGTCAACAAAGAAACATTCTATTTTCCATTCAAATCTTTTATCTCAATTCTATTCAGTCTTCTCGACTGAATACTTTTATGCTTCCAGGAGTTTTTACTTCACTTTGAGCCCTCTCGGAAAGTTCGTTTCAATTTTGAGAAAGTTTATCTATACCACCATAACGTAATGATCCCTTCTGTCAGTCTTAAGTGAAAAACTTTAAATTACTGGACGGTTTCTATTTTGATTTTGATATGTTTGAATTCGTGACGCGATTTATTGTCGCATACCTCTGCTCTGTCGCAATGAGATCTTCTTCGAGTGCATGATATCTCTCATTCAGCACCGCGTTCTCCAATTTCAATCGATTTCTCTCTTCATTCGTCAGCGAGTGATTTTCTTCCATTTCATTCAGTCTTTTCGAGATCGTTGAGACCTAAAAAAGTTATAAGATTTAAAGCGTCAATTATAAAAGTTATTCTAGGGAAACTTTACGCTTTACAATCCAAGTCTTAAAATTTCAAGAAAAACATCTAAATCGAAAACGTCGAAAGCGAAATCGAAAACGTCGCAAAAAAATTGGTAGCATACCTGTGTTGTGATGTCGTCACTATCGCTGAACGTTATCAGCTCGGGATCGCTGCCGAAAGAGCCAGAATCTGAAACATGAACGGGTTGATGGAGAAGAAAAATGAATGTTGAAAAGATTTTAGCTCATTTTCCAGAAAGTTGTGTTGCAATCTAGACAAAGCTTAATTTAAAAATAGCTCTCCAGGCATTAAAGCTCTCCAGGCATTTCGACAAAATGCAAATCAAAAAACTCAAGACCTTTAGCAAAGCCATAGGCAAAATTCATTGTATTTGAGGAAGTGAGTTCAAATATTTTTTTGATTCAAAACAAAAATCGTTTCCAAAAAGCTAGTTTCAACTTAGAAAACATTTTGGAAGGCAGAAATGCGCTAATGGGACTGTGTCGGAGGAAGGTAGTCTCAAAATTTCAAAATATTTACGCAAGATCAAGGCAATGCAAGCAAATCAAGTTCAACGGTGGCTGAAAATGATCGATTATCTTATAGTTGTCATAAGCACGTTTTGTGTCTTCTTTGTGTAAAGAAATGAGAGGGAACAGGAAGAGATGAAAAGAGGAAAATTGCGATTTTCGAGAGTAAGAATTGGCATGGTTTTTCGTGTTGTGTTTCAACCTAGACAAGCCATAGTCTAAAAGTTTAACATTAGTAAAATATGGTATAACTTTTATGCCAAGAAATCCCAAAAAAAGGATTTCCTTTAAATTTTTCCATTCCTCCCAAATTCATGTTTCAACTTAGGGCAAGGTTATTCGAAAAATCCAGCATTAATAAAAGCAGCCTAAACAATTTCGACACCCTAATTTCGCATTAATTTCTCCCGAATTTCACAAAAAAAAACCATTTTAAGGTTTGTTTCAAAGTTTTCGGTGTTAAAATAGTTTCGCATCAATTGTTACCGTAGGTTCTTATGGTGCTAGCAACACGAGCAAAATTTCGCAAAAAAAGGCAAAGTTGTCGGCATCAGAATGATTTTTTCAGCGATAGTTCTGAGTTTTTGGGTTATATAACAATATCAAAAGATAGAAAAGGAAAGCTTTCACAAAAAAAAGGGAAAGTTTCAAATTTTCAGCAACAGAAAGCTTTTTTTCACATCAATTCTCCAAAAACCTTATACATTACAAAAATACAAAACTTTCTAAAAACTCCTGCAGTAAACAAGTATTATAAAACAAAATAGTTTTCCCAATGAATGAATGAATGTTTCGAGGGAAACACATAATCGAGTGAATGAGAAAAGAGAAGAGAAAAAAATGGGGATAAAGAGAGGAAAAAAAGAGAGGAGGAAAGGGATTTCATAAGGGGAAAAGAAAGGGGACTGGTTTCGTTCCTTCAGTTTTCCTTTCACCCTGTACATCACATTTCATTCGATTCTTGTATTTATTGAAAAGAAAGAAAAAGCAAAGATTGAGCTAGGGAAATATGTTTTTTTTTTCAAAGTAAAAATCTCGGGCACTCATTTTCGAGTCATTCAAATTTGTGTGCGAAAATTCTTCGCTTCAAAGAGCATTTTGATTGATTTTCGGCAAAAAATTTGAAGGAATTCAAAATTTTGCAAAAAGCTTTTTATATTTTTAAATGGTAGGAAGAAACTTATTATAGATTAAGCGTGGTTTTAAAAACTTTAAATTCATCGTTTCAAGAATCATGTTTTCAGAGATAACAGAGTCAATTATCGCTAGGAAAAATCGAAGAATTCAAGTGCGCCAAAAAGCGGTTATTTATGGGATTCTGAGAGCATAAAGTACACTACTGGACAATGAAATATCATATTTGAAAAAAGATCGTCACTTTCGCGCGTCTGTAACTCCATTGTCTTTACCGTATTTCTAAATACTAATATTACCATTGTGTAGTCCTTGAAAAGAGCTTTCAGAAAATGTATAACACTAATAATTTAAACTCAAAGATAAGGGAGTTACAGACGCGCGAAAGTGACGATCGTTTTTCAAATATCATATTTCATTGTCCAGTACTGTACATTCTCAAAAATAGGTTTAATTACTGTCTTTAAAGCATCTTTCATGCTGATTTCTTTGAAACATCCAAATTTTCGGTGTTATACTTATGGGGTAAACAAGAGGTAACAAGAGAAATGTTTTACAAGCTATTTTAGCGATGAGACATTCATTTCCTTTGTGTTTTAAACCTAAAATCCAAAATTTAAGACACGCGTACAGTTTTTTTTTGTTCTAAAATGAGCTTCTAAAAGCAATTCACTATTGCTTAAAGCACGTTACTTTGAGCGCCATTTGAAACGCTCAGTTTACGGTGTAATCTCATTTCGATTAATCTCCAAACTGAAATGAATGCTAGTTTGTTTGAAACTTTTTACTTTCCGTCCTTGTTCTGCTAGGTATTCATTAGTTCTTTGGTATTCATTATAAAAGTATTCATTTTTCTGTTCTAAAGTACACTTTGTGCTCTCCGAATCTCGTAAACATCCCCTTTCTGGCGTATGCAATTCTTCCATTTTCCTCTCACAGCAACGATTTGGTGTCACGAGGGAAAATGGAAGAATGGAGTGCGCCAGAAATGGGATTTATACGGAATTCGGAGAGTATAAAGTTTACGTAGTCAGCTTTAGATCAAAACTACTTTCTTAAGAATGAATGTTGCAAAGTCGAGCGCTATGATTTGGTAATCTACAGGACAATCGTTTGGTCCCACTAGAATCTTAAATAACATTTGATTATCTAAACTGAATCGAATAAACAATTTGCCAGATCAGAAGAAAAAGAAATAGAAAAAGAAAAAGCCGCAAAATTTTGCCGCATCACAAAATGAATCGATTTTTCGGACAGTTATATGAGAAAAGAAAGGGAAAAGAACAAAATGACAAAGGAAAACGACAGAAAAGACAAAAACGCTGAAAATAAATGGCTTTCGGCTTGTGCAATGGAAAAGGGGAACTTTTGAGAAGAAATGCTCAATACTTGGTGACAAAAATTGGACTTTATAAAATGTAAGAAAAATTTGTAAAAAAATGAACGAATTCTTAGACTATGAAGGATTATTACACCCGTGGTGCTACTAGAGTCGAACATTTTGAAACAAACGATTTTACTTCTTTGCCACCGTGATTTTTACATTTATACCCCCATGCCAATTGACTAAATTACTAATAGAATTTTTAAAAAAAGCAAAATAAATGAGTTTGAACGTTGTTTTTCAATTGGAAAACATTTTTGTTTCTAGAATTGAAAATAATTCTAGAATAGTTCTAGATCAATTCCTTCAAAAGGAGGAATTGATCTCTAAGTTCTCTAAGAAAAGATTAATAGACTTGCATTTACTAGCAAAGCCTGTCCATTCTATTACTAGAACGAAAACAAAGCTTGAAATGCCCTCAATTTGAAACGAATGGTTATTAAACATCAACTTCTTCAACCGAAGGGAAAAGCACGTTAAAACGCTCAGAATTCGAGTTTACTCTGATCCATTTTGGGTATTTAATGCTAATTCTTATAGTAAACAAATTTAAGCTGATAAAATGTTTCTATTTGAAAGTTAACGTATCGATAAATGAAGCTTTCCATGAATGAGAACTGATCGAAGTTTGCGTGATTTGATTAAATGAAGCACTATCCACCAAAGGGCGCTAAACTTAAAACAAGAGTGTGCAACAGTACAGAAATGGTTGATTGACGAGGCTGATTGATTTCTTAACAGAAGATGATTCCATTAAATGGTTACAGTTCAGAATCTGAATATCTATATCTAAAAAATACCTAAAATAACTGGTTTTTACCAATAAATCTATCGATAAGTGATTCCAGAAATGGATCAAGGGAAATAGTCGATAGATTCATTCAGAAAGGTGGGAAGACAAAAAGGGAAACAGGAAGAAGAATGGGAAAAGGTAAAGAGGAAAGGGAAGAAAGGAAAAGAGGTGAAGAGTGATCGACAAATAAATGAAGAGAATGAAAAGACTGACAGAAAAGTCTCTTTTGTCTTTTCTTTCTTTCCTTTTGTCTTCAGACTCATTTCTGAGTGTCACACAAAGGCAAATATCGGAATATTGGAGAAATTTTGTTATTTAGCGAGTCTAGTTGAGTAAAATGAGCAAATGAGTGAAATTAAGTTCTTCAAATTAAAATGGAAACTTATGAAAATTCTAGTTAATCAATTGATTTTGACAGAGAAAGGCACGGCTTGGCAAAGTTGAAACTTTGGTTTTTAAACCATGTGTGATTTCTCTATTATTGATTTTGAGCACCATGACCATTATTTAACAATATTTAAAAAATAAAAAAATTTTATTTGAAGGTTTTTTTTTTTTTTTTTTTTTTTTATTTAAAAAGGGGGGGTTTTTTTTTTTTTAAAAAAAATTTTTTTTTTTTTTTTTTTTTTTTTTTTTTTTTTTTTATATGTTTTTTTTTTTTTTTTTTTAATTTTTAAATAATAAAAAAAAAATTAAAAATTTTTTTTTTTTTTTTTTTTTTTTTTTAAAAAAAAATTTTATTTTTTTTTTTTATTTTGTATGGGTGGGGTATTTTTTTTTTTTTTTTTTTTTTTTTTTTATAAAAAATTTTTTTTTTTTTTTTTTTATTATTTTTTATTTTTTTTTTTTAATTGGGGAATATAAAATTAAGGGGGGGTTGTTATGATTAAAAAAAGAAAAAAGGAAAATGATAAGGTGTTGTTTTTTTTTTATTGTTTATTTCAGAATTTTGATCATTCCCCCACCTCTTCTCGATTCCCCGTTATGTCTTCCGTTGTAAAGACGCGAGGCGACTTGTGTGGATGAGGCTGATCCACCGCCAGTCACTCCGCCAAATCCGCCACTGCCCGGCACACGCATCGAACCAACTCCGGAATCCTGGAATTGAAATTTCGATTACACTATAGCCACTAGTAATTTAACATTTAAACTTCAAGAGTTAGACAAAAAGAACACTGAATTGTCAAATTTTTAAAAAGTATCATCTAAGTTGAAACAAGGAAATTTTTTTTTGGTTAAAACCTTGGAACTATCAAAATAGAGTTTAAAGCTGTTTATTCTTATAAGAATTTGCCATAAGATAAGAAGATCTAGGATCTAAAGTTATGAAATGATTATCAAAAAGCTTTCCAGCCATGAAAGCTAAAAAAAAATACGTGTGGATCGCTGTTTGTTCAACCATAAAAAAAGGCGGCTTTTGAATTTTTCCAATGCAAAAAAGTGAAGGCAAACTTCTTTCAGGTGTTGATATAAGCATTAAACTTGATCAAAGTTGCAAAAATAGCAGGAAATCTCAAGTATTAGAGCAAAAACTTGTTCAGTTTCAAGTTAAGTCCAGTTAAACTCGGTCGCATTCTTCAAATGGACCAACAAGGCACTCGGCAACGACAAATGTTGATTCGAAAGAACAAGAATAAAAGTCAGGTTTCAAGCTGAATTATCTCAATTTTAGCGATCAAGCGCTAATGTTGGGTGTGATTTAAATCCATCTAATTCTTTTTAAGACACCCTTTTAAGAAACTAAAAATTTCTCCCCAATTGACCACAGCTTTAAGCTCAAGTTAAGAAATTGAAAGACCCTTAAACCCTTCGTGTGTCAATTTTATCGAAAATTTTAAACATTAGAAATAGATAATCAAATAAATTGAGATTACAATTCACATCGACAGCTAGATAGATTTCAAAATTCATCTATTGATGGCTTTTCGCAAGAAGAAAGGGATTGAAAATCGGGGAAATCACCAAACAACCATCACTCATCAGAATTCAATGGAAACGATTTACAGAAAAATAGATTCTATTGAATTTTGTAAATTCAGAATTTGTATGGGAAGCCTCGCGAAATAGATTGCTTTTTGCAAAAACTAAGTTTCAAAGTTATTGGTATGAAGGTGTAAAGTGGAGGAGATAATACGAAGCGTCTACCAGCATCAACAATAATTTTACAAAGTTTCGCTTCGAAATTCCCCACCGAATCATCCCCAGAATGGCGTTTCCGATGATGTTTTCTCCGGTAACTGGTCGAGGGATGGCTGCAATAGATTTCTTCCATCAAGAACTCGAATATTAGACGTAGATCTTACATTAGTTCAGCTCTTAGTAGCTAGAATTTTGATTTGAACAAAGCAAAAGATTTGCTTCAAATTTCCCTTGTTTCAGGGCGATCGGCGGTTAGTGATCAGCTCAAAGCGTTTGGTGATCAGCTAATTTCCACGGAAGTCGAGAGAATAGGAATTGTCGATAGGTAGTTGAATACAGCCAAGCCACAGAAATAAATCTTGTAGCCTTGGAAATAGCCCAAATTCTTGAAAAACTTCAAAAACCCTTTTCCAGAGTGAAGTCAAGCAAATGTCGATTGCATTTTTTCACCTCTTTCCCCCAACACACCGGTCGTCGACCTCTCAGAATGAATAGAATGGTGAAAAAAGGTGAGTGTGGAGTGAGAAATGGGTACTTTTGAAGGAAAGGAGTAGTTGAGAAGTGGAATGAAAAGGTTGAAAAGAGAAGGTGAACAAGTACTGAAGTACTGCGATACTTGAAAGGAATTCAATGGAGAAGTTTGACTATATTTGGATGGTTGAGTGAATGAACAGCCGAACACCGAATATCCCTTTGATATTGGCAAACAGAACACTCTTTGATAACCGGCTCAATGAGCTTTCATCGAATTTCATCGAAATCGATTTGGTGAAAGTTGTTGAGTTTCAATTTACGAGGTGTTTGAAGTTTTAACAATCGTTTAATGAAATATGAAAGCAAATTTCAAACAGAAATTGATTAAAAATTGATAAAATAAAATGGATTGATTAAGAATGATCATGATTTAAAGTTTCAAAGTTCTCAACTCGCCAGCAACTATTAAGGCCGTAATAAAGTTTTTTACATATCGGATTTGATCTACAGTTTATTTCTATTCAATTTCAATTCCAGTCTGGCTTACAAAATTGACAACTCTTAATTAATAGCACAATAAAGAAGAAAGGAATCAATATGTTTTGATAGTAAAGCTAGACAAGTTTGATGCCTCAGATATCATCAAATTCTAATTGTAGAGATATTCAGCAAAGTTTTGAAAGTCGAGTTTCAAAATTCTCAACTCTAAATCAAAAATGAAGTAGTTATTGGTACGATATTTCCACGATATATAAAGTACGATATATTATTGGTATATTATTCTACAATATATTATTGGTACGATTTTCTAGCACATCCGTTGAAAAATTCGTCTCAAAAACCAGAACTTTTCTGCAAAGTACAAAATTTCTCACCGAATCTCCGGAATGGCGTTTCCGGTGATGTTTCTTACGATTGCTGGTCGATGGATGACTGCAGTAGATTTCTTCCATAAAATGATTGCAATCGGTGTGCAAGGACTAATATGTTAAAGAAATTTCAAGAATCAAATATAATATAGATTGAGATCGTTTAAGAAAGTAGGTTTTCTGGAGAAAATTTCAATCTGACTCAGCGATCAGACTGGAAACGAATTTAGTTTAAGTCGAGTTTCAATATTGAACAGATTCGCTGTCAGCCACAATACTTAATAAATGTACGAATTCAGTTAGACGAATTTAGAATATACTGAAATAAGCAGTATTGTAGTGAAGAAGTGAAAGCTCAAGCAGTCAGACTTCGATAGCCAAAGCCCCTCAAAAATCTGGTGTTGATTGACCAGTCGGCTTCAATACTGAAATGAAAGCCCCAATCAGACTCCAACAATTCAGTCGAATTCGGCCAACTGACGCAGTTCAGGAGCTGAACTCTCTCAGCTTACTCATCCATTAGCGGGTCGATATCCCCTCTCTGTCCTCGTTTTCCCTCTCTTCTCCTATTTATTCACCTGTTCCATTCACATTTTCTTTTCCGCATTTCAATATATTTCTCTTCACTCGCATGGCAACCGTAGCCAAGTAAAAAAATCGATTTGTCTTCGGCTGTCGATTGCGCAATCGTTGTTGACGAAATGAAAGTGAATTGCTCAAAAAGTTGTTCAAAAATAGTCTAGCATAAAAGTAAACACTAGAAAGGTCGATTCGAATTTGATTTCATGGAATGAAATTTGCAAATGTTTTTAGTTTCATGCTAGTCAAGCCTCAAAGGTGCGGATTGGTTAGAATCATTGCAAAGAGGAAGGGAAAAAGTAATGAAAATTGCGCGTTTTAAGCAAAAACTAAACAGACACCAACAAGAATATTTTAAGAAAGAGCAATTAAAGTGTAGAATCGAGAGAAACAATACTTCTAGAATACTAGAAAACAATCTACAATCTGCAATCATCAACATAATTATTCGAATTCTCTTGTAAGACGAAAGACAAAAATTAGAGCTTAATTTCATTGTTGTAAGTGTCAGAGGAAAGCAATTCAAAGTTGTTTACTACAACAAAAAAGATTTAGTTTCAATTTGAGAGGGGGAAAGCTTCGAGATTTGTGATCAGTATAATGAAAAAATCGACATAGTAATAAAAAAGCGAATTCAATTCCCGGAGTTTAAAAGCAAAAACAGAAAACCCAATTTTTAACAAGATACAGCAAAACAACAAAAACCTAGTTTCAAGTTAAAATAAAATAAGCTTCCAGATTTGGGACCAGTGGTTAAAAAAAAAGACCAGCGGAACAAAAAGCTGATACGATAGTTTATCAAGCTTTTTGAAAACACACCGATTAACAATTCAACTTGCATAAATGAAAAGAAAGAAAAATGAACCCAAACGCTCAAAGTTCGCCGGCTTTCCCCCATCCTTCCGAATGACACCAATTGGATTGTCAAGTGTGAATAAATGGAGGAGAACTTGTCTGACACAAGAGACAAAAAACGAAAAAAAAAGAGAGATTCCCTTTGATTCTTTTTCCTTTTGACTGTATCAAGTGGATCCACTCACTTCTTTTTTTCTTTTCTTTCTTTTCTCAGTCTTTTCTTTGTGAACGAGTCACCTCACCGTCAAACTATCCGCTTTTTTTATTTCTTCTCAGTTTTCACCTGGTTGGCGGTTGTGAAATCGAAAAGTTAAGTTGAATTGAAGGTTTTATAAAAATGTTTTATAAAAAGCTTTAAGATTCAAGCAGACTTCAAACGAAATAAAAAGAAGCTTTTGTTGGAAAAGAGGTTTCAAGTTTAGTCTGGTCAAAGATTTGGGTTTTAGCTTCATTTTTTTCTGGATGGTTTTGGTTTAAAATTTGTAAAAAGACAGTTTTCTGGAAGTCAAATCAAGTTTCGATCAAACAAAGGGATGTAGAATGAATCCCCTCAAAGCAGCGATTTGGTGTCACGAGAGAAAATGGAATTGAGTGCGCCAGAAGATCAAATAAAGTTTCGGTCAAACAAAGGGATGTAGAATTTTTGCATTTTGCAAATTTTGAAAAATTGCATCACGAAAAAAACGGCGTCCCAGAGATTGCTTCTAGACTGAGGGCTTTGGGTCCTTGGATTTGAAATCAAAAGAATCTTTCGGAGAGTTTTATCAATGAGCACGCTTCTCTCAAACTTTATCTAACAACACTTGCTAAAAGGCACCCATTTTAGACAAACTACCGTAACCCGCCCGCCGTTTTTCCTCCATCTAGCCGAATTTTGTGTCATTCGATGAGGAATCACAAGGCTCAGTCAATCAGGCCAAAGTTGGGCTGGTCGATTGGAAGATTACAGTAAATTACAGTAATTTGTCTGAAATTGGTGCCTTTCAGGAACGACGAATCGTAAAATCTTTAAAATACGGTTTTACGCATATTTTTTTTTTTTGCTTAACAAAGCAATCCGGAACCAAAAAAAATGATGATGCTAGAGAAAGCAAAGAAACTGGGGATGGGGGCGTCTCCCGCAGAAATACACACTGACAAACTGACGAAGAAATAGACAAATAGACGGAGAGAAAAAAAAAGGAAAAATGAGATGATACAAAGGGACCAATGGGGAATCAAGAAAGGGAAATTGAATGAGCAAATAAATATCTAGGTGATGTATTTTTATATTTTTGTTGTTAATTGTGAGTTTGAAAAAGTGATGTTTCAAAATATTGGATTTTACAATGAATTTCCCTACGGTAATATGACGCACTCCATCGTTGCCTCAAAGAATTTTTGACGACATAAAATTCATTTTTAACGCATTTTCGACGGTATTTTTCACCTTTTACCGTCGATTATCGTCACGATAATCGACGCTATTTTTTTTCTCGTTATCGGGATCGCCTGGGGGGGGGAGCTGGGACAGTGATATCTTTTGGCATCAATGTGACTCTTGGGGAGGAAAAAGACTTGTTGGGGGGTTTTTTTTTTAATGGGGGTGTGGTGAAAGGGGATTTTGGTTGAGTTTTTTTTTTTTGGGGGGTTTGAGGAAAGGGGGAATACTGGGCTTGGATCTGGTGAATCCCCTCAAAGCTACGATTTGGTGCCACGAGAGAAAATGGAATTGAGTGCACCAGAAGGGGTGGGTTTACGCAAATATGAAATCACGAAGTATACTTTAGAAAGTAGTTTAGAGCTTAATTGCAAAAAAAACGTTTGTTCAATTAATGACTGCCAAAAAGAAACAACTCTTTTAACTTAAAACTCAATTTTTTTAAAACTGAAATTTCATTTTTAGCGTAAATTCTATACAAAAATGGTTCTAATGTTCTAATCGAAATGTTTCCCATTTTTCGCGAATTCTGAACACATTTCCCGAGTCAGAAATCCATTGACAATCGGATTGGTTTGGCGACTCTTTCGAAAGACAAACAAATCCACCCTTGTGACCCTTTTTGAAAAAGAAAAGAATGGTTCTTTTTTTGGTTCAATTATTGTCAAAAAAACAGTCAACACGCTGCTTTTTGGCTGAAAATAGCTACAATTCGATGGAAAGCTCTTGAGCAAAAAAAATTGGATAAATCAAAGAACTGGGGGTTTCAAATTATTCAACTCAAAAGCAAAAATGGATATTCAATCAGTTTGAGTGCAATACTGGTTTTGCAATCATTATGAAACCATTCCGATTAAGAGTGAAAAGCAAAAAGGAAACGTTTACAAGCAAAGGTGAAGTATAAAAAGGGAATAAAAGTTGAAGTTTCGCTGGGCGGTGTAACTTAAAGGAAATTTAGCAAAAAATGGTTTAAATTTTCGTGTTTCAAAGCAAAAGAAAATAGCTTAAATTTTTGCGTTTCAAAATATCGAAGTTGTTTCGGATCATGAAATTTTAGTGGTTGATGGGTTGCGCGTTCAAATCTTTTCTATAAAATGTCTATATTCAATTCCATATTCAAAAGAATGTGAGAAAGTTCGGAATACATATTCTAAATTTTCGTGTTTCAAAATATGCAATTTCTTTTTGGATTAATAAAAATCAATTTTGAAAGAAATGCTTGAAAATATTGTGAAATTTTTGAGAAAACCCAAAAATTTCGAGATGACCTATCTGTAAATTCTGACAAAAATAATCCATAAGATTCTCGGAGAATTTTGCGGTGATTCACCCGCTTAACATTTACAGAGTTGTCGAGATTTGAAACTTTGAAAAAAAAAGTGTTTCTATTTGCGAAATGCGGTTTGCCCATTTTTTTGAGTAGAGATCAGCAAGGAAAGGAATTTTTTCAAGAAAACAAGTTGCAATTCATTGCGAGGAAATTCGTTGTACTAGCTCTTTGAATTGGCTCAAAATTCGGGTAAAATTGAAACCGCAAATTTCTTGCCGATAGAAACAGAAGTTGAAGAAGTTGATTAAGTTGTTCAAAAATTGTCAAACTTAAGGAAAATCAAAATTTCAAAAGGAAAACAACAAATTCTGATTAATTTTTTTTATAGTTTTAGTATTGAAAAGTTTTTAAAAGTTCGAAAATGTTTCCCAGAATCCCCATTTGTTATTCCTTGTTTCGGGTTCACTGAAAAAAGAAATGAAATTCGAAACTTTTGCGTCCATTTGAGAATTTGTAAAGCAAGAGGATGGAACTCTTCTCTAAATTTTGCCCCAGAACCGGGGAAATTTGAAACAAACGGCTCTATGGGGGGGGTTTAGTTCAATTTTATTGTTTTTCTTTTTACATTGCAGCTAATATTAACGCTAAAAGCCGTGAGGGCCGGACTAAACTATTCGCTCTGATCTCTATTTGATCTTTTTTGAAACTCAATAATCAAAAAATCAGAAAAACCAAGGATTTATCGAATTTTCGCTTTTTATTCAAGAGCCAACTAAAGTATTGAATTTATCGATTTAAAATTGCGTTTAGAAAGTGAATTAGAAGCACTATTTCCTTTAGATTTCCCTGTTTACATGTTGGATCGAAAATATTGTCCTTTTTACAATTGAATCAAAAATGACACAAACGATGATTGATCGGTGTTACATTGAGAAATGATATATTTCAGTGGAAAGAAGGTGATCAATTTCAGGAAATCACTAATGGGATTGGTGAATTGCTTGAGCATTGGTGAATAGAAAAGCTAGAAGATAAAAAGTAGGTGAATAGGTAAAAGATTTCAAAGAAAAAAGACCATGAAGAGTTCATTTTATTTGATGAGAAAGAGGTACTCAAGATTGAAATTCAAAGCCAGAAGCCGGTTCTCTTTGATCCGTTCCATCAATCAGGTTTACGATGCAAGGGGCTAATCAAATTAGGGCGATTTCCATTCAAGAAAAAGCTTTTCCAGCAAAATGATCGGGATTTTAACTGTAAATAAAGAAAAAAAATAAAGTTTCAACTTTCTGATCTTCTTGATTGTTTATGAATCTTTAATAATCAAAAAATGGAATCCAGAAAATTAACTAAACCAAGGCGAAGTTTTCAAAGTGACAAAAAGCGCAAACCGATATTCGATTTTCCGTTGTGTTAGCCGCATTGAAAAGAGGCTTTGACTCGAGTTTGGACAAAGAAAAGAACAAGGAGAAGGGAAAAAAACGACAGAAAAATGGGGACAGTCCTCGTCGTTCAAACATTCATTCAGAACACACACAACAAAGGGGAAAAGGCGGCACTGCGCTTGAGAAACACGAGAAACGAACGACACAAAATCCCAAAATAGACGCTCTTCCGGGTCAACAGGTTTCATGATTTTCTAAAATGCACTTATTTTAGAAAATCAGGAATCAGGAAGGAGGTAGTTACAAGATGGTCGATATAAAAGCTTCGAAGCAAAAACTTAGCTCGACTAGTCAACAAAACCCAGTCGAGGCAAAGGGAATGGGTTCGTTTTCGGGTCAAAAGAGAAATGGATGGATATCCCCATTCTTTTTTCTTTTCCACACTCACTTACATTTGCATATTCTCATCAAAAATTCGCCGACTTGGAAAGAAAAAGAGAAATGAACCCAAGAAAGGCTTTTGGAAACAAAAGAAATGGAAAAGTGAACAATTTTAGTCATTCTGAGTATTGTGACAAAAGAATACAAAGGCAATTCTGTGGTTTAAAACTAGCCCTAGATTATTATGCTGACAGGATAGAGAAATTCTGACATTTTTTAAACAAATAATTCAAAAGTCAAATGACTGGAATAACTGGAAATGACTGGAACGGTTTGTTGAACAACAAAGTTTCAAAGTGTGCTGCTAGAGAAAGAAAATTTCGAGTTTATTTTCTGTGCCTTCTGTATTCCAGACTCAAATTGTTAATTATATAAATGTTGAATGCGAAGCTGGATAAGACAATGAATTCATTCTGGTTAATAGCTAAAGTAAAGAAAAAATTGATTCTGGTTAACAGTAAAGAAACAGCGAAAGTTGAAACTTGTGATTTAAAGATCGAGATCGAGTCTTCAGATGGAGTCTAAAGCTCAACTTATTCTAGACAAAAGGTCAAAATTTTGGTAATCAGTTCAAGGTAATTGATTCTGGTTAACAGTAAAGAAACAGCTAAAGTTGTTTTAAAACGATAAATAATATTTTTTTTATTATTTTGTAAACAAAATTGTAATTTGTCTCGAAAAAACTCACATCATCTCCAGCGAGTGCCTCGAAAACCTCGGTCATCCAACAGTTCACTCAAAAGGGAAACCCGAGAAGTATTGAGGCAAAGGATTGTCTGCAAAAATTTGATTTCATACTGATATTTTGTTGGAACAGAAAAGCCTAAGCCTTGATGGCAAAAACAATACAAACAATACAAAAACAAAACAAACAACAAACAACAACAACAACAATACAAATGTATTCTTTTTGAAATGAATCTTGCGAGTGACTAAAACGCTTTAAGACTACTTATCTTGAGTCAAATTGAAACATGACTTTATAAAGCACTGAGAAAAGGTTTCTATTGCAATATTTAATGCAAAAAATCCAAAAATTTGGAGGAAATGTGGATAATTCAACTATTTTCCAGATCAAGTGATGGCAAAGAAGGAAATGGTATTGAATAAATCATTTTAGAGCAAAGAAGTTCTTCAAAATGAAACATGACTTTCGAATTTTGTAAAGTGCTAAAAGCTCTATCTTTATCAATAAAAATCAATGTAAAATAGAAATTTGAAGTCAGCCGACTATTTTCAAGTCAAGTCAGCCGACTATTTTCCAGTCAAGTCAGCCGACTATTATTTCACATCAATTCATGACAGAATAAAAGCGATAGAATTGTATGATAACAACTTTTTGAAGCGTTAACCACCCATACATTAGGATCCTTGATAGAAAACAGAAGCAATTCAATTTTGAAACTTTTATTTTTAAAAGCCATCAAGTCTTTCTTCATTTGTTTTTAGTTTTGAGAAACAAAAAAAAATCGATATAACCGTCTCACCTGAGCCGGCAAAAATACAGAAAAAAAAGAAAAAAAAACAGGGGAGACGGAGAGGGAAAAGCACAAATTGGTGAGTTGGGTGAAATGAGGTGAGTGGAGAGGGGAGATTGAGGGGAGTCGGGGGAAGGAGGGCTTGATTTTATCGTAATTCCCCCACTGCCATTCGAATTTCGACATCGAAAAGATGGACAGTTCGTTTTCGAAAAGCCACCTGTAAACACCCCCTTTCTGGCGCACTCAATTCTCGGATTTCCCCTCGTTTCTGTGAAGGGAAAATGGAAGAATCTATTTTAAATGTATCGAAATTTCTTTTGTTTCAAGAAATTTTCCAGCTGGATTTGCGGGCATTTTATGGCCGTTTTGGGAGAAGCGAATCATATTTTTTCGGCCGAACAAAATTTTTTTGTACTCTTTCGAAAGATTAAAGATAAGCAGTAACGGGGAATTTCGGTGGTGTGCTTTTTCAGGTAAAAAATTGACAACAAAATCGATTAACTGAAGTTTTTAAAGGAAATTTCTTTTTGAGTTACTCTTAAGTTACTTCAGACTAAAACTTTACTAATAGTAAGTGGCTCGAAAATTCCAAAGTTGAAACCTACTTTTGAAAGCTAGGTTAACGCTGGCAACTTTTTTGAGGATACTACTTGATAGCGTTATAAAACTCCATAAAACAAGTACTAAAAACGAAAAATTATTTTGTAAAAGCAAATTTGAATGCTTACAACTTGAGAGGTTACTTGGGGGTAGGCTAATTTCCACAATTTTTTTCTGCGCAACTGGGTCGTTTGCCCAACTCGCCATAACTTTCTTCTAAGTGGACCAATCTTTATGATTTTGGTTTCATTTTGTAGATCTCAATAAGAGCAACTCCGAAGAAAGAGGTTGAAAAGCCAGTTTTCAAGCCTCGCGAAGCAAAGCCTGGAACACCAGGTGAGTTTTGCGCCGATTTTTTTCCACAACTCGCCATAACTTTCTTCTACGTGGACCAATCTTTATGATTTTGGTGTCATTTTGTTGCACTTATTGAGATCTACAAAATGAAACCAAAATTATAAAGATTGACTCACTTCGAAGAAAGTTATGGCGAGTTGCGCAAACGACCTAGTTGCGCAAAAAAAAATTGCGGAAATTAGCCTACCCCGTACTTGGATTTGTAAAATAACAAATTTAAACTAGAAATTGAGAAATTTCAAAAAAGGTTTTTTTTAAAAACACGCAAATATTGTAATTATTTTCAAATCTTAATGAATATTGCAAAAAAAATATTGTAATCCTTTTCCAAAATTTAAAGCAAAGTCTTTCCGGAATTAAAATCTCTCGAAACTGCTCAAATTGAAATGAAATCAAAAATTGAAATATTCTTTTTTGTAAAAGCAAATTTGAATGCTTACAACTTGTGAGATTTACTTGAGATTTTCGCTTTTTAAATTACCAAATCTGCAATAAAAAGAATGCAAAGACAATCCAAAAATACAGAAATACAGAAAAATTTCTGGTTAATTCTTTATTTTTCGAATTTTCGAATTTTCGAAACGGTTTGGGGTTTCTGGGGGTTTCCCTTTTCCTCAAAGGCGTCAAAATAAACAAAAGGGTCCAATTTTTCATTTTCTCCTTTCGATTTCATACTTTTTGGAAGAAAAAAAATAGATAAAATGATCATGTGATAGAATGAAAGAATGGCTTTTGCTTGAAAGCTTGAACTTGAGCTTGAAAGGGCTTCAAAGCTGAAAGAATCTTGCAGCTGAATCGAATTTTGCATAAAAACACAAAAATCCTATCCTATGCGGAAATTCGCGGAGGATATTTTCCGGTTGAAGCCAACAAAAAAAAACACGCCGAAATTGAGGCCTTTTTTTCTTCTTCTTTTCCAACCAATTCAACGGCGATCTGTCAAATCGGACGCCATTTTATATCAACAAGAGAAAATGAGCAAGGTAAAGCAATGGAACCAATTTTGTGCGGGAAATGTTTAGGTTGAGGAACATTAAAAGCAGTCACGTTAACTCTCCTTTTAATAACTTTGAAACAGTGTTTTTTTCATGGGAAAGTACAGGATCAAGTTTTCAAATGCTACATACATCATACCATTCGATTTGGAAGGGAAATTAAGCAGAATTTCGATCAAATTAAGGGCAATGGTTGAAAGCATTTATGTAAACTCTTCTTTCGCACTTTGAAACAATGTTTTTTTTTGATGAGAAAGTCAACTGAATTTGTTAACTTTGAAACATTACTAAGCATAAAAGTACACTGGAACAAATGAAAAAAATAAAACTTTCCCGAAAGCTCGGGAAACTTTTAGACGAGTGATTTGACGCACATGTTATCGGCGTTGACAAGCATGAAAATGAAACACGTGATAGTCAAAAGCCTGTTACAACATTGCGGCTGCAAAAGAAACCTCGAAAAATGTCTTTGAAGATTTTACGTAAGATTAGAGAGAATTTCGTTTTCCTGGGATAATTTGGTAAACAATCGTAAACTTGTTTTCAGATTTTGTCCTATCCATTGGGTAGTAAACGGTTAAGCGAATATGATCAGTAGATCGCACAGAATTCTATTTTACGGTAGTTTGTCTGAAATAGGCGACTTTTAGAGAAAACGTTTTAACCAAGAGGAACTCACTCTACTAAAGATCCAAAGAATCCGGCAATGTTTCTGATCCAGAAGCATTCCAGTATCCAGAAGTTCTGGATAAAACATTACAACACAAATATACATGGAGCCAACAGATACAATAAAAATCCGTAACTCGTTCTTGAGATTGAGATCGAATCAGGTAATTCAGTTCAAAAACGAATTGAATAAACATAAAAGCTTCAGCAAAAAGTCTTAAAAGATATCCATGACTCTTGTTGTCATCAAATGTAAGTTTTTTAGTAGAATAAAAGCTAAACTTCAAATAAAAGCTAAGCTCTAGAATCTAGAACTAAAATTCTGGCGTGAGAATTGCTTTGAGATTGAATTCACGAGATTGGTGGAGTGAAGATTGAAATTTACGGGGACCGCTCTAAACCGTTCTTTTCCAATTCCCAACATTGCGTGGGCTATTTTTGCATTCCAAAAACAAACGACCTTGACTTGGAAGAGAAAAGAAAAAGAGGAAAAGGGAATTGACGGTTATACTCGATAGTGGTCCTGGAATAAGAAAAGAGGAAAAGAGAAGGAAAAAGAGAGGAATGGCTAACGGTGGATCGATTTTACGACACAATAAACATGTTTCAAGTTGAGTTTGCGGAATGGGAAACCGTTTTTGTGTTATCCTGTCAATCAACTTGTCTTAGATTTTAGAAAACGGTTTGGAAAGGAACACAGATAAACAAAGAGTAGCTTTCATTGGAATCATTTAAAAGGAGTTAGTTGACAATATTAGAGAGACTTTCGAGGATTTGTGTTTCAAGTTTTGGGTCATAAATGGTTTCCTTTCAGAATTAGTGTAATGTCGCCTTTCAGATTACTTTTAGATTAGAAAATTCACTCAAACACTTAAAAATCTTTTTATTTATTTTTACTTACTTATTGAATCTTGCATTTGCATTATTTAAACTTTGGTTAAACCTTACATTTCTTGAGTTTCAAATTAAGCGCTTTTAAAGTTTGATAACATCAACAATTAATGGGAGGAAACGGCAAGTTGTGTTATCATAAAAAGTCCAAATCAAAAACAGATTCTATTTAAGAATCTAAAATCTAAAAGACTTTTAGAAATCTCCGACTTCAATAACATTTATTTTTCCTCTCTCCGATTTGATCTTATTTCTCGGGTGAGATCTCGAAGTGAAATTCCCCATCAATAATGAGATCTCCCTTGAGATCTCCGGGGGAAAGATAGGTGACGATAATTCGATAATGAGGACGAAATCGGGGAGTTCGAGTGAGATTTCGGACTTGGATTTGTTTTGAAATTGAAACTTTGGCATAATTGGAGACATGTGGAATTTTTGAGTCGAATCCTGCTTCTGTACTAAACAAACTGTCAACTGGCTTGAACTAGTTTAGCCTGAAACACTTTTTCCTTTCATGCTTTAAAGCCGTTAGATTGTGATTAACTTGACTCAATAGCTTTGTATCCGGGCCACTTGAAACTTGAAGCGCATTTTTCTCTCCTGAGGTTCCTTTTGATAATTGACTGATTCCACTTGTAAAATCGAACTGTACCAGAATTACATATAAAAAACGGTTCTTATAGGTGGCGATAATTATTTGTAGCCAAAATAGGGGAAAAATGGCTCAAGCTCAACACAAATTAGAGATTTTCCTTGAAGATACAACAAGCGAATCCCGCCAATTGATTTAATACTAACAAAATTTTTCGATTCGAAAACAAAGTTTCAACTAAAGCGAGGGTGGGAGGCGATTTTAAAGCGATTTACAACACAAAACCGACAAAACTCACAAAACTTAGCTAGCTTCACGATTTTAAAGCCTTCAATTGTAAAGCGAAAACGTGAATCGATCGCATGTTTTAACTTAGAGAATGAGTACGTAAATCACAATTTGAATCGTGATTTACTGCACGATTTTGAGTCATAATAGGAACAATCTGTGGGGCAATCTAATTTCTGAATTAGATAAGAACCATTTCGAAATCCCGATCAAGTATTGATAAAATTTTTTTAAAAAACTAATAATTTTAACTCTGAATCGTAAAACAGATGTAAAACTACATGTTAGAGAGCTCATTTCGCTTTCGTTGTATCGTTGTCGAAAGAGTGAACGAGGAAAACCGATCGGCGGATTCGGGTCAATTGCCCGCACGAAAAACCGCAAAAAGCCGTGAAAGTACTAGTGGGGATACACACTTTTTGTTGGAAATTTGAAAGTAAGTGATTTCACAAGAGCCCTAGTATCTAAACTAGATCTTTGTTGTCAGAATTGAGTATCTAGACATTTTGAAGTAATTGGTTTGGGCTCAGGGTTTGTAGGAATATTGCGAGGATAGCATCAACACCAAAACAGATAGCACTGGCTCAAATTAATCTGATTTTAAGCAATAATCAAAATATGGGTTTTCCAAAACAAAACAAAAACTCGGGGTTATTTGATGGAAATGCCCGGGCGTATCCGGGAGAACTAGAAAAGGACTAAAAAGGGCAATGAGAGGAATGAGAAGGAATAAGGGTCAAAGGGGGTGGTGAGGTAAGGGAACCCCACCCGTCCACCTGCATCCATTCATCTATATGTAGAGGTCGACCTGTGCCACCCTTTCTCTGTCCCATCCATTCCCTTTCCCTCCTCTCGAGCCTCTTATTGGCACTCGACCTCACCAGTCAGACAGGAAAAGGTGAAAAAGGATTAATAAAAATTTCCCGGTCTTGGTGTACCAATTCAAGTTCCATTCACAGTACTTAATTCAGTCTACTATTGATTAAAAAGTTCAATATCTTATAGTTAGACAGATTCCAAAGCCAATTTTAAAACAGAACTCTTATTCAGAAACAACTAGACCAGGTCAACTAAGCCAGGTAAAACTCCAAGCTAAATCCTGGCCCGTCTAATCTGGCTTTGATGCAGGCGTGATCCCATTCAATCAGTCCCATTCAATTTCATCTTAGAATGCGCTCGGCACAAATGTCTCGGAGATCAGTTGGCATGTTTCAAAAGTCAGTTCAGGCAAAGCCAGGAATCTTGCCTTGCCTGTGCTGCCTTTACCAGATATGACCCACAAAAATTCCCAATAGATAATCACAAAGAAATCATAAAACATTTAACTTTGAAAAGCCGAAGAATGCAAGGAACCGAAAATTCCCATATCTCGATGTGTCACCCATTTGGTGTCCCTTTTCACTCCGGAGTGAGCATGTGAAAGAGAAAAGAAAGCGCGACAAAGTGACAAATGAATGGCGAAATGGAAGGGTTGGCAGAAAGAGATCCCTTGAGAGACAGCCAAGAGGGGATTCTCACTCAAATCTCAATCCCAGAGTGGTCCGCCCAAGCGCATCAATCCTCTCACTCACAAATCATCAAACAAATGTTCGCGCCAAGGCGATCACTCTGAACCAATTAGACATCGTTTGAGACTATTTGCAGGCGCAGAGTTTCAAAGCTAAAAACTGTCATGGTTCAAATTCAATGGTACAACGACAAGCAGAGCTCTATGTGAAATGAGGAAAGGATACGCATTGCAGACCCAGATGTAGTCATCGAGCCGAAAACATGAAGGAGTGAGCCGCTAAAGCCCAAGACGTCGTAAAAAAGCACTTTGCGCAGCACAAATAATCGCAAGACCAGTCAGTTGCTGTTTCAAAAGTCGGTAGCAGTTGACCGATAACTTTCTCAGCTACCGTAAACCTGACCCTAGCTCTCCTAATTTAAAGTTCACAATCAATCGTCTAATATCAGGAACTTTACTATCACAAAACATTTATTAACACTGTTTTATTCCAAACGATTTTACACCTATAAGATCACGAATGTCACGCTTAAGTGGGTAATGAAATTTTCCTAAAGCAAAAACGAAAAGAGCTTCTATAAAAACATGTAAAAGTGATTATTAAACTAATAGAAGATTTGAAATGTAATGAAAAATGAGGACCCATATAGAAGAAAAGGAGCAGCTTTAACCCGTAAAAATTAAAACCGAATGGAAAAAGACTATTGCAACCGAACAAAATGAAAGTAGCACCAACGTAAAGATCCGTCTATTATCCCTGTTGCAAGGCGATCAAATTATGAAGAAATGCTTCTTCTTCGCCTTCGGGCACACCTAGATTTGAAAAGTCAGATTGCAAAGTAAAGAACAAGGATGAATCCGTTAGCTATGCTTTTGAACTTTATGTTTAGATCATAACATTTACCAATCAAGTTTCCGCCTTCATCGAAGCGCCATGGATCGTCTTGAGCACCGCCATGCGCTTCAGTGAGATGTTTATAGATTCCCCCTTCGTTCTTACCCTAAAATAAATAGATTAATAGAGGTTGAGTTTGAAGCGCTTCTTTTAAAAAAACTCACGATGTGTTTGCAAATCCAACAAAAGTGCACTTTGCACTTGGCGCATTGCATGTGATTGCAGCCAGCCGTCTTCTCAATCACCACCGAGCAACCTTGTTGAGGACAAGGGGTGATCTTCGTGCGTCCCAGTTGATCCATGTACTTTTTCAAAGAAACATCTGCATCTTCTAAAAGCGATATTGTAAAAAAGCCACAAGATTAAAACACTCACCTCTTAATTCCTTATATTGGTCGCACGAGATGAATTGATGTTCCTCGATTCCACAGAATAAGCAATGAACACGTCCACACGACCCGCACTTGTTTGTACCATTGCAAGGAAGTCCTGGGGGAGCCTTCTTTTTCTAAAAAACTAATACATCAACCCTACAGTCAGTTGCCAAAAACAAACCTCAAACAGTCCTTGACAATCCGGTGTAAGGCAACTGAAGTACATGGCCCCGGGTCGAGATAAGAGTTGGTCAAGCGCGGCACGCACGAAGACCTTCAGCTTCTCAGAGTCCCACCACCAAGCCCTATCGGCCAATGTAAACCCTCCGCCAGCACCCAGAAGTAAGCGCTAAATGCGAAGGTCAGGCTTGAAAAGAAGGAACAACTCACCTTGATATCACTCGCTGCGAATGGTTTTTCGCAATTTTCACTCGCACACACGAATGGCATCCGGTCCCGACTATGTTGACCATGAAGAACCTAGAAAGACAGGTTTAAAGAAAATTTCAGCAAACAAACTTGTCCATTGATGCATTCCCGACAAAAGATGTGCCCACATAGCTCCAAACAGTAGAAATCGTCACTGAGTGGTCCTAAGCAAATGCCACAAATCGGACGCGAAGACATAGATAGGAAACTTGGATCCTCTACCAATGAGCGAAAATGAGCGTATACCTAAAATTATTTTAAACAATTAGTTGAACCTTGGTAGTTTACAGCCTGATCGAGACCCTCCAACAAATGCAGCAATTGCTCGTATTGAGCCACATTTCCGCGCACCAAGATTGACTTTGTTTCCTTCTTGAAATCGATTCTCGGAGCTGCATCTCCTTTTAACAAATTCGCAAAGCCGCTCACGTTCTCTGATTAAAAGACATTGCTATTTATGGCAAATTAAGTTTATCACCTGTTCCGTATGTCCAATCCATATGATTGACTACGAGCTCGAAATTCCTTGGGAAACGCGGAGGAGCTATGCTGACAGCAGCCCCAACTTCCATAGAAAGTCTAAAATAAAATCTTTGTATCCAGATCAAAGTTTAAAGTTAAATGACGGAAAAGTACCTATTATTTATTCCAACGTGAATTCCAAAGGCTAAATCTTCTCGTTTCGTTTCAGATCCCCACAATGTTATCCTTCGTCGAGTCGCGTCCACATCATAAAACAGGTTGTTCGTTTCCTTTTCTGCCTGCAATTTCTGTCGTAGCCAAGCAGCGCCAATGCTGGAAAAAAAAATAATTAAATGGTTAAGTAACCAAAATATACCCGTAGAATAACCATTGTTCATCTTTAGTTTGCGCATGAATGATCTTAGGTTCGAATAATCGTCGAATGTAGGCAAATCCGCTGTCCACATAACTAAAATCAACATTATACAAAAATTTTCCGTTAAAATCTAACCTTTTTGGCCATCCACAAACTGCAATTCTGTCTGTATTCAACGTTCCTGACTTGTCATCGCAGACTCTGATCCATTTCGTTATTCCCATTTCATAAGTTTCACTAAAACATCCATTTACTGAGTACAATGAACCCAACTAACCCGAAAGGATTTTTGTTAAACTTTTCCAACTCGTCTTGAAATACTGGACGCAATTTGATTGGCACATCTATCTTCCGTACATATTCAGGCAAATGATCAACTTGTCGAAGCTCTTTCGGATTGAGGTGCAGTTGGCGGTGATCGATGAGATAAATCATGTGCTGAACAATGGCCACTCCTTGCCGTAAGTCATCAAACGATACCTAAAAGATAAAGTTAACGCTAAAAACTCCCAAACTACTGTCAATTCGTTATATACAGCACCCTTTCCATTGAATGTGAAAGACCAAGGGAATCTCGCAAAATCCGTAGCGTACTAAACTTTCAATTAAGCAGAAAAATGTCACAAATACCTCTCGCATTGCAATTAAATCTCTTGGATTGTCTTCTGGGAGCGTCGACCATACTTTGAGCTCAATTGCACACTTGATGAAGTGTTCGGTGAGAACGAGGCTCAAGCTATTCTGCGTTCTAAACAAATTAGATGAGTTAATTACCAAATAAATTTAGTCATCATTAACATCATTAACTTACTCTAGGTCAAGCTCTTGTCGATCGTGCAAAGGCACCTTGACATCCTCCACTTCGATTCCTTGCGGTATAAGAAGTGTACGCACCCATTCCAGCGCTTCAGGCTGATTTCTGATGCCTCCAGGAGGATGGAAAACTTTCAACTAAAACCAACAATATTAACAAAGACCTTCTGCCAATTACCTGTTTGGCTCCACGTTTTCGGAAAGTAATCTCAGCCGCAACGCTGTGAAAAATGAACACGTCGTTTGCAAATCGTAAAAAAGCGGGATCTTTGACCTAAAAAGCATCAAGTTGAACACAAACAATAAAAAACTGACCGTAACGAAAAAATATCGTCTTGGTGGCTGCTTTTGCCAGCGCAAACGAATGTTGACATGCTCTGTGGCAAGAGATTGCACACAATAGTCGCCCATGATGAGCTCCTTCGGGCAGGGAAACGCTTCAATTCCTTTATCGGTGGCCAATTGTGACAGCTTGCTTCGTGTTTGATTTGGATCCAAGTAAGTAACCATCGTGGACGTAGCATCCTAAATCAATTCCTAAGTGTTTGGAACTAATTTTAAAGATACTTCTCTTTCCCTTCCAAGTGAGTGAAGAAGCCTTGTCGTTTGCAATTGCATCAGCTCCTCGAAGTCCGTGCCTAATTTTTTCTCCGATTTCAGTTGTTTTTCATCTTCTTCCGATGTCATAGTCAGAATCAACGAGCACCCGTCATCTTGTTGCCGCAAAAAGTCGCATTCGCCGCCCATACCAACGAGTATCCAAAGTAAATATTGAAGACACACAATAACCTATGCAAACCTTGAAGTTGTGCTTCGGGACAGCCATCTCAAAGCGTTCCCTTTGTAAATTTGATCTGATATCGCTGTGTTTGGTGACTCTTTTGATTTCAGTTTCAATTTCCTCTTTCCAGTTGTTCGGATCGGCCGCTTGCACCTTAAGAACCGGTTGACAAGCAAAGAACTCCTGGGAAGGGGCCATTATCTAGAAGGGATTACTACAGATTAGAACAGCCTAGTCGAGGAGTTTCTCATCAAAATAAATTTTCGAAAAGATTACCCTGCACAAACGAATATCGTTGTATCCAATTGCCCAATCAATAAAGCACGATCGCTTGAGCGGAGTGGGGCCTTCACTTTGCGTTTCTTGCAGTCCAATAGTCGCCAACTTTGCCATGGATGGTCCAAGTGGATGCGAGCAAGCGTCGCGTAAGTACTAAATCACTAAAGCTTTATTTTCACAAACTAGAAATTTACATAAATTTCCGCAAGAAGTTTTTTCATAAATTCACTATCGACGGTCGACAGTTCTTGCCTAAAATACTAAAGTTAGCTCCGCTTTAACTCTGCCTCTTTCTCACTTGAAAACTTCGACGGCGTTTTCCACTCGCTCTCTGATCCTTTCTTTTGTTTGCTCGATGAACTGCGAATTCATCGGTCTTCGATTTCCGTCGCAATCCTTCATGAAAACCATGTTTCCAAAGCAATCCAATTGTGGCTCGATAGACGAGTAGTTGATTCGAAAAGTCTAAAACTTTGCTGTTTAATAAAACAAAAGTCCAGTCACTGCACCTCTTCTTCAACATGTGTTCGTCTTGGTGATCTCTCCTTTCCGATCTTGATTGAGCGCAGTTTGAAAGTCGATAAGTCGAAGTCGCTTGGCGGATTCCAAGCCGATGTCTAAAGTAAGAAAGTTATTTGAACTAAAACGCTTCAAACTTACCGATTGTATGGAGCAAATGTTTCGTTTCAACTGCGATTTCATCCAATCCTTCTCATCATCGGGTATGTAGTCGTTGTCATCATATGGTTTCAGTTGCAGATCCTCCGGGTTCAAGTTGTGCTCGGCTGAAGTCGAAGATTGATCGTCGTGTTGTGGGGAGTGGCTTGCACTAAAAGAACAATACAACAATTCATTACAAAGTAATTATAGTCCGCTGAAAATATACTAAAAACAGCTTATTCACCTAGGTACAAAGCCATCAAAACTGGCTTCCCAATCGCTGGCCGCTGACGAAGCGTTAACAAATGGGAAAACTAAAATGAAAGCTGTAAAAATAGATCTTTAGAAACATAAATCTTTTCTCAACTCAAGAACAAAACAAAACTTTAGGCCTAAAAGTAAACTTTCAAAAGCACACCGAATGGCACGTGGTTTGCCTTCTTTCGCTTTCCCGGGTTCTTTTTGCTGACCATCTCTAACTAAAAAATAAAATTAGTAAATTTTGGGAAAGTAAAGAAGCAAAAACGCGAGTAAGACAACGAAAACAAAACAGTTTGACCGAACGAAATTCTTCTAATGAAAAGTTCTCCTCTTCGCACCCTTTTATACGCGTTAACAGCTAATTTCGAAATTTGAATTGATAATTGGATACTTTTGGGCTGCGGTAGAAGGCTTTTCAAGGCTATTTAATGATTTCATAAAATTTCTTTTTCATTTACGAAAGACACTCTTGCATGCACAAAAATATTCAAACTTTCTAGAAAAACTTGTTTGTTTAAATGAAGGCAAGGGATGTTAGCGTGAGGCTGATTGGAAGAAATTATTGAAAACCCCAGGAATTGTAAAGTCGCCCATTTGTCCCTGATGATTCGTTTGTTTACAAGAGGGGAAAAAGGGGTTTCCTGGCCTCATGTTATGCTTGTGCCAAACTACAGACTATAGGTATTTCTCTCCGTTTTAGTGCTCTCTAGCCGGCGTTTTTTATTCAAATGAGTTGTTTGTGATAGTGATTTTTATTCTTTGCAGTCTCTTGCTTATTTTGTTTTCATTGAAATCAAACTTTTGTTTGTAGATGTTGCAAGAAGATCCATACCTTCACCCTCGATCTCCGTCCAAAGAGCCGGCACCGATACCCGAGGATTTCTTCTACAACGACGTCGAAAATCGAATCTACGTTAATCCGGGTTGGTTTTTAGTTTGTAAAATTCGTAAAGCCGGCTGGCTTAACTATTGCCAATGAACAGTGATTAGGCATCTGATTGGTTAGAGTAAGCACGAGTTTACAACGGAAATTGGCTCTTATAAATTTACTTGTACGTTAGAACTTAATCTCACGTTATCTTATTGGTTGCTTTGCTAATCTGGCACTTTTAGCCCCGTTGACTCCGCCCGTTCCGTTGGACATCCGAAATCCGATTGCAAAGCGTTTGATGAAAGAGAACGAAGCGATGATCGATCAAGAAATCCTAAAACAGGTATTAGTTTAGTTAGGTTTCATCCATTTAGTTAATTTTCTAGTGGTTATTTGATTAGATGCACAAACTTAACTTTTTGATTTCGTCATGTTTGACAAAGAGAAATGATGATGAAACTTGGGGCGAATATTAATGCAGCATAAATTCTTTTTTAGGCTGCAAATGCAACTACCGTCCAACAACCGCAGTTCCAGGATTTGATCCCACTCAGCTTCGACGAAAAGGAACATATCCGAAAAGAAGAACAGAAACGACAGAATCAAAGAGAGAAAGCCGCGGAAAAAGTTAAAGTAAGTCGACGATAAACAAATGGAAAAGTTTACTTTATTGATTTATTGACACTTCTGTGTTTATTTCGACTTTGTCATCGTTTTGCCACATTTTCTCTTGATCTTATTTGTATTTTATTAACGGGTGCTTTAATAAAACTTGAATTTCTGTGAATTTTTGAAATTTTAAGTTGCAACTATTAAATATCAGTGAAATTAATGTTCAGGGAATAAGACTTCTTTAACAATTTAATTTTAGTGCATGTATATTTATGGATAAGTTCAAGAAGTTCTTCAAGGGAAAGAAAATCGAAAAACACTTCAAGAAGCAAGGCGAAGGAGCCAAACTTGGTGATGGCAGTTCGAACTCCTCATCGCAAAGACCCGACGTTGCACGAGGCTCAGCGCAAAGTGGAGCTGGCACAATTGATCGAGTAGCCGCTTCAGATGTGGCGGCTCAAGCAGCCTACAGTCGACTATTGGCCAAGGAGGAGCCAAAGACGAGCTACTCGCAAAAGAAGATTCAAATGCTTGCCAAGCAGGAGCTGGAGAAAGAAAGGCTCGAACGGGAAGCAATGGAGCATCAAATGGGCAATCTTGGACTTCAACAGGCTTCAACGATTGATGAAAAGGAGTTGAAGCACAGCAATGTTATTAAGGGAGTCTTCTACACGTGTGAGCTGCTAGGTGATGATGTGGCTTTGGAAAAGGATGAGTTGAACAACGTTCTTCAAGAATTTCTTCATGACCAAATCGCCACTGCCGAGGAGGATGCTTTGATTCCGGCTGTGATCATGCTCTACACATTGAACAAAAAGGATCCACGTCAAACTGCGGTTGATACGATTTGCACCTATTTGAAGAACATTGCCGAGTTTCCTGATGAGCCAAAGTATCGCCGCATTCGTGTCTCAAACAAGGCGTTCCAGGATCGAGTCGTGAAGGTGAAAGGCGGAGTGGAAGTGCTGGATGCCGTGGGTTTCAAAACGGTTCTTGAAGGTGAGCCAACAGAAGCTTTCTTGGTGATCGGTGCAGAAATCGCCGTCAACACGGGCACGATTCTCACCGCAATGGATACAATTCGAGAGGGACAACCAGTGCCCATCAAAGTGGCACGTGACACCAAGGCTTTCAAAGTTTCTTCAGGTGGAAGTGTGCCACTTCCCCACTTGCCTCCAGACTTTTACGATCTAACTGCTGCAGAGCTGGTCAAGGAACAACAATTGCTGAAGGAGCAAACCGATCGAATGACTTCTTTGCGCACCCGCGAGATGAGGGAACGCGATAGCAGACTTCGCAACTATCGATACAAGTACACGTTGATTCGTGTACGTTTCTCGGACCGCTTTGTGATTCAGGGCACTTTCGGAGTCTATGAGCCGGTGCGAGCCCTCAGGGAGTGGGTTGCTGATCAAATTGATCATCCTGCGATTCCATTCACTCTGAAATGCGCAAATGAGCCGCTTAACAACGACGATGTCATGTTGGGAGATGCAAAGCTGGCCCCTTGCGCCGTTCTGCATTTGGAATGGGATCATCCACCAAACGGGCCCTCGCTTAAAGAGAGCTTATTGTCTATCGTGCAGCCACTTGATTCATAATTTCATCCTTCATTGAATTTATTTAAAAACCGGTGTTGATGGTCTTTTTATTTTTTGTCTATTTTTATAACTCTTATTTATTTTTTCCAAATTTATCGGTTAAATTTGGCATGACCTTATTTCTATGGCTCTTATATTTTCGAGTCATTTCCTGTGCTTCTTTTATGTTTTGGCTTTGAAAATGTGCATAAAATTTAGACGCCAAGATGAATTCCTATGGACTGAATGACTACAGCAAATATCAGCACAACCCCGAGCAGGTAAAGATTTAAGTTTTACTGGCAAAGCAGGCATTTGTCAATATAAGTTACAAGATTAATTTTCTTTAATTGATAGAAAGTTTGTTTAGTTTAAACTTATTTAGGTGGCTCTGTTTTGCTTGTTTTTAAAATCTTAAGTTAAGGTGAAGCAATCGCTTGCCTACATAACATCGAAGGCGTCCGAGGTGAAAACGATGATCGAGGAGCTGCTCTACTTGTTGGATCTTCAGGAAAACGCGCCCTGGCTAGACATGTTGGAGAAATACTCCGCCATTGCCGCTAATATGTCCCAATTACAAGGTGAGCCTTTATTAAATTTATTACAATAGCGATCAGTTGATTGAATATATCATAATTTTATTGTTTAGCTTCATTTCGCAAATCGGGCATCTCGGGAATTCAAGAAGACAATGGGAAAGTGATGCGATCGAATGTCATCGTGCCTCAATTGTTGACTATGGAAGTGAATCCGGAATTGCAGGTAAAGTTGTTTAAGAAGCTAAAGTTAAAGCTGAGCATGATTGAAGAGCGGATTAAAGAGAAAGAACTTTTAGTTTAGATAAAAATACCTGCATTTTTAGAAACTGACAGAGGGACGTGTACATTCTTGGAATCACGAAGTTGTGCCTGTATCTCTACGCACAAAGCCCGACCCGTCAATTGAGCGAGAAGTAAAATTTGTTTTTAAAAGTTGAAATTAATTTGAATTCTAGGAAATGATACTAGATAATGAACGACAAAACAAAGCCTCCGACAACATTATCAAACAGGTAAACTCAGAATCTTTTCTATGGCTTCAAAGTTTTATTTAGGTGTCGGCTATGAATAAACACGCTGAATCGCTGATGATGCAACTACAGACGCTAGAACGAACTTCTGAGGATTCTGCGGATTTCAAGGTAAAACTTAGTTTGAAAGTTCTATTTAGTTCTCGTTTAGCCAACTTATTCGGATGAGGATACAATTTGTTTGGTGAAAGCGATCATGACAGGCATTTGATGTTTGCTATCTGGATCTATTACTATTTTAGGTGAAGGCATTCGGGTTGCTCCAAAGCCACAACAGCCGTCACAAGGACAACAACAGCCGGGTAAGCAATGTCCGCGTATTTGTTTGCTAGAACAGTTTGAATGATTCCGTTAATATCTTTACCATGTCAATTTTAAAATCTAAATTTCTTCTAATTTAGGTGTGGCTCCAATTTCTTCAATGCAACCCGGTCCTCTGCAAGGACTTTCCGGTCCATCGATGCGAAGATAAAATGATAACTATTTTGTGCGTATTGTAAGTTACCAAATCTTGCTTCATTATAATCGTTATTGTGGGTTAATCTTGTTCTCCTTTTTGCGTGTAATAATTTGTCGATGAGCGGATTAGCCGACTAATTCGCGAGTGAGGTTTCTCGTTGAATCTCATTTCCTTTTATCTGCTTCCCATTTTCCTACTTTCTCTTCGTTTCCTTTGACTTGTTACAAGTTTGCAAATAAATTTTTTTATGCATTTGAAAAAAACTTTGTATGGAAAGGGCCACTATTGTTTTCAATTTTTAAGAATTATTTTTCTCATTAAACTGTTTGCAGGCTGGGATGGCCTCTTTGTCATCGGGGCGTGACGTTTGTCGGTCACGTGCCGGGAGTAGTCGATGCGATTTTGTGGGCGTCGAGCCGAGAACTGGTGAATAAATGTTAAATAGTAGCATTTAGTGTTGTAGAACTAAGCACAATAACGTAAGCTATTATAATGACACCGCAATTCCATTCGTAAGCATGCAGCTTGAGCTCAAATAGCAGCCAAGTCACTTGTGTATTGGTGTTTGAGAAGGCTTTTAGGTGACGCACAGGTTGAAACTTTCATTTTAACTATTTTATTTAGCAAAAGGTCAGATTAAATGCTCACAGTCTATGTATACGGTGCTATCAATAATGACAAAAACGAGATGAGTCCTATTTTTTCTAGGCTCTCGCCGCTCTTCACACATTCTTAACAGTCCCGTTCAGCACCTCATCGATGCATGGCAGGAAAGGCCATGGTAAAAGAGAAAACAATCTCAAAAGGTGACAAAAAACAAATTCAGCCCAACAATGAACATCGAGAAGCTTCCACCGCACATACTCGCGCCTGGCTCAAGTTCGCTTGTCCCGTACATTGAAATCGGAGGATCTGGTGACAAGTTGGTTCAGAAAAACTATGAGATTTCTCCATCACTTGCAATTGCCCCCCAATAATATTACATATACAGACAACTCGTCTCAATCATTTTACCCTGGATGCACGTGGCGATTCGAATTGGAAACGAGGTCACATTGGAGCAAATGAAAGCCGCTATTTTTACGAATATCAAAAGGTTTGAAACATTCCAATTTGCATATTAAGTTAGCATAGAATACGTCGTAACTTTTACCATAATTTACAGAATGGCCCATCCACAGTACTCGATCTCAGCCGAAGACTATGTTTTTCGTGTGGTGACAATCACTGGGAGCTCCGATTTGCCGGAGGTAATTGGAAACGCTTCGCTTATTGTAATCAGCCATATCAAATTAAAACTTATAGAAAAATGCTTAATTTTCAGCTAACCGATCTCTTCTTCGAGGAGCAAATGCTTTGCAAAGTCGAGATGACTCCCTCTTATCCGGTGTTTTTCCTCTACGAACCGGAAGGGTTCCGAAATGAGAAAGATATTGCGAAAGCGATTGGTCAGTGACGCAAATAAAAGAACAAATCTTTATAAAGGATCTGGAAATGAGAAAGGCATTGTGAAGGACTTTCCTGTAGTTACTGAGTTTGAAACACGATTTTTTTTGAGGGCTGTTTATAGAACAGGATTCCCAAACCAAAATAACCCAAGAAAAGTAGTTAATGAAAAAGATACATATATAAAATCAAAATTTAACTCCGATTTTCAGGAAACGCCCTTGGCTACCCATTAACCCAATTGGAGTCCCAGTTGGGCGAAGAATTGAGGGATTGCCGGATACGGCTCTTCAACGAAGTCGAGTTGGCCGTCGGTGCGAGGGGACAGGTCAGTTTTCATGGGGAAAATAAAAGCATTGTCTAGCTTTTTACTAATTCGGCTAATATTTATAAATACAGCACACTTGTAGGATTACGGTAAAACGATTTAAAAATTAAGTTTTCAGGGTGGTGTCGAGCACTACGCTTTTCCTGAAGATGATCTAACAACTGAAGACACCGAGTGCCCGAATAGTCTACTCACTAAAATCTCTTGTAAGTAACATTTCCATGACTATTCCATTTTCTAAAAAGTGCCCCCTTTCTACCGTAATCTTGCCTCTATTTTTATCGAATTTATTCACTTTTTATTTGATTTTATAGAATATTTGATTTGATTCTATGATTCTTTAGAAAACCCTTCATTTTTCGGTACCAATTTTAAATTCAAAATTCAGCTCACAGTTTGGCCTATCACGTCTACTATCGCTCGTTGGAGGCCGAGAAAAACAACGATAACACAAAGGCCAAACAAATCGTCATCGATTTCAAGGACGGTTTACGGCCGAAGACGCTCATTGAGACGGTTTTGGGGAAATTGCGTGAGGTTTGGAAAATGTTCATAATAAAGGAAAGATAAAGATATGAACAAACACTGAATTGATCCTGACTAACACAATAGAAGCCATTCAAATTGAGAACTTAGCTTTAAGTAAGTCTCGAACGTAATCGAAAACCGTTATCTGCAACACTGAGAATTAAATGAAATTTCGCTAACTTGTTCAAAATGATTAAGATTCACAAGACAAGTGTACAAAGCTTTCTTTAGTTGCCTGTTAAAATTGTTATCATTGGAACGTAATGCCAGATTGGAATGTATTCTTGGGTTATCGAATGCACTGAATCCGAATATAAAGCTAAGAACTAGATACAACGTATGGAAAAACAATTATGCAATGCTTGAATTTGAATTTCGTATTTTGTCAGAAAATGGAAAGGGGTGGATGAATCTCGGCTAACTTGATGAGAAGCGGCTAAAGTTGAGAAATAAAGCTTTTTCAAGTCTTGTTGCACGTAGAAATCTTTTAAAACGTGCCCCGACTTCAAAAACAACAGCTCAATTCCAAAATCAAAAAAAATTCTTTCGCAAAACATTCTTTTCCAGGTCACCGAACCATCCGACACATTTCTCCTGCAAGTTGCCGGTCAGAAGTGCTATTTGTCACAAGATGATCAACTGCTCATCAATTATGGGGTAAAGAGTTACAATCTTTCTTTCAACTTTGCTCGGCTTTAAAGCGTGTGACGGGATTTAAAGGATTTTTCATTTTTTAAGATGCCATATGCTAGATTTAAAAACGGTCATTGTAATCGAACTGTACCAAAATATTTGAGAGTGTTCGCTCAGCACTGGAAGACTATCGCTCTCCGCAATTCGTCCTCCGTCGCAAAGAGATCGTTTTCCTCGACTATCCACCCGTCCAAAAATTGCACAAGGTTTCAAATTTTTTTTTCATGTTTCAACACTCAAAATTTAGCCTTCTTACGTGCGAGCCGGGGTGGCTGCTGCTGCAGCGAACGAGGATACTGCAGGTACGAAAAGCTATTGGTTAACGGGAAACTTTTAACACGATTAAAAGAAGCTACAGTAGACTTTAGTAAAAGCGCAAATACCGTAAATGCTTTATTAGAATGACATGTCATTCTATTTTTCAACCCCTCAAAATCGACCAATCCAAAAAATAGGTAAGGGGGGAGCACATGAATCAAAAATTTCGAATTCGTTCAAAACTATTTGAAACGATGGCCCTCTGTCCAAAACGTATAAAAACACGATTTAAAAGTGAAATTATTTTCTTACCCGCGACCTTTGAATCTCCAAAAAAAAAATTCATGTGGTGGACCCTTAAGTTTTTAAAAAAATTATTTTAGATTTCTTCAAAAATAGCGTTTTAAATTTAACTGCCGATAAAATTTTAGTAGGTTTTATTTCTAGATCTATCCATAGAATCCCCACAAGTGGTCTAGAGTCAAGATTTTGGGGGTCCGGGCGGTGTCATTCCAATACAGCATTTACGGTATTGTCTAAAATAATTTACAGTATCCTACTTACTTTCAGTCGTCTCCCTGTGGGATTTGGACGCAAATTTGACGCTCCGACCAATTTCTTGCTCGAACATGGGCAGCACCGATATTGAGGCGTTGATCTGTGTTCATTTCGGAGTGTAGGTTATAGAATTTCTATTTCAATTCTTTGCGTTCAATCTGATTGTTGGCTACTGAACCAATGACCTTTAATGTTATAAGATAGCTTCTCTGTGTTGATCACTGCTTATAGTTAGAATAGTTTTAGGAATGGTGCTTCAGTAATAATTCTTGAAACAACCGTGACTTTTACCCTATTTGACAGAAGTGTGTCAATTGGATTTGTCAATTAGGTCCCACTGCAATCAAACTTTTGCCTGGCTACTAATAAATCTGAAACTTGAAACAAACTACAAAAACTTGAAACATGGCTTTTTAACGTAAACGCAAGACTATCATACATTTACTAACTAACAGTTTCAGCTTACAACTATAGACTAACAGTTTTCAAAAATATTTTTAAGGATAATACATTAAATACTATTTAGATTTGCCGGCCGAACCCTCCTGTACAAGCAGAAGAGCAGCGGTGTGCCCATACACAATCCTCGATGGCAAGGGGTTCGTTGGGTTGGGTATTGAGTGACTGCAGGATCTTAGCTAGCAATCAATTTCAAGAAATCATTTCCAGGATTTCATGGAGTTCGACATTTACATGAAAGACCTTCCCCCGTCAGCGATCCTCTCGATTTCATTGGTCGAAGAGAAACCGAGTCGAAAAAAGCCGGGAACGGTGAGATTTCTGAGTAACAAAGTCTGTCGGCGCATGATTAGATCACAATGTACTCTTTCACCATCGCTCAACTTGACACATGCAAATCAGTATTCAAATCAAAGCTAAAACAATTAAAAAGCAAACCTAATAAACAATAATGAATTGTGTTTATGATAATCATGGACAGAACCTTCAAAACTAGTTGAAGCAAGCCAAATTTTGAGTGGTTTATCTTGAAACATCTAATTTTCAAAAACCACTAAAAAGTTGTTCCTGCAAAAATTGCTGACAAATTGATGCCAAATTTAAATCACTATTGCATTGAATATTTCAGAGCTTCAATTTTTTTGGAAAATTGTTTAAAATTGCTGTAAATGAACTCGAATTCAGATTGAGGAGCGCGCGCTGAGCTGGGTGAACGTGCCGCTGTTCGATTGGCGGAACGAGTTGTTACAAGGTATTGTTGGCATTCAAATTAGCTACAAATCTACTTGAAACCAAGAAAATAAACCAGAAAACTCCAATTTAACTTAAAAATTTACAATATTATCAATTCCAGGTCTACATACGTTTTCCCTCCGAACCGATCCGGTGAAAGGGCCTGATTTCTTCAATCCTGAGGGGAAATTGGGGAACTCTGATGCGAAAGGTAAGGAAATGTTCAGGTTTTAACTTTGATACAACTAAACAAGTCAAGGTTACTCAAATATAACCCCATTAAATTGTTTTGAAAAATACAGTGCTACAAAATTAACTCCTTTCGTAACTCCTTTCACTGAACTCACCAAAACAACAACGCCAAAATATTGAGTTTCAAATCATTGTGTTACTAGAAATAGATTTGGAGTGTAGTATACAAAAAAAGCCAGGAATAAATAAATAAATGTTCTTCTGATGTTTGAATGTAACAATTTTCCTGTTAACAGAACATTTTAAAAGTATTTCGATGAAAACAAGCAGCAGAACGAATCTTGTTTCAAATTTCTTTGCTATAAGCGGTCATTTTGAAAACTAATATGGTTTGGACATTTTTGACAGGACTCAAGAGGTGATTTTTGAATAAAATAGTTTCTTTTTATTTTTCTTTTCGAAAACAGTCTTTTTTATTTTACTTTCTTATTTCCAGCTTTCAGGTGCTTCTCGTTTAATGATCGAGATGGCGCATTGGCAAAGGAGAGTCCGTTTGCCCGCCTATGAGTCCTATGCGGCTTTCGTCGATGCACAGGTTTCAAAATTGAACTTTTAAATGGGTAGAAAAGGGAGAATAAGTGCCTGCTTTGAGACTCTGAGACTTGGACTTTCAGATCAAATGGGGGAAAATCATGCTGCCACCGGATGTGCAGAATCCGGAAAGAGTACGGCACGAGATCGAGCAAATCCTCCGGAAACACCTCACCGGTGATGGCACGTCCAAAGAGGAAGAGGATTTCATTTGGAAATATCGGTGAGGAAAATGTTGCATGTTTTAACTGCAAATATGCTATTTTCCAATTGAAACAATACGTTTTGATCCAGATCACAAACTCGTGTTTCAAGTTTACGTGTAAGTGGAAAAATATTGACCACTAGTAGTTGTAGGTCGAGTTCCAAAGGTATCATTCGTAAGTAAATGAAAGGGTTTCGTCGAGGGTCTAACAAAATATTTGGTTCAAATGGCAGACGATAAAATTCCATGTTTCAAAGTTAAGGCTTTCCCGGGGAAATATCGGCTAGTAGTTTGACCGAGGAAATATTGACTCGACTGCAGGTTGCCCAAAAAAAAAGCATTTTCAAACCGGAATTCCTCAGAATTTCTGGTGGCTAGAGGTGGTCGGTGTGATGTCATAGTGAATCATTTGTGCTCTAAAATTTCATGTTTTACATAAAATCATGTCTCGATACCATGAATTTGTGGGTGCTACCATGGTCACCACCACCATAGGATTTTCCCCATAAAGTTGAGTCTTTCTACTGGCATCATAGTGTCATGTTAGAGGTAATAGGTAAACGAAAATTATTAACCAGACATTTTATTGATTAGAATAAGTTTGCGATTGTATTGGATTAAATGAAAAAATAGCCCTAAAGGAAAAAAACCGATCCTATTTTTTTTCAAAGTTCTTCTAGTCAAAAAAGTGTCTGGTTAATAATCTTAGTTTATATATTAGCTCTGATATGACACCATGATGCCAGTAGAAAGTTTCAAATCTATGGTGAAAATGCTATGGTGGTGACCATAGTGGCACCCACAAATTCATTACACCTCTATCGAGACGATTTTATGATAAATTTTAGAGTGCACAAATGATTCACTATGACACCACACCGACCACCTCTAGTCACCAGAAATTCTGAGGAATTCCAGTTTGAAAATGCTTTTTTTGGACACCTTGTATATCAGTGTTACATTAAACTCTTTGAAGGGGCAGGACAGCGTAAAAACAATTTGAATACTTACTTTATATACCTGATAAAATATCATGTTTCAAAGTTGAGCTCTATCCAGGATAATATCGATAGTTGTTTATAGATGTTTATAGATCGAGTTGGTTATAGATGCTTCAAAAATGATACAACTAAACAAGTCAAGGTTACTTTGCCATTTCAATAATGCATTGACATTGTTTATTATTTTGCAAAGCCACTTCGGATTGAACCAACAATTTACAGCCAAGGGGTTTCTTCTCTTGTTGACATCAGCTCAGGGCTAAGTCTCCATTTTGCAATAATTGAATATGACTTTCACAAATGCACTTCTGATCGTTAAGAATTTTGAAACTTATCAATCTACATATAGCCTGTAGATTTGATTTGTTCGTTAAAGAATCAAGTGAGCAATCAAAATCTATTTTCAGCCATTTCCTGGCCACCGAAGTGCCGGACGCTCTTTTGATTCTTTGTGAGTGCGACGAAATGTGGAAGACAAGGGATCACTATGGAGAGGTGAATCATTCAAAGTTTACGATTAGAAATTTTTTACAATATTGTTTGTGAACAATGCCAGAAACAATATTATAATGCAAAATATCGAAAAACACCTACGCATTGCTGAAAGTCCACACACTTTATTAGAAGCAACTTTGAAACATTTACTTATTGTTAGGTGTTCGCTCTTCTCGGAGAATGGTCCCAGATGTCCCACGGGGCATCGCTTTTGTTGCTAGGTAAAAAGTGAGTTATAAAATTTGAAATTCACTGAAAATTTCTGATTTATGTTATTTTAGATACCTCGATTCAACGATTCGCCGTTTTGCCGTTGAGCATTTGGATGCAGCGTTGAATGATCAGACTTTCCATCTCTTCATTCTTCCGCTTGTACAGGTAACAAGCCAATGTCAAAATGGAAGAATTGAGTGCACCAGAAGGGGGTACTTTTCCAATATCGGGGGAGCGGAAAGATTATCGGGGGAGGGAAAGGAAAATCGGGGGAGCAGATTTTCCCCTCGAAAGGCATTTCCGGGACTGTATTTTAACTGCAACGTTTTTTTTTAAACTTTAACGACGATGCGCTTCTCCGATATTTGTGCGTTCAAGAAATCGATTATTTCGTCACCAAAGGGCACCAGTCGTGGATTTGAATGTGGCGAATCGAGAAAGCCGCTCAAGGGGAAAGATCTATTTCGCTGGGTATGTGACACTTGCGCACGGCGAAAGGTCCCCAAGCATTCAAGAGGAATTCGAGTCGATAACTTTTTGCAACAAAGCAAGCTCCCGTTCGTCACAATTTTAAATAGGACATATGTAGCGCTGCCAAAATTTGCTCCCCCGATTTTCCTTTCGCTCCCCCGATAATCCTTCGGCTTCCCCGATAATCGGACCGCTCCCCCGATATTGGAAAAGAACCGGTGGTTGTTTACAAGGTTTGAGAGCACAAAGTACATAAGAACGAGATGAAGCCCTATGTACATTTAACACATTCCCAGTGCGACCGGTACCAATGACGATTATTTTTGGTATCAACTCAAGTTTTTAAGCACTTTTGTTATTTATTTTGCAGAAAGTTCTCAATAACTTTGTACTAGTTTTCAAGAGGAGATTCAGGGCTATCGAACGACTATAATACTTTAGTTTATCTTTGAATTTTCACCAACTTATCAGTAAAACGGTTAACGACTACACTACCATCGTCGCGAATCTGATAATTCTTGGTGAAAAGTTAAATTCCAAAAATAAACCTTCTTATGCCACAGCTTGAAACATACAATTCAATACTGTCATAAATGGTTTTAACAAAACAAAAATTAATGTTTTTAAATAAAAGTAATAAAAGTAACAATTAAATTTCAGGCATTGAAATGCGGGACATACGCTTGCTCGGCCCTTGCTTTGTTACTCGTTCGGAAAGCTTTATCCGATTATCGAATCGGGCACAAATTGTTTTGGATTCTCCGCGCCGAACTCGCCGATCTCAAGCATGAAATGTTGGTGTTAAGAAGTTAGGCGAAAGTCTGTGTTTCAAAGTAATCAGATTAAATGTTAACAAAGCTTTGGTAATTAATAAAAAGAGCAATTTCTCTCTTCCATTTTCTAAAAAGTGGCCCTTTTTACCGTAATCTTGTCTAATTTTTATCTAATCGATCCACTTTTTTTTCTTAATTTGTAAGGGTTTACAAAGGATATCGAAAGATAGAAAAAGTAGATAGATTGGCTTTAAAAAAAGACAAGATTACGGTAGAAAGAAAGTTGGGCACATTTTAGAAAGCGGATTAACAGCTAATTCTTTCAGGGATCTCACGAAGGGTGACGGGCGTTTCTCGGAGGAATTCAAATTACTTTCATTGATACTAGAGGCTTATTTGAGAGGAAATGAGGATCACATTCGCATGATCACAAGACAAGTTAGTCAATATCAGTATAAGACTATCAGTTTAAGACAAGTTAGTCAATATAAGACTAGCTAAAGGATTAAAATGAATAGGAAAAGACCACAATTTTCAGGTGGTAATGGTTGAGCGCCTCACCCAGCTAAGTGTTGTGCTCAAATCGTATGCAAAAGATGTGGCGACAAAGGTTTGTGGAATTGAATGTTTCAATTGATGGTTGACTAATGGGTTTTGGATAAAAATTTGAAAGCATTGTTTTTGATGATCAATGATGCACTTTTTAGAAACTTCGTGAAGAGTTACGGAGGAATCTCAGCCATTTCGAGCACCTCGACTCACCGCTCGATCCCCGGGATCAACTTGGGCAATTGGAGTGAGGAATTTCTATTTAATATAAATATCTACTGTACTAGATATCTAAAGTCTTTGTACAGTTCACTCCTGTTTCAGCATCAATCGCTGCAAGGTGCTCGGTTCGGCGAAAATGCCGCTTCGGCTTTGCTGGAAGAATTCGAGCCCAATGGCCGGGGGTTTCCAAGAAAATTACGAGATCATATTCAAGAATGGAGATGGTGAGTGCGAAAGCTTTCAAATTTGTGTACATTTATTAGCTTGCATTTTAGCCGAGCTTCAAGGAATTTCAATTGATTGAATTTCAATAGCTTAACGGCAGATATTTTGAAACTTTAACTTTCCAAGCTATACTTTTGAAGTTTAACTTGGATTTCGATTAGAGAGTGTTTTTCCTTAATCCATTTCCTAAAACGTATCCCTTTTTCCCTTTCTACCGTTAATCTTATCTTTATTTTTATCCAACCTATCCACTTTTTTGTATCTTTCAATATCCTTTGTGAACCCTCACAGATTCAGACAAAAAGTCGATAGATTGAATAAAAATAGAGACAAGATTACGGTAGAAAGGGAAAAGAGAACATTTATTTAAAATTATTTAAAAGAAAAACAACCAAACCAGATTAAACATCAGATTAAACAAAAAGCTGAAACATGAAGCCGAGGAATTTGAAATTTTCTCTTACAGATCTACGCCAAGACATGTTAGTGCTACAAGTGCTCGAAATAATGGATGCAATTTGGAAAAGAAGTGATTTGGATTGTTGCCTGTCGCCGTATCCCGTACTGCCGATGGGCACGAAGGTACTATAAAGTGGATAGTATAGATATATTTGTGTCTTTCATTCCTGGACTCATTGGAAATTTTCAGATCGGAATGATCGGTGTCGTGCAGGACTGTGTCACGTTTTTCGAGATTCAATCCGAAGGCGGAAAGGTTTATTTCAAAAATAAAGTCGTTGCAAGCTATTCCAAGCTATTGCAAGCTATTTTTACAAATGCATTAGTTAATGCTTTTACTGTTTTAATTTGATAGCCTTTCAATATTAAAATTTTCATTGCAAAAGGGATAAACTCAACTTTGAAACACCACAATTTTCAGGTGGGAACGGCAGTGAAGAGTTTAGAGACGACTTTCATCAACAAGTACATCAGAAATCATGCAACAGCGACAAAGGAGTCAGTTTTTTTTTTGAAATCAAATGGCAAGTTAGTAGTTGATTTTCACAAATGATAGGGGATCATTTTGAAACAAGAAACATTTCAGTTACCTGATGCGCGTGGATCGTTTCCTCACGTCGTGTGTCGGATACTCGGTTGCAACCTACATTATGGGCATAAAAGTAGGTTTCAAAAAATGAGCTTTGTGCTCTCACAAATCCCGTAAACACCCCCTTTCTGGCGCACTCAATTCTTCCATTTTCCCCTCACAACAGCGATTTGGTGTCAGGGAAAATGGAAGAGTTGAGTGTTTACAGAATGTTTACGGATGTTTACGAGATTTATAAGAGCACAAAGTACATTCAAAAGACTATGGACTTACAAGCTGAAAAAATTGAAAATTTCCATTTTATTTGGGCACACATTTTATTTGCTTTAATACACTGAAAAGTTATTGCTTTAATACGTTTAAAACTTTCAGAAGCTAAACATTTGTTTCCATAATTTTTAGGGTTTACAATTTCTAGTTTTACAATTCTTGGACCTTCAGATTTTTCTTCTTACGACAATTTTACAAAATAACTAACAAACTGATATATTAATTCAAATTTTGAAGTGAGTTAAGTGTTTTTTCAACATTATCAAAGTTCAGACGTGTCGCGGAGTTCTATTTCTAGCTCTGCGTGTTTGTAGCAAAAAATCAAAATCTCATTTTTCTTCTCTATACTCCGCCACCAAACCATTTTGGTGGCGGAGTATAGGGAAGAAAGTATAGAGGTATAGAGAAGAGTATAGAGGGGTATAGAGAGGTATAGAGGTACAGAGAAGAATATAGAGAGGTATAGAGGTATAGAGAAGAGTATAGAGGGGTATAGAGGTATAGGGGTACAGAGAAGAGTATAGAGAGGTATAGAGGTATAGAGAAGAATATAGAGAGGTATAGAGGTACAGAGAAGAGTATAGAGAGGTATAGAGGTACAGAGAAGAATATAGAGAGGTATAGAGGTATAGAGAAGGTATAGAGAGGTATAGGGGTATAGGGGTACAGGGGAGAGTATAGAGAGGTATAGAGGTATAGAGAAGAATATAGAGAGGTATAGAGGTACAGAGAAGAGTATAGAGAGGTATAGAGAAGAGGTATAGAGTATAGGGGTATAGGGAAGTGTTTTCCTCCCGTTTCCAACATCAAAAGTTACAATTGAATAACTTGAATGTAGCACTATGATGAAAGATTATGATTTAAATTGAAAACAAGGCGAAACCCCACTCTTTGGTGGCGAAGGTATAACCGCAAAAGTACCAAAATTTGCATACAAAAAGTAAAATTCAGTTTTACGGGGGGTAAAGGCCAAAAGTACCAAGAAATGTTTGTAATAAAATCTTGAAATCAATTTGTAATCTTCAGGATCGTCACAACGATAATATCATGATGACACACAGCGGGAAACTTTTCCACATCGATTTCGGACACATTTTGGGACATGGCAAGACAAAGCTGGGCATTCAGAGGGATCGTGTGCCGTGGGTTTTGAAAATTTATAGAATGAATAGCTTTCTGCAGCTAATGTAGGATCATAAGCCCTGATCTCATTACAGTATACTGGGAAAAGAATCCAGAACTGCATCTTTAAACTTTATTTTCAGTTTTGTTCTCACCGAGCATTTCCTTTGTGTGATTGCTAAAGGGAAAAACGTTCAAAAGGAGAGCCACGATGTGGATAAGTGAGTTAAACTTTAAGAAAGTGATGGCCAAATTAAAAACTTAGATGTTTAAATATTAAATTAAAAAGTTCTTTTGAAAATTGAGTTTCAAATTTGTCGGCTACTAAGCAAGTACTCGGCAATCAATGGGAATCTTTGTGTTAAATTCAAATTCATTTTCAATTGACTCGTGAATTCAATCTAGACCTTTTGATAGACTAAAAACTTGCTTTTTGGCTACTTGGCAATCAAGCAGCAAGCAATTTACGAACACCATGGTTTCTCAAGTCAAAAAGCTTCTGCAGCCGAGTGGCTGGCTGCAGAAGTAACTAATCTTTATGTGCTGCAAAACTGATTCCCAATAAAATGGATTCCCATCTCCAGATTCCGTCAACTCTGTGTCGAAGCGTATCTCTATTTGTGGGATTTTCGGAACCTCTTCGTTTCCTTGTTCACAGTGATGCAAGGAATGCAATTGCCCGAATTGAGTACACAAGCTGATCTCGAGTATTTGAAGGTGGGTTTGGAAATGAAAAAGTAACATTTATGCTTTCAAAATTACTCCATAACATCTGGTGAGCTTGCAAATTTAGTTTGAACTACAGAATTGGTAGATTAAACCGCAGTGATGATACTATTGACTTCTTTTCCTTTTCACAGAATCGGTTCACTTTGAAACATGAAATTTTCAGCGAGCTTTATGCGTTGGGGGACACGATCGTCGCGATGCGGAGAAGCATTTCTTGGAGGTGAGTCGAATTTAAAAGAGAATCAATCACTTAAAGGTTAAACTCAAGCCTTAATAAAGTCATTTTAGATAACTAGGAGAGCTCAGAAGGGTATAATTTTCTTTAAAAATTTCTTAAAAATGATTCCTTAAAATTGGGAGTTATTATAAATAACCGCTAATCATTTGGGATCAATGAAACCAGCCGCCACAACCCTTACATTGAAACTTCAGGTTTTCGACGAGGCTTTCAATGGGTCATGGAGCACGAAAACGAACTGGTTTTTCCATACAGTCAAGCATTTGTGATTTAGGGAACGGGGAAATGAGAAAGAAAAGAAAAATTTTTGTTATTATCATTATTATCCTTCAATTCGATTTTTGATCTGCATCAAATTTGAAACTTGCTTATATTTCTCATTAGAGTTTATTCCTCCGCTAACAAATTTTCTAAAAGAGAGAGCTCTCTCGGCTGAAAGGCACCATTTCAGACAAATTACCGTAATCCGCTTGCCATTTTTCATTTGATCAACCCAATTTTGGTATCATTAACTGAGCCTTGTGATTCTTCATCGAATCATGCCAAAATTGGGCGAATTAGCGGGTAGTTTTGCTGAAATAGGCACTAGGCAAAAATCCATCTAATTCTGATTGCTAAAATTCTTTGGTTTCAAATTCTACAACCCCAAAGCTATTAGTCTGGGAGCAATTTTATTGTAAAGATTTCAAAAAATATTGTGTTAACAACTTTTTTTGACGGTTGTTCACCTCTATGTATTTTATCTCATTTCACCACAAATAGAAAAAGAAAATCGGGTTCAAAATGAATATCATACTTTCCTGAAATTCATCGATTCTTTGTACAAATGATTTGAATAAACATTTGAAACATTGCCAGTTAATCTTTTTTTTTTACATTCACTCCTACTCCAACAGTTCTTCTTTTGTTCATCTGATACTTGTATTCGCTTACAACAGTCGAAAGTCCAACATCTAAACACAAAAAAAGGTTTATGTCGTTTATTGGCAGTGATGACCACAACTAATGTGAGCAATTAACAAACAAATAGAAGCAGCAATTTGTATTTTAACTCTGCTCATCTATTGTACATCACTTCAATTTGTTCTCAGGATTTTTCAAAGGCCAAATGCATTGCCAAAGGATATCTCTTGGCTCTACAAAAGATCAAGAAAGGAGGTAAACGGGAAAAGTTTTGTTTTGTAAAAAATATTTAACACTTTCGTTTTTGATTCATTCTTTAAGTGCATCCAAATCTTTTTCAGATCTTTATCATGGATTGTGAATAGATATGGTTGCATCGTCTTCTTCATCCAATCGTCGATCTCATCCTTCAATACAGCGTAAAAAATATTTTGAGATCCAATCCAACAAGTACAACTATTGTTGGTGCTTTTTCGTGTATCTTGTAAGTTATTGATTCAGTTTTTCTTGTTATTATATTCAAATATAACTTTTTAGCTGTGGTCATATTTCGATAAAGTTTCACAACTTAAACGCTTTGCAAAAACAGAGTTTATCACTGAAAAATTGTTATAAAATTCAAAAACTGTATTGACGATGACTCGCTAAATTTTGCTCAGGTTGAGCTCCATTCATTTCCAGCTCTTTAATTACTTTTGATTTCAAATTAAGATTCTCAGAAAGTGCGAATCAGCAACATTTCCAACTAGTTTCAGTAATGGAAACAATTTCAAAACAACGAAATTTAAAAAAATTAAACTTCACAACGGTTTTGCCCTTAGTCGTAAAAGGTTTTCTCTTTTGAAATACAAAAAATAGCTTCTACTATTTGTTCATCTCTTGCTGCATTTTTGTTTTGTTTCATTCACTACAAAATGCAATTCAATTCGCTAAATTACAACATGCAACTGGTTGTTTGCCAAACTTTGAATCTATATTGTATTTAGATGAGATGTAGATGCGCTTTTATTCTCCTTTCTCACTAAATGCTAACAATTAGTTTCCCATCCACCAGTTATGGCACAGGACAATTGGGACAACCGTGTTGTACTCCATCTAAATAGACTATTCTGTCTGTCAATTAATCTTAAAATTTACATCAAGATGAAGTCTCAAAAAAAAACTCCGACAGCGAATCAAAGCTCACGAGGAAGCGTTTTTTCTTGTAGCTCAAAATTTTTCAATTTCAAACCGCCAGCATCGAAGGGCCAATTTTTTACCTTCCATTTTTTACCTTTCAATTGAACTGTGTTCAATTCAATTCAATTCAATTCCCCTTTTTATGCACAAAACACAAGGCAGCCATTGTGTCGGAAATGGAATCGAACCATTGTGTGTCAGGTTCAAGCACTCAATAGCCCGGTTTCGATACGTGCAAGTTACAAAGGCTGCTTTGGCATTAAAGAGCACCTTTGTTGAAAGTTTCATGAAACAAAAATCTAGAGGAACAAAAATTTGACAGAGCAAAGAGCGGTGGGCCCTACATAAAGCGTCAAGTGGCCTTGATACAACTTCATTTCACACAAAATGCTCACAAACTGCGTATTCCTTTTAATTGCTGGTAGGGGTTTCTCTGATTAAAAAGTTAATGTAAAAAGCTGGTCACCGCGAAGAAGCTAGGCCAAAACATCTTCATAATTTCATTAGATTAGCACAGTCACCACTACCAACTGCAGCTTATACTTTCAGGGTGCCGCTTTTTCTTCCGCTTACAAACCTGTTCCCTAGTTAGAACACCATTTTGCTAGTTTACAAGTTCAAATTAATTGAACACCACTAGACTTTCTTCAAGCAGAGCCGAATTGATTTTTTTCAGTCACCACGGTCGCCGCTACACTTCCCGCTTGTACGAAATGTCCGGTTGGAGGTAACCATAAAGTTTTCATCGCTTCAATGCACATCCAAAACCTTTACCCAAATGCAATGTTCTTAATTCAGGCATTTGGTCAAACTGGAAAGATTACACGAGTTGCTCCGATGTTTGCGGCTTATTCGGGAAAAAAGTGCAAACGAGAACGTGCACTTCTTGGAGCAAAGGATGTTCGTGCACGTGAGTTTCCTTTTTATCTTAAAAATGGTTGAGTGATGGGTTTTGAGAAGAAAACCAAGCGTAAACTTCTTGTAAACTTAACTTACAGTGGCGCCTTTTCGCGAGTCATTCCGTGTGCTCCAGCTGTATGCGCTCCGCCGCGGGCTGTCTGCAAAACGGGCTACACGCAGGTCCGTTTTTTGTTTTTCTATTTAAATCAGGGGAAGAGAACCCTTTCGTAATTTTCTTGTTGTTTGTTGTTTAATTGTTTAAAATTTTAGTATACAAACAGCGTCACAAAGCAAAAACTTTGCGGCAACGTGTCCCGAAGTGACAACTATGTGGCACCGAAATGCACGCTGAACAGTTTGTTTTTTTCTTCTTTGAACTGACGAGTTTCTATATTTTAGAAGTGTTCAATCAGTGCCCGTGCCCAGCAGGAGGTAAAATTTTCAAATAAATCAATGTTGTCTAATATATCTTTAGGTCTTTGGACTGAATGGTCCGACTCGGGCACCTGCAATGCGACTTGTGGCCTTTGTGGAACGGTGACGCAAAAGAGGACCTGCCGATCGACGAGCTATGGATGTGCGTGCACGTGAGTTCTCAACTTTGCAGTTTTTTTCACAAAGAATTAAAAGTGGCGCAGCGACACAAAAAGCCTTTTGTAAGGCGACTCCGTGCTCTACTGGAAGCGCTTGTTGCAATGGGAACCAAGTGGTGAGTTGGGTGTTTGTTTGTTTGTTTGTTTGTTTGTTTTGGCAAAGACATTGTTCAGCCTGTTTAGTCATCTAGACTTTGTTTAAAATAATAGAGATTATATCTGAGAGCACATCTTGTAAAAATGACTAATAAGAGCGTTTTTTTAGGTGAAGAACCTTGTTTCTGGTGCCAATCAGTGTGGAGTTCAACTGGGCCCCAATCAGCTTCTCCCATTGCCCACGTGTCCAAAGGTAAAAAATTTCTTTTGGATTTGGATGAATATTCTTTATGTTTTCTTTGAAAGATTCAAATATTTATAGACAACAACGGCCAAACCCAAGACAACTACAAAGGCAAAAAGTAAGAATATTTGGCGGAATAGTTCAGCAAACTTTTCGGCAAATTAAAGAACACTAAAGCTTTTTAAAACGAATATAGAGAACAACGAACAGAGAATGGATGGACAGTTAATGGAAATTCATAACTTGAAAGTTTTAAGATTGCTTATCGTGTACGTTGGCAGAACTGAACGCGTTGAATGGGCACGGCACCGGTTTCTACACTCAAGGAGGTGTCATGTGAGTCAATCAAATGATAAAAAGTTTAATAAAATCTTGATGATTGCAGGGTTTTATAAAAAAGATTTATTTCAGTGTCGATGGTGTCTCGGGTTGTAATATTTGTGGATGGAGCTGTAACACGACCACTTCGATGGTGAACATTTTGACCATCACTTTCTCACTCGTAAACCATTTAGGTTTCCTTCAAAGTTGTGGGCACCGATTTGACTACAGTAATTCGAAATGACAACACTCATTGTGGATATGTGAGTAGTTAAACGTGTTTTTTTTACGCAATTTCTCTTATGAACCTCATTCACTTTCCTTCTAGATCAACAACGATAACGATGGACGATATCAATGCTCAGCTAAAGGTGTCTGGCAATTCAAGACGGTAATCTTTTATGGCTTAAAGAAAATATTTGAGAATTCAGGCAGCTGGCGTGTACACAGATATGGGCAAGTACACGTGTTCCAAGGGCGCCGCCTGTCCGACCACCACAACCACAACCACAACCACAACTACAACTACAACTACAACCACAACACCGAGAAGTAAACACAAAAAAATTCTGTACACTTTGAAAAAGTTTTACAGATTGCTTATCGTGTACGTTGGCTGAGCTGAATGCGTTGAACGGGAATGGAGACGGTTTCTATTTCCAGGGAAATGTCATGTGAGCCTTTGTTTGAACCGCTAAAACTAATAAATGGTGCCTTTGACATTTTCCTATTTTTCCCTGTCTCAAGTTACTTTTTTTGTCTTCATGTTCCTATCTTTAAATAAAAATGATTTCAGTGTCGATGGTATCTCGGGTTGTAATATTTGTGGATGGAGCTGTAACACGACCACCTCAATGGTGGTTTTTTTCAACACTTTTATGATAGAAAAGTCTAGGTATCTTGGGAAGTCCTGGGCACCGATTTGAGCACAGTAATTTTGAATGACAACACTCATTGCGGATATGTGAGTGCTAAACTCTGCTCGCTACTAAATTCAACTATTTTTTCAGATCAACAACGATAACGATGGACGGTATCAGTGCTCGCCGCAAGGTGTATGGCAATTCAAGGCGGTGAGTAAACTTTGAGCTCTGATTTTACAAAAGAAATTTGCAATTTCAGAGTACTGGTGTGTACACAGATATGGGCAAGTACACATGCTCAAAGGGTGCTGCCTGTCCAACCACTACAACCACCACAACGACACTTCCAGGTGAATCGATTGTCATTAGTGTTATTTGTATTGTCTTCAAGCTGTTCGAAATTCTAGATTAAGGAAATTCTTAAAAGAAGCCCTAGAAATAGAGAAATAGATAGCTGTTTTAGCTTGTCAATCGTGCTCGCAAAACTTGGACACGCTCACCGGGACCTCGGACGGAACGATGACTTTCTCGTATTCGTAAGTTTTTCTTTTCTTTGTTCAAAGCACTTTCTTTTTCAGAACAGACTCCTCTACAAACTGTTTGATTGCCAATTGGACTTGTGCCGATCCGGGTAACAATGTGAGTCAAAAAAGGATGTACCCATGTATCTTATTACCTAAAAAGTTTTAGATGTACTTCTATGTGGACAATATTGAAGAGATTGGAATTGGATGTGATACGGTGAGTGTTGCCGAGGGATTTCTTGCTGAAATTACAGCTTTTGACGAACATTGTCCTGCTGATTTTAAAGCTAGCTAAATGATTCTTTCTTTAGATAACACCAACTGGATCGAATTCGGAAGATGTTTTCAAATGTGCTTCCGATGGAACGTGGTCTCTTGGAACGGCGGTGAGAAATTGACAAATTGTTATAGAAGAAAGCTGGTTGTCAACAAAAATTGAATCTTTTCTTTTAGACGGACGTTCAAAAGATCTCGTGCACCACACTTGGAAGTTGCTGATTAATAATCCATCAAAGTTCTCACATTTTGGGCCTAATAAACTTTAATAGAAACGGAGAATTGCATCTTTATAATATGAACAATAAAAGGTGGAAAAAATCTCAATAAAAGTCTATCTAAAACGAACCAAAAATCTTGTACGTTGTGATGTGCAAAATTAGCTACAACGAGATCAAAACATTTCCATTCTTTACAATAGCAAATATGACGATGTTGAGCCATTTCTGGGGGCAAAAAAGAAGACTGATTTCAATATCTAAGCAAGAAGTTGGTAACATATTTATCTACCAATCTATTTAGATATATACAGTATCTCAGGTTGACAGCTTCCTTCCCCAACAAGCTTATATTCTCTTATCGTCTCAAAGTTTAATAGTTCACCAATAGTTGGGTGACTACATGTCATAGCCGCTAGAATTACAAGTGGCTAGGAGAAAGTTTTATGGGTGCTATGCGCGTTGGGCGTGGGCAGTGTGCGTGGGCAGTGTGCGTGGGCAGTGTGCGTGGGCAGTGTGCGTGGGCAGTGTGCGTGGGCAGTGTGCGTGGGCAGTGTGCGTGGGCAGTGTGCGTGGGCAGTGTGCGTGGGCAGTGTGCGTGGGCAGTGTGCGTGGGCAGTGTGCGTGGGCAGTGTGCGTGGGCAGTGTGCGTGGGCAGTGTGCGTGGGCAGTGTGCGTGGGCAGTGTGCGTGGGCAGTGTGCGTGGCCTCAATTTGCCAGTGACATTTAAATTTTCTTTGGTTTTCGACAACACTGATTAAATTTTAGTTTAGCAAATAGTTTCAAGGCTTTGTTCTAACTTTGATACTTTTTCTTTTTAGGTCCCCAACCAGCGAAGAACAAGTGTCACAGTCGAGAGTATCTTTTACAAAATTGACATCATCAACATTTAATTTAAAATCAGCTTTTATAGCTAAAAGTTGCAAGCTTTTAGGGATAATTACCATTTGGGAAATCGAATGAAAAGTTCGGAAAAAGTTCGAAAAATAAATTAAAAGCACCAAGAAGAACACGTAAATTGAGATGAATATCTGAAAAATGAAATGAGAAAATGACAAGAGCGGCTCACTTTGTTGTATGAATTTTTCAACATTTTTGTTAGGAGAAACGAATAAAATAGCCCTAAGAATTGAATTGAAACATTCGAAATTCTCGGAATTGGCTAATTCTGGAGTTAAGACGTACTGGAAATAACTATAAAATTACAACCAACGTGGATAAAAGTTAAATACGAAAGTTCAAAAATGAATCATCGTTCGAGTCATTAGGAGTACTAGTTTATGCTGTAATATAAGCTGTAAACTGTAATTCTGTAATTAAAACTGTAATTCTTGTTTTGTCATGCCTGGTTTCAACGGGTTCACTTAAATTGTGAAATCGACAAAAAGTCACAAAAGACAAAAAGCTTTTTGTACATTATTATGCCCGATTTTATTAAAGAGCAATTTTCGTTTCACTCTGATTTCCCTCTAGACCAATATTGCCGACGACAAGCGGAAGCTCACAACTCACACTCGATTTGATGGTTTCTGTTGAACGAGAAGTTATCTGAAAAACTGGTAATCTATAGAGTTCAGTATTTGTCAAACGTTTATGTCATGACAATTAGAATGCGATCTAAAAAAAGCTGACTTTCAAATGATAGGTGACGCTGGTTATGGCACATTCGAATGAAGCAATCACCGTTGGGATTTCGATTGGAATTGTGAAAACTCCTGTGTCTTTTGATGAAACTTGAACAGCCTAAATTGTGTTTTTTATGCTTCTTAGGTTGAAAAAACTTGAGAGTTTGATATTATTTGTATTTCAGAAACACTTTTACTGTTAAATCACGTTACACATACCGTTTTCTTCGTTTCCAGAATTTTATCCGTCGTTCGTCTGTTGTTGTGACCGATTGTTGGTCCCATTTGAAAGGAATCGTCAAGTGAAAATCTTGCGTTCACATTTTCCCAAGCGAGAAAAATGACTCGTTGAACGAATTGAATTTCAAGCTGAAATTTTTTTTGACTGAAAGAGATCAGGTTCTATTGTCGGTGGGAATTTCCTAAAAAATCTCCTTCAAGCGAGTCTAATTTACAAGTTTCACCTCGTCAATCATGCTCGAACTCGCATTATCGATGGTGACTGTTACGGGCAGGATTTCCCTCAGAATGCAGCCTTTCCGCGGAATAGATGCCTAACAACAAAGTTTATGCCACAAAAATTCAAGTTTACTGTCATTTTTGGAAGTCTCTTTTACTCAAATGCTGAAGACTCACTTTTAAGGAAACAAATCCTTTTTTGAGGAGGGGAAGACCGATATTGACTGCTTTGGGAATGACTGAGATTTCATTGAAAACGCTAGGAGAAAGCCGCAGATCGGAGACTCGACCCACTGTGAATTCCTGACAAAAAAGTGATACAAATCACAGTTGAAATTGAAATTTTAATTTTGAAAGTTTAAAAAAGGTGGAAGACCAAATTTTCACTTTTTTAATTCACCAGAAAACTTTCGCCTCACTGCTTTCGTGAATGAATAAATAACTAATTTTCTCGTTTGCCCAAAAGTTTTTCCATTCACTCACTGCTTCCGAAGTTTTATTGAGAGCCCAACGTCCTGTGTCCACCACAACTTGCACCAAATAACTGATTTTCCCTTTTGCCCAAAAGTCTTTCCCGCCGAATGTGGGTAGGCTTTTAAGTGGGAGGAGAAAGCTGAAAAGTGTAGATGAAAGAAAACAAAAGCGCTTTTACTTGAATGGGATTTGTAGCTCTCCACTGGGAATGAAAGGCTGCTCAGCGCATTTCCCCCAAGAACGACTCTCCTCATTGATCACGTCGAGTGTTGCCCAGAAACCACTATAATCAACTTGTTTCCTATCTTTGTTTCGGAAACTTTTTTTATGCAAACATAGAAACAGTGAATTTTTCATGAGTTCATTGTTATAACAAATATTGGATACAGTAGAGCAAAAATGATTTGTATGAACTTCACTTTTTTAAGGTTAGTCAAATTGCAAGTAGTTCAAATCCGATTTCGCAAAAAACCTATCAATATTTTGGTTCTATGCTCTTCAAGCATTCTCTATATTTGTTGCTAGATTGCTAGAGTGATCAAAGTTCTTTAAGTTTGAACTTTACAAACACTAACTTTTGCATTAGACTTTTGACTAACAGAAAAAAAATCAGCAGATCACGAACCCCTGTTTGTTGACATTCCAATTATTTTTCGCCACTCCAACGGCTTTTATCAGCACTTGTCGAGCTTCTTGTGTTTGCTTTGACTAAAGACTTTTTAGTTATTCAATCGAAAGCATGTTGTTCTTCAAATGCTCTTTTCAAACTCACACAAATGACCACATGTCCAATGACATTTTCACCTGGAAAGTAAATGGGTGGACATCGAGAAAAGTGAATGCAAAAGTCCATCTGCTGAATTTCAGTTTTAAGCATTCAAAAGCTAAGCGAATAAAGTCAATGATTTGTATTACAGCAATTCAAAATTAGAAAAAAAATGAGACTTAATATTTAGAAATTCCGCTTTTATTCGCCTAAAAAGAATAGTCACTGGAAAATCGACAGGCAACTTTCGCAATCCTCTCTTGATAAGGCATTTCCATGGCTGTTTCTTTGCTCTTTTCTTCTCAGGATTTAAAACGTCATTCGAAAGTTGCGAAACAGATTTTCAATCTCAATTCTGAGCAAACTTCTTGTGATAAATTCTTTCTGACTTCAGAATTCAGTTGATGATTTTCAAAGATCAAAAAAACAAAGCATCATTTATTTCAGCACTCCAAATTTCTCCGAATAATTGGGACGAACGACATGCAGTTGACGGATGGACGGCAGATTTGCTCTTATGTGGACGGGTTGCTTCAACGTGATTGCTCTTTCGAAAACTCATCAACAGACTAAATTTTCTGAATTCGCCTTGAGTAGTCAGAAAATTCAGGTGACCACCAGATAATCCATCAATTTACTCGAAAATGTACCTGAGCGACGGAGAATGTCATCAAAAAGGCGATGAAAAAAAAGAAATTTTGTCAGTTCTTTTTCGAAGCAACACTTTCCAAAGGATTTTTATCGAAAAATGGCATAAAAATAGTGAAACCACTCGCCAAGATAAATTAAAAAGGACTTCCGGGCAAGAAAAAGCGCTAACTTCATCAATTTCTACAAAGAAACCTTACTTCTACAATCAAAATAACGTTTTTTGATTGTTGAATTTCAGCTGGTAATGAAAGAAGCCTGAAGTTCTCGAAGAAATGGCTTGAGTTTCCAGGTGATGGATTTCATCAGGTAGTAGCTCGAAAAAACACTCATTAAATTATGCCCAATTGGTTTCGGGCTCATTGCACACGGGATTTTAGAGGAATATTGGACTTACCGATGTTTATGTTGAGTTTGCGAGGCGTAGTCTCGACAACTAGCATGATATCTTCTTGTTTAAAGGCTCTTGAACTTGCCTTGAACTTGCTACAATTTCCAGATGACTTAGAGAGTCATTGATTGTTTCTAAGTACTTTAGCCTAAAAAGAAAAACCTTTAACAAAAGGAAAACGCCTGTGAAAAAGTCGTTTGATTTGTATTTTTGTAGCAAAATTGAGGCGACATTTTGTTGCTCTGGGTCAGCTCGTGAGGAGCCCATTTTCCAACTCGATTCTTTTCCCAAGTTTGTGTAAATAGTTTTTGATTGTCATATGGGATACTTCAAATATTTCTGCCAACTCACGAACGGTGAGTGTTGGGCAATCTTCAATTAAGGCGAGCAAGTCATCGTCGACCACTTCTGGAGGATGTCCTTGGTGTGGCTCGTCTACGAGGCTTTCATCGCCGCCTTGGAATCTTTGAAACCATCGTTGACATTGACGAATGTGTATACTTTCCTCTCGAAAAACAGTGATGATCGTGCGATGAGATTCAGCTGGTGATTTTCCTTGTTTAAAATCGTAGAACAATCGTAGAACAATGCGGAATTTTTTGTCCTCCTTTTTTTGCCAAAAAGCAAATGATGAAATTTGGAGCACTAAATGTTATTTATGTAGACACCTTTTACTTTGTATATATGCAAAAAAGAGGGAAGAAACGGCGCTTGAAATTACAAAAAACATGTTAAGTAGTGACGCGTCATTATTAAGTTGCCAACCTAATATTTTCTTCAAGCATTCTCTATATTTGTTGCTAGAGTGATCAAAGCTTTTTGCGTCCTCTGAATTTTACAAACACTAACTTTTGCATTAGACTTTTGACTAACAGAAAAAAAATCAGCAGATCACGAACCCCTGTTTGTTGACATTCCAATGATTTTTCGCCACTCCAACGGCTTTTATCAGCACTTGTCGAGCTTCTTGTGTTTGCTTTGACTAAAGACTTTTTACTTATTCAATCGAAAGCATGTTTTTTTTCAAATGCCCTTTTCAAACTCACACAAATATCCACACGTCCAATGACATTTTCACCTGGAAAGTAAATGGGTGGACATCGAGAAAAGTGAATGCAAAAGTCCATCTGCTAAATTTCAGTTTTAAGCATTCAAAAGCTGAGCGAATAAAGTCAATGATTTGTATTACAGCAATTCAAAATTAGAAAAAAACTAAATGAGACCTAATATTTAAGAGAAATTCCGCTTTTATTTGCGTAAAAAGAACAGTCACTGGAAAATCGACACGATTTTCGCAATCGTCTCTTGATAAGCTGTTTCCATGGCTGTTTCTTTGCTCTTTTCTTCTCAGGATTTAAAACGTCATTCGAAAGTTGCGAAACAGATTTTCAATCTCAATCCTGAGCAAACTTCTTGTGATAAATTCTGACAGTTGATGATTTTCAAAGATCAAAAAACAAAGCATCATTTATTTCAGCACTGACTCCAAATTTCTCCGAATAATTGGAACGAAATACATGCAGTTGACGGATGGACAGCAGATTTGCTCTTATGTGGACGGGTTGCTTCAACGTGGTTGCTCTTTCGAAAACTCATCAACAGACTAAATTTTCTGAATTCGCCTTGAGTAGTCAGAAATTCAAGTTACCACCAGATAATCCATCAATTTACTCGAAAATCTACCTAAGCAACGGAGAATGTCATCAAAAAGGCGATGAAAAAAAAGAAATTTTGCTTTTGCATTTTGTCAGTTCTTTTTCGAAGCAACACTTTATAAAGGATTTTTATCGAAAAATGGCATAAAAATAGTGAAACCACTCACCAAGATAAATTGAAAAGGACTTCCGGGCAAGAAGAAGCGCTAACTTCATCAATTTTTACAAAGAAACCTTGCTTCTACGACCAAAATAGCGTTTTTTGATTGTTGAATTTCAGCTGGTAATGAAAGAAGCCTGAAGTTCTCGAAGAAATGGCTTGAGTTTCCAGGTGATAGATTTCATTAGGTAGTAGCTCGAAAAAGCACTCATTAAATTATGCCCAATTGGTTTCGGGCACATTGCACACGGGATTTTAGAGGAATATTGGACTTACCAATATTTATGTTGAGTTTGCGAGGCGTAATCTCGACAACTGGCATGATATCTTCTTGTTTAATAACTCTTGAACTTGCCTTGAACTTGAAAAATTTCCAGATGATTTAGAGAGTCATTGATTGTTTCTAAATACTTTAACCTAAAAAGAAAAACCTTTAACAAAAGGAAAACGCCTGTGATAATACACAAAAAAGTAACATTCATGTTTGCAAATCTTCCTGTTTTTTCATCAAAAAAAAACACAAAAAGAGAAGAATTTGAATCCAATTTATTGGTTGATCTAGATTTTTAAATTTCTGGTTAAGCTTGTTAATCTTTGTTGAATGTTGAATTCTACTTGCTTTCGTAAATAAATCATTGAAAAATGTTTATTTAATGCGTGATAATCACCTTGTATTTTTCGGGTTTTGGCGATGTAAATGGCAAAAGCTACTATCGAAAAAATAATGCCCTCGGGACTACTATTACGGCTTTTATGGTATTCCTGAATATGATATCTTATAGATACACGTATAGAACTTAGAGAACTTGAGAACTTAGAGAACTTATACGTCTACATCTTGAATATTAGAAAAGGCAAACTTCTAGAATTGCATAGAACTGAATTAGAAAAATATCGGAGAAGATGGTCGTGGGGAGGTTGAATACAATCTTGAATACAAATAGGCTTTACATCGACTTTACACAAACAAGAGAAGATTTATAAAACCTAAACTCTTCAGCAGCAACAAAGATCGAGATATTTGAAAGACAAAACCGCAGTTTCGCCTTTTTCATTTTTTTTTAAAAATAAGCTCACGTTTTTGGAATAAAAATTTTAGAAAAATTGTATGTAATTTAAGATAACGACGATTTGTGCGTTTTCTCCGGACAAAGAAGGGAGAGGGGGTGGGGTGCGAGCGGATCAAAGCAGAAGGACTTTGTAGATGCTGTACATTTCCTAAAAATTGCTGAATGAATGACTTTTAGAATTTAGGAGGCCAGCCTTGCCTATCGTTCGGTTTTCTCGGCAAACATAGAGACAATCGACTGGATCCAGGCGATCAAAAGTGATCACTAATTCATTTTGAGTCAACTTTTTAGCGGGCATGCGGAAAGAACAAACAGAGAATGAGCATTCCTGGAAGTTCCGTGATAAAGTTTTCACAGAAACCTTCTCTAAAACCTTGGAGGTTACGGTCAACGATCACCATAAAAAGCGGCTTCTTTGGGTCATCCTCGTTCGACGAAAAGCGGAAATAGTCACATTTTAAGAAGCTACGTTCAAATTTTAATTTTTTTATCCCAAGATTCCAATGTTTCGAATTTTATGATTTTTTTATGAAGAAGTATTATATTTTGTGATGCCATCTTTGGACACGAAATGTACAAGGATGCACAAACAAACTAGTATCCAATGGGCTGCTCGAAATTGTTGAATCCGAAATCCTCGTACACTTTCCCGATCCCATCGTTTTTCGTCCTCAACTCGATTTTGGTGAAACGGGTCGGCGTTTAAACATTTATCATGGTGTTCGATATAAAAAATGATTGATTACTCCGTAAAAATTTGAAATTTATCACATGAAACAGAAAATTATACTAAAAATTGAGTTTGCAAGTCGCTTTTAGTCTAAATTATGAGGTAAACGAGAAGAAGGAAGCTTATCAGTCATTCAATTAAGGTCAACAAATGGGCGTTGTTTTGAGAATAAAAGTACCCGTTGTCTAATGTATTTCCAAGTGAAATCAGTTCATTTGACTCAAGACATGTCCAGTTTTTTGAGATTTGCCTTTATCTTTTTCACTTCGTTCACTCTTTCTCCCGGTCTCCTCTACTGTCCGCCGGGCTCCTTTCAAATCCCTAGCGAGAAAGTCTGTGCATTTGCGATTCAAGAATGTGAGTGTCTGTGTATTTATGAGCGTTCCCAAGTAATTTCACCCAAAGTTTGCTTTCAATTAAAGTATCAAGAAAGAAACGTCTCCTATTCTTAACACAGCCAGTAACTTTCTCAAGAAGGGCAGAAAGAAAGAAGAAAGAAAGAAGAAAGAAAGAAACCCCAAGAGGAAAGACCCCTCTAGGAACACTTAAACAAATTCTAAAAGCAAAAATAAAACTTTTCAGCTCAATTCTACCACAATGCTGCAAAAAAGTGCATCTCATTGGGCGGGATGACGGCCAAGATTCAGAATCTCTATGAGAATTCAATGTTCTTCGCGGTGATTGCTCAAAGTTTTAACCAAAAAATGGATACAAATTGTTCATCTTTAAGATTTCTCGAATCGAGCTCCGTATATTGGCGTCGAACGGCACAAAAATGCGAATGTCTGGACGTATTCGGATGGATCACCGCTCACCTACCAAATATGGGCACAAGGTAAAAGAAATGTGGAAATTTAAGTGGCAATTCAAACACTGCTTTTTTGTAGGTGAACCGAATGCCAGCGGAGACAAGGTCTGCGCCATAATGTCCCCGGAGAACGGGCAATGGAAAGCCGCCGAATGCTCAACAGATCGACCATTCTTTTGTACAATGGTCGGCCATGGTGAGTGACTTTATGCGCACAGAAGAAAATGATGTATGATATTTTGGTATCTGTAAACAAAAAGATTACTTCAGATGGTCCATGTCCACCGAATTGGATCTACTATGCGGCGACCAAGTTCTGCTACTATTTGCAGGTTTTCGATAATATACCGTATTCTCTCTAATAGTATTCCGGTCAAGGAGGGGGTTGAAAAAATAGTAGTGCGCACTACTATTAGAGAGAATACCGTTAATGTTTTTTAGTTTTGAGTTTGGGTTTATTTTTGATTCCTCCAGTGTAAACATCCTTTTTAGTATTGAATTTTGCAACCTTTATCACCAAATTTTGTGGAAAGAATTCATTTGCAAAATTACTTCAAAAACAGCTTTTCCTTTTCGAAATTGTTTGCACAGATTTTTAGCGAAAAACAAATTTCATTGCTTTTGATAAAAGGTTTTGATAGTGAAACTGTTTTGTGTAAGAAAAATGAAAAGCAATTGTCAATAATGTCAATAACATATCCATTGTTTCACAGCTTTACAAGAAAATTTTTGAGTAGATTTCTAATGGAAACTGGAACTGGAAAACTATAATACAATGGGACCTCGTTAATGGTTTGTGAAAGGAAATTTGAAAAAGCGGATCACAACCGAAAACACAAAACTTGAAAAGCCTAGAATCCGTTAATGTAGAATCCGTTTATCGAGGTTTCAATGTAGTGACAGTTATTCCCGAACTGAATCTTTCTTTTAGCCCTTCACCTTCTATGACAATGTCCATTGGCAACTGTACAACTTCGACACAGCCGAAGCTCGATGCAAAGCAATGGGAGCTCATCCGACCTCAGTGCATTCGGCTGTTGAGAACAACTTTTTATTCGGTAGGCTTTGGCTACATCCCATTCCGCCGTGAGATTCTTATTTTTACGATTTCTAAAACTTTTTACTACTTTGAAACCTAGAAAACAGCGAAAACGAATAGGCTTAGAGAGAGTTAGGCCCTTTTTCTGCCGTACAGTGCTGTACAGTACAATCGACAACCTTGAGGTGTTTTAGAGCTTAACTCGACAATAAACATAGATTCAACAAGATTGAAGAAAATTTCAAATGCAACTCAGATATAATCGCCTCAAATGTGAACGCTTCTCTTGTGCAAGCCGCTTCTGACGGAATTCATTCTTGCTGGCAGCAATGGGCTTGGATTGGTCTCTTCGGAACGGGAGCCAAGATGAATGGATATTGGACTGATGGGACACCGGTTGATTGGACGGGCGTCGATCCACCGAATGCCCAAAACTATTCCTATGTGGTGAGATGTTGAACGTTGAAACATCGTTGAATCTGATCTGAACCAAACTAACAGCACTGTACAGATACAAGGCGGCTTATAACGAATCACATATTTTTTTCCTGAGTGGACTGACTTTGAAAATTCCAATAGCTGTAATTGTTAGAAAGTGACTGAATTGTTGGATATTCTTTTTTGTCAGACGTTTGTGAGATCTTCTACTATGCAAACGAGTTAATGCGTATATTTTTCTTATTAATTTTTCTATACTTTCAGATGAGCAATGATCCTTCATGTCCATATCGGCAATGGGGATGCGCCAATCCGGGAAATCGTTACGCGCGTTACATCTGCAAAATGCCGGCAAAAACCTTGACTCAACAAGAAGAAAAAAAACTGAGAAACTATATCGTGGACAATGATAACCATCCTGTGCATGTTTATTGAAGTAACTGTGCACATATATTCCTGTATATTGAGCTTGTATAGTTTGAAAATAGGTTACACAAAAGCGTGATTCTAAAGCATGGATAAATCCGACAATAGAGTTTTAAAAGTGTTCATTTCAAACGCAGTACAGTGTGCCCAAAAAAGATAATCTCAACCATGACTTTTTGTAATATCTCCCTCAAATTGAATTTTTGATCAAAAAGATGATAAAATTAGAAATTCCCATCTAAGTTTACTAAAGATCGTATTGGCTTTGAATTTTAGGGTGATTTTAGGTGATTTTAGGTGATGGGTGATGATGTTTAGTCCATCTTTCGAACCTGATTTAGATTTTTACAACGGCTACTGGTTTCAAAGAACTTGTGTATTCCTGGGCGTATCTGCGTCAGAACATCAGCCTTGTCGTGTTAATTGCCTAAACCACAACAAAAATGCAACAAATTTTGAAAAGAACAGTAATCTATAGGATTGAAAAATTGAAAAATATGCTGGTAGAGCTGACTTGTAACCGGTAAAGAACGTTTCCATGATCTTCTTTTTATGAAAACCCTTCATGTCTTATTTTTCTTGATACTTTTTGATGCACTGGCAGAATAAAGTTGTTAAAGTACAGTATTTGAACAACATAAACATTTTCTTCAAATGTAATTTCCTCAAGCAACATTTATTGGCTGAGCCTCCTCCTGTTCAGTTTAAATCTTGTCTCCTTGAATTGTCAAATGATCAAAGAAAGAATAACAGTTCGACTACTTGGTCATCTCTCTCTGTCAGAGACAACGATACAAATGCGAAGGTACATCTAATGGCTTTCTATCCCGTAGGCCACGAGTTACTTGTTCCAATATCCATCAAAGTGTACTGCCTAAATTTTCTTTTATAAATCTTGTTACTAAATTTTATATTTAGACTGTGGCAAGTTCTTTTTCCCTCCAATTTTTAAAGAAAACTATGGAAATCACAAAATAATAACGATAAATGTTGAGTGATTTATCTCAATTAGCACAATAAAAACAGTTTTTTTTTGCTGAAAATATAAAACTAAAGCCACGCTTATTTGTCTCTTTTCACTCGTTTCGATAATCTTTTTCGAAAAACAGTGTTCAATTTTCAAAATAATGAGAGTGTTTATACAAACGAAAAACACGTTCAAATCCATCAAAGTTTTCTCTTTATCTTTAAACAAAAGTTTATTTAGTTTAATTGAAACTAGGCGAAGTTTTGGTAAAAACTCTTCACCTAGGAAACCAAGGGAAACGAAAAACACTTTCATTTAGGAAGTCTCTTGATCATCTTATCTTTTCTGTGCAATGACAAACGACTTAACGAAGGACGAAATAAGGTTAAAATTTATCCCTGAGCTCTTAAAATCATTTTAATTCCCAGTTCCGAGAGCAACATCCCAAACGTATCGGACGAAGAGTTGCAATTTCGTCAGCAGATCATCGACTATGTAGCCCTAATCGAGCACTATCCTGATTCAAAGCAGTTAAACAATATTTCGGCCGAGCGAGTCCTTTGTTGTGCACAACAGGGCTGTTTCGATGGTTGGTATCCAGGTTAATCATTGTATAAAATCCCTTACAGATCTGCAATTTAGCCGAGAACCGCGAACGGAGGGCGGAGGAACTTCAGCAGAAACTCGTCGACAAAATGTTGTCGAGTCGCGGATGCCGCATCGAGAATCTTGTCTACAATTTGAATGCTCCCAACTCATTGTACGACTTGCCCGACGACGGGTGGTTGCACTCGGAGTTGCGCGAAACGATGTCCAATTCGGACGATCGAGCCGACTGGAACCCAAACAAGCGAATTGAGCGCTACACAGGGTTACGTGCCGTCGAGTTTGATTATAATCGAGCGAAGATTCAAATTTTTGCCGACAAGTACGATCCCGAAAAGTCCGACCGGCCGTGTTTGTTCACCAGTCTTGATGTGGCAGAACTGCTTTGTATGGGAGAGCTCCAAACCGGACCGTCGTTGAGGTAACGTTAAACAGACATAAATCCTGTAAGCAGGCTGTGGCCAGCGAGTGTCTGTATGTCTGCTACCAAGCTTTAAGCTCATCAGTTGAGTCATATACTTACTTTTTTGTTGCCTTATTGCCTTATTTCCGAAATTTGGCGTACAGTTTCCAGTCGCTTATCCACCTAATTTTCTATAACTTCCAGTATGGGCCCCGTGGATCCCAAGATGGGCGACTTACCCTTCCAGCGTGTAACCTTCTCTCCGTCCTATATGTATTCGTCACGGTTGATGCGCTGCATGTTTATCTGTGACTATATTCTTAAATGGATGGTGACCGGTTCGGAGATCCAATTTAAACCGGACTCAAAGACGGGCAAATGGTTTGAGACTAGATCGATTAAGGACGGACTTTTGAAACACTTGCCGCCTCAATTGCACGTGAGTTTTTACAGAAAATGAAATGACTCATTTCTTTAGGCATTGGTTGCTGAGTTTCGCGATGTTTGGACAAAGGTAGGCTGTCATCGAGTTTGGTTCGAGTCGGAGCGTGTGCCGATCTTCGAGGATGTTAACGAGGATTCAAACAAAGAAACCCACTACTTTGGTGACATGCGAATGCTTTTCAAACAACAGAAACAGAATGTCGATGACAGTGGTCAGATGGTGGATGTGGATGACGATGAGGGATGACCTTGTTATGTCTTCAAAAAAGAGGTCCTTTAGAATTCAAGTTTTTAGAATTAGAAAAAATATTTTTAGCAATCAATGTGGAACAGTCGACCGGATGAACGCAAAGCTTTTGTTGTTGTTCTAGACTGTTCGGCGAACATTGTGTCCTACGAGTGCACATTTTGGGATTCCATTTCGAGCGACAAGCCCGTTGCTAAGTTTAATGTGTTGGACAACGATGATGACGAGCTTTTACCCTTGCTTCGTCGCCTCACCCAATTCGAGACGACAAAACACGGGCTGGTGTCGACGAAAAAGTTTGTGGCTAAATGTAACACCGAGGACGACCGAGAAGATAAAACAAATGAGCGCATCGAAACTGTTTACAAGGTGCTGCGAGTTGCGTGTCAACGTGTCGGCTTGGAGCACGGCTACTCGCCGCTCTACTGCTTTGTAAATATGATGACTGACAGGTTTGTGTTCGCTCTAAACATATTTGGGATAGACAACGGAAAATTCGAAATTAGTACGTCACTTTACAAGTGTATAGATCCAGATAGGTACATAAAATAAGTCAATAAGTTACTTCAAGTTATGATCTCCTCGCTCAACACATTCCGGAGTTCGGGCGTCTACGCGAATTGTCCAAACTTGTCGCTCTTGTCAAATTAATGGCAAGTAGGCGACGCGAACTCGTTGCCGAAGCAGATAAAGCAGCGGCTGCACAACGCTGGCCGAAACGGTTCTTCACTTCGAGTTCGGAGCGCAAACGGTTGGTGGCCTTCAACAAAGCGCTCGCAGAGATGCATTTCGGCTTGCGAATGGATGACAATTTTTCGACAATCGAACAAGAAGTGATTATAAGTACTAATACCAAAATACTAATAAGTAATACTAAACTTTTTTTTGCTTTTTAAAGATCGAGCTGAGCCCGTTTCTATATTCTGGAAAGTTTTTAGCGAGAAATCCCTAACAGAGTCCCGAAAAACTATGAAATATGAATTTTAGGAAAAATGCGGAACTTGTTACTGGGTACCTGCCTTCCAATTTGATCCAAATGTGCTGCAGAATGGAGATGGAACGACCATGCAAAGACCAGATTGGATTTACGGCGGTACCAGTATGGAGCGTGAAGCTAAACGAGTTAAGCTTGCAAACCAGGTGCCTTGTCGCGTCTGTAGTCTCTAAAGTCTTTGTTTAGATACGCGAGAATAGATTCCAGGGGATCCGAGCTGAAAACTATGTGCTGGAGCAGTTAATGCAGGAAGAGGGGACGTACATATGTCCGCAGGTTAGACTCGGATCACGGGCGGATGGCACAGCACGTGTGGCTGACTTCATCGTTGTTCGCCCCGTTGTCACAGTGGATGCTAATGGAGAAACAGTGGGTTCAGTTTTTTGAAAGAAAGCCTACTAAATATTAGTCAACTGTTAAGAAGTATAAAATTTTCAGACAACTTCATTACCACTTGGTAGCATCGAAATAATTGAAGTGAAATCGGGCAACGCACACCGTGATTCCACACAACTCGCCGTCGATCAATGGCACCAAGTGAATAATCTCATTGCAACAGTCGAGAAAAACCTACGTGATCCATCGCTCTTCAAAGATTACAGCACTAAACAACCGCAGTCGATCAAACACAAAGTGGACTCGCGTAGATACCTCCTCTTGCCCATAAAAGGCCATGGTCTTAAGCGGATTGATCCGCCCACTCCGGGAAGCTATTCCCGGCTGCCGGTCGGCATTTAACCTATACATAGAAGAAAATCGAAATCACCGCATTTGAAACCAACCGTTTGTTCCTAAAGTGCAAATGCAAGACAATGCAAATAATCAAACTTTGTATCGCTTGTTTCGTATTGCATTGCTTGTTCATATGTGCTAATTACGTCCACCCTATTGTTGAATTTAATGCATTTTCAATATATGAGTAAATTGAAACATTTAGTTTTTGTATGAATAAATAAGCTTTTTTGTCTTTCGCCAAAAAAGTCCAATTTTTAGCAAATTTGAGACATAAACATTTCCTTAAACAACATTCGTTGGCCGCACCTCCTCCTTTTCGATCCACAGCTGACGATCTCTTAACGAATTCTTTACAAAAAAGCCCAGTAAAGCTAGCATGATACAGCAATAATAAGTAACTAGTAAAGAGCATCCAAGTAGCCAACAAAAAAAATGAATGACATTAGCTGAGGAGAACTAAAATCATTGTTTTCTGTTCGATCAAGCTTCTCAACCGATCAAAAAATGTTTTGCTTCTTCTCTCAGGTCGTCGAATGGCTCACTGTGAAAAGAGAGATTAGTCGCAGATTAGTCATCCACTTACTTGTAAATATTGTAAAAAAACAATAGTGCTATTCCGAAAAATATTGAAAATGATCTAAATAAAATTTACTTGCATTTTGGGTTTGTTTTAAGTAAACTTGGCAGTCAGTACTCAGTGAATGGACAGGAAATGGCTCGTTTTGTTTGCAAGATGTCCTCGAAAAGACGATTTTGAAAAGAAATGCAAATGGATAATTTTATCAAATACTTTGATTGATTTGTGTATGTATGCAAAAAAACAAAAAACATTTACAGTTTCGGCGGAACAGATTACGAAAAAACACATTACACATTTCCGTTTTTAGCACAATGTATTTGATGAGCGGAAAACGCTCACCAACATTTGCGTTTTCCAACGCGGAGTTCCACGTTTTCTGCGCAATCTAAGCCCCGCCCCTTTTTGCGAATGGATGCGCACAGACGGACAGACGTCTCTTCTGCTTTATATACAGTAGATAGATTTCAAATGATGCCTCGTGTAAGGATCAACAATGGACATCGACCTCGAATGAGGATACGAATGCTCGTTTTGTCGACAAGAAATCGTCGAAAAGTCGCCAGTCAAAGTATAAGCTTTGTATCTTTCTTTCATTGTCTTTTATCCGTTCATTTTCTAACTGCTTAACTGCTTAACTGGCACTGCTTAACTTATAACTGCTTATAACTAAAATTTTTGTGAAAAGATTGTTAAAGTTGATAAGAATAATTTGTCTTTCATCTAATTAAGGTTACTGTGCAGCATTTTTGTGAACCATCGACTCAATTTCAATCGGATTCAATTCCGTTCATCGACAAGTTTGTCAGAGTTTGTCAGAGATTCATTTGAAAGTTTTTTTTTGTCATTTTCTTTCATTCACGAAAGTTTATCTGTTAATTATTATTGGCATTCTTTCATATCCATGCAAACTTGTGACGAGGTTTCACCTAAATCGAGTTTGTAGAAACAGAATTTCGAAAATCTAAACCACCATTAACGAGATCGACAAAAATGACGTCAATGTAGGTGCTGACATCGTCGAGGCATCCCTGCACGATTCTTTGATCATAGGCTGCAGCGAGGGATTTACAAATCTGAAATTGAACAAAGACAATGAAAGCTTTTGTGCCCATTCTTGCTCACCAAGACCAGCTCATCCTTGAGTTTCTGCTCGTTGGTGATCTGGTTGTCGAAAAAGTTTCGTGCCTGAACAACAGCTGTATTCAACGACATTTACAGCGTCTATTTTGTCATGATTTTTAAGTTGTTATGGTGTCTATTTTGAAATGATTTTTATTGAATACTTTCCGCATCTTTCATGTTTTTCGACTACTTTTATATTTTCAGAGATAAAGTCCAAAAAAATGTTCCACAAAAGAGGCTGGATCTCATTTTAATATCACTTGGCAACTTCTCTAAACTCACTGTATCAATAACTGAAGTACAAAGAGCACAAGTGTCCACTGGTGTTGTTGTTGTTGTTGTCGTTGTTGTTGTTGTTGCTGTTGTTGTTGTTCTAGTTGTCATCGGCGTTGTGATCACTCCGCATTCACCAATGTCCGTGCAAATTTCGGTTTGAGTTTTACCTGAAAATAAACGGTAATTCATGTAGTTCACTGGAACAAACCAGCTTGCATATCAGCATAAATCGTGTCAAGATTCGATTTCATCCAATCCTGACAATCCTTCACCGCTTGTTTTCCGTAGAAACGCTCCAGAGATTTGCAATCCTGAACAAAGCAATTGTTTTGCAACAAAGCAACCGAAAGCTCACCTCATTCAACTCTTTACCCACGTCATCCTTTTTCTCGCCTTTTTTGTAGTGAGCTTGAGCCTGAAATCAATTTCATTGTTTTATTTAGAGCTTGATATACAAAATTGCTTTGCTTTGCTTTTTTTTCCAAAGTTCACCTGATTGACGACATATGTGCACATTGTGCATGGCGGAACGGAGATTGTTTGCTGAAAATTGGAAAGTCTGGTCTGAATTTCTTGATTTCATTTTGTAACTAGCGTGAACAAACCGCTTTACTTGCTTAACGACAGCTTGAAACTCAGGAACTCAGGAAAGATATTTGTATACAAAAATTAGCAAAATTAGCAAAAATCTCTGCACATTTAAATATAGAAAAACTGACCGCCCAGATGACGCCAAGAAGAGCCAAAGCGATGAGAAGAGCTGTTGAATGCATTGAAGAAACAAAAATTTAGATTCAGAACCAAAAGCAGAAACGACTTTGTCGAATGAATGAAGATTTTGTGCTGTGCAAAGGGGGGATTAGTCTTTGTGTGATAAGCTCAAGACCAATGAAGTACAAAGAAGAAAAATCTCGGCTGCCAACGCGATTATCAGTTCCGGATATGGCAAAATATGGTTCTGTTATCGAATTTCCTTTAATTTCTTTCCAATATTCTGCTTGAGTTTATTTCATCAAGCAGATCTGGCTAAAGTTCGCATAATGGCACAGATTTTTGCACAGATTTTTGCAATGTGAAGATCAAGCGAATGATAGGCATCACTGGGTTCGGAAACACGGACACTTACCACTCTCCAATTGCTGTTGTATTTGTTCAAAATAAATGAAACAAAACACTTTTATAATAGAAGTGATTTAAACAAATAAACCTGTCATCCTCTGAACTTTCTAACTCTAACACGGATGCAGGATTTTCTGGAACATTTATATGTGCTTATTCACATTTTCAGTTCCTATATCCTCTAGTATCATGAAAAGATGAAAATGGATGTATGGTGGCATGTTGTGTGTCTCTGTTGTGATCTTGTTGCTGAAGAAGTTACGAGCCTGAAAAAGTCCAGTAATATCTTCAAAATTATATAATAATAATAAAATTAATAATCAATGTCTTATTTTATACTCACTGTATCAATGGCCGAAGTACAAAGAGCACATGTGTCTATGGGTGTTGTTGTTGTCGTTGTTGTCGTTGTCGTTGTTGTTGTCGTTGTTGTTGTCGTTGTCGTTGTTGTTGTCGTTGTTGTTGTTGTCGTTGTTGTTGTCGTTGTCGTTGTTGTCGTTGTTGTTGTGGTTGTTGTCGTTGTTGTTGTGGTTGTTGTGGTTGTTGTGGTTGTTGTTATAGTTGTTCCAGTGGTGGTCGTTGTCATTATTGTCATCGGAGTTGTCATCACTCCACCACATTCACTAATATCCGTGCAAATTTGATCAGAAGTTTTAGCTGTAAGTTGAGTATGCTTTGGATGAACTAATAATTATTATTACTAACAAGCAGTTGATGATTATCGATGCTAAGAAAAACTTATGTAGTAATCACTTTGAGTTTGTTGCAAAATTTGAAGGCTGTTTCTAACTGGCAGCTTCTACTTGTTGATGAACTAATAATTACTTTGTTCTACTGTACTTGTTGTCATTAAAGTACGGTATATTCGGTTATTTTACTATAACTCTTAAATCGTAGCACATAAAAAAGTTATTCACAAAAATTCAAATCCATCGAAAGCGTTGTGAAAAATGATTGAAAACAGACATCTGTGCAGATCTTTTTAGCTCAAAGATATTTTGAAAATAAATTTGAGACTCATGTTTTGTTCTTGTTCTATATTTATTCTTGAGATTTCTTTTTCATTTTAAGCTCAACGTCTTGTGTGTTGTGTGGGAGTGGTTGATCGGGAGCGACTCTAAAGTTTTTGCCCTTTTTTCTCCCCATCATCACTCAAACCGTTTCTGTTTTCCCGGGCGTTTCCAATGTTCGTAGTGTTGATAAAAGATATAGATGATCTCGAGAATTGTCACCACCGAAGCACCAAGGAATAGCCCAAGTGCTCCTCCAACATCGCCTGAAGTTTTTGCTAAGATTTGGATCTATTTGAACTATTGAAAACTAAACGGGCGTGCCTAATTTTTGAGAAACTTGCTCTTCTTCCACAGAAGAGATAAGAATGCAAAGTATTACAGAATACAAAATGTACAAAGTACACCTGTAATACAAAGTACACCTGTCTTTTATTTCTATATAGCTTTCTATTATCTTTTATTGTCTTATATTAGAGATTTTACGGTCTGCTCTTTTGATCACTCACAGGCTAGCGTCCAAAAGGTATAGTCAGCATTTTGAGTCCACGTTTCAACGGCGTTCGATTGTAAATAAATGTTGACAATTGCAATGTTTTCTCTAAAAGTCTCGAAGTCTTCAATCTCCACCTCTATATTTTTGGTAGTCAATTAATAAAACTGAAATCAAATAAATCTTCACCTCTCAAAATCGCTATTGATACGAGATTTTTGTCGAAACTCCCCAAAATAATCTTTGAAGACGGCGTCGAAAGCAATCTGTAAATATATAAATATGTAAATAAATATATATTGAATCGTTCTGAAAATCTGGATATAAGCTTCATTTTTGATTCTCTACAACTTTTCCATTGACACCAAAATGGGTTTCTTTTGAGTGCTCAAACTGTCAAATCTGACAATAGCCCGCAGTTTTCAACTCACCAACCTAATAGCAGAAGGCAGTGGGGTTTATAATCTTTTTGGAAATTTGGCTATAAACCTAATTTTTGATTCTCTACAACTTTTCTATTGACACCAAAATGGGTTTCTTTTGAAGAAAGTGCTCAAACTGGGACATCTCCAGTCCTCCATTTTTGAGTCTCACACTTGTCTCAAACACAAACCAAAACCCTACTACGAAAAAGGAATCCGCAAATTGCCTGCAAAATGAGCAGAAGTCGTCAATAATAATGGAAATTATTTGGAATGAATTTATGGTTTTATCTTGAATAAATTTTAGTTCAAAGTCGGGCAGTTTGCATTTCACCAACCTAATAAATACCCTTATTTTAGTAGTTAAACACATCTATTAAGAAACAAATGCTAAATAACAAATTGAACAGCTTGTGCTCATTACTTTTCACTCTTTTTGACATGAATAAGGAGATTGTAGATGTTGAGCTTGTTCACTTGGACGATTAGAATGACTTTACACGTAAATTTTGGACTACAGTCGACTCTCTCTAGAACGGGACTCTATATAACGGAATGAAATTTTGGCTCCGGTCGACGCTAAGCTATATATAACGGCATCTCATATAACGGAAACATTTGTTGGTCTCTTCCATTTTGTTATAGAGAGAGTCGACTGCAAATTCAATGTGCAAAACATTTGCAACTACTTGAAAATTGTTTCAAAAGAGTTGCTCGGATCTATCTTCAAAGTTACCCCAAGTTGTTGTGATTGAAAGCGAAAGTCCTCGAGTTGAGTGGCGATGAAAGCGGGGAGTTTCTCGAGAATACACGTCGTCAGATTTGTCTCTTCAAGTGGCACTTTTTTCTAAAAGCATTACCAAAATCGCATTTATTCTCGTTGAAAAAACGCGTCACCATCAAAATCTCGATCAATTGTTTCCCGTCGTCTTTTATTGCTTTCCGGGCATCCCATAGAAAGTCCATAATTGGTTGGGTCCAGTACTGAAAGGTGTAACGTCTTAAAAACTTTAAATTTTGTCTCAAAAACTTTAAATTTTGTCTTAAAAACTTCAAATTTGTGCCTACCTTTGGAAATTCCTCATGAAAAAATGGCACCAACGCCGTATCGTGGATCAAATCGGCGAATTCATTCTTTTTGATCCTTTCCGCCATATACTTAAACATTTTTGAATCTTTACTTTTCACATTTCACAAAATGAACCTCTGTCAAACGAAAATCAAGATCAAACTTCTTCAGCAGCTCCCAATTCACTACATCCGAGGGTTTCTTTTTAAGAAGAAAGTCAAATGATCGCAAATTTTTCAACGAATCGCTCTCCTAAGGAAAGTTTTAGTAAAAAAGTAAAAAAAGAGAAATTCAAACGTTTTTCAAAATGTGCACCACATCGATGCACTCATTATTTTGTTTGATGAGCATATCGATGATCGGATACGATTCATTGAGTTTTTCCTCGAATGGCCAGCCACGAGACGCTAATCTGTTTGCAATTGTATGATCAGAACGACTTTATTTTCTGATCTTTTTGTTCTTGAAGACATACTCAAAAGAAAACACTCAAATTTTGATATTTTCCTACTTTCTCTTGTTCTCTCTGTAGGCTCTAAGTAGAAGAAGGGTCGTTTTGAATGTGGGCAAGTCGACGCGCGGGAGCTCTTCCAAAACGAAACGAACCTTTGCCACTATTGCGTCCGTCTGCAAACGCTGTTGAAAAAAGATTCAAATTTATAGACTCACAAAGTTTTGAGTCACATAAGCAGAATCTTGACATTGTAGAGGAATCTTTTTATAAACGCGCCTTCCATCCGCTTCAACGCGAATCAATTGCTTTTCGATACTTGGAACGCTTAGATTCTGTATTAAATGAATGATTTTTTTTTAAAAAATCAATAAGCAAACCTTTTTCGTTAAATCATATTTATTGGAGGTGAGCGGAAAGATTTGTTTTGGGAGAAATGTGATTTCCTGAAATTTGTTGAAGAATTCAAATCAACTAGAGAATTCAATTGTGTTTTAAAATACACATGGATGTGTTTTAATTAAAGGATTTTAAAGGATTTTAGGGGATTTTAGAGGATTTTAGAGGATTTTAGCTTATTTTAGCGTCTACTTGTTGCGATAGATACTCGGTTGATTCACACGCCGGCTGACAACGGACTCCAATCTCGGCGCTCAGATTTGCTTGTAATCTGAAAAAGTGAACTCGCAAAGAAATATTCAAAATTGCTCAAATCGCAAAAAAGCACATTGATCACAAATTTAATCAAAATTTTCACTAAAGCACAACAATTTTAATGCTGTTAACAAAGCGAAGAAAAGTTTGAAATTACTGACTAAAAGAACTGTCATAGCATTACTGATTGACTGATCTGCGTGCACTGACCTTCTTTGATAGGGCAACATACAGCTAAAGTACAAGTCGAGGTCACATTCCTTTCGAAGAGCTGGCAATGAAAAGTGAAAGGTATCGATTTAAACTAACATTTCTCTTTCGTCAGAAATTCTCGCAATGAGCAGTTGCATTGTTTTTCGAACTTCTCGTGTACTAGTTGACCAAGACAACCTCTGTTAGATAAGTCATATGAAAATTGAGAAAAGGTACTTGATTTCATTGATAGAAGAGCTTGACGATGCTACTTGACAAGATGGACCGGGGAGCTTTTTACGCTGAAAGAATTTGATTTTGATGTAGATTTGGAAAGTTTCCGTAAGAACATTAGCTGGATTCTAACGGAAAAACATCATCTTGACCCCTTTATGCTCAACTTTTAATCTTTTAGACCAATCTATTAAGCAGGCGAACATTTTTTATTTTGAAAGGGAGATTGACGGACATTCCTGGTGAAACGCCGATTCCCTCTGATGTTGTGATTGGACGTTCGTTTTGATCGAAGATTAACACCTAGATGTTGAATTTGTTATCTGAATCTGGAAAGTACCTAGATAAGAAGCTAAATTAAAGAAAGATTTTTGAGCCAGACAACGATAATAATATCTTTGCACCCGAAATCCGATCTCGGCCTGATCGTTCGCCACTCGACCACACGTGTCCGTTCGCTCGTAGCTCTCCGCGTTCAGCACCAACTGGAGACCGTGTTTTTTGCCTGAACTTCGGTGAGATTAGAAAGTCAAATTTTGAGTCATTTCAAAGAAAACCCGTGCATTTCTTTTCTCAAGATCAAAACTTGAATCTTTCGGCTTTTGATTACAAGTTACATACCTGAGTTGGTGATTTCAATCGTGTTGTTCAAGTCCAAATTGAGTGCCCAACAGATGCCATCGAGTGTCCAGAACTGAGTCCACATCTCTGGGGTACATCGTGTTCCATTCGGTAAGATGCAGCTAAACACTTTACTTGACATCAATCAACAACGCATTGTTACTAGAAAACATTTTTGTTTCCTTCTGTTTTTGGGTGTAGACGATTGCACATACAATATTTTGATACCTGTACAAGACATTCAGCTATTACTTGCCCAGTTCTCTTGTCCCTTTTCTTGCTTTTTTGAAAATAGGCATCAAAATAGTCAGCCAAGATTAAAATTGATCGCCTAAACACCAACCCGGCTAACATCGTTTTGATGTCATGTGTAGCGTGGCGTAAAAACTCGACCGCAGGCCAATCTGCGGCTGCGGTGATCACCTAGGAGTTTGTTTTGTTGTTTTTTTTGGGGCTCTACAAATTTCCCGAAGGTCAACTAACCTGTTCAAAGTAAGGGCTAGTCACAGCGTCTATTAGGGCATCATCGTCTAACGCAGCGGTTGTCACGACTGGGAATAACTTGTTTTGGAGATCCTTGTCGAGCAGATAACTTTGCCTGAAAAGTATGAAAATTTTACGTAAAAGTTGGCTATTTAAATTGAGAATGTTTTATCGGGCGAGTTTTTACCGAAATTGATTATTGTTGCAAATGGCGATCGCCGGGAAAGCGACTTGCTCTCGATATTCGATCTCGACATTCGTTGAGACCGGATTTGATGCGTATTTTTGAATCTAAAAGAATAAATACAACAACTGCTTATCTATTAGGTTGGCGACATTGAAATTTCGTTTTAGAGCAACAACAAAATTTATTCGTAAAAATAAACTAGAAACAATTAATCAACAATAGATTCCCCACAGCTACCGATAACATTTTTGCTATCTTTGACGCAAATTCCGGATACTCTCTTGAAAGAATTGTGCTGGTTTTGATTAAAAGAAAGCAGAGACCTATTTTTTGATGTCGTCAATGTTCTGGAACTTGTGGCTTTCGAGTGAATGCCGAATACTTCGAAATAAATGGTAGTCAGACGGGGCAATATCTGGACTATAAGGCGGATGAGCTAGAAGTTCCCAGCCCAATTGCTCAATCTTCTCTTGCTCCCAGCCCAATTGCTCAATCTTCTCTTGCGTAATTTTGGCAACGTGAGGACAGGCATTGTCTTGTAGCAATCGCACCGTTGTCGGATCAATTCCTTTTGAGCGAAGAACCGCGTCCGCGCGATCTAGTTGTTGAACGTAAAGATATTCATCAACAGTCTGACCAGAAATTAACACTTCGAAATGAACCAGACCTCGGATATTTCACCAAACCGACAGCATAACTTTCTTTCCGTGAAAATCTGGTTTAGATATTGGCTTTGGAATTTCTCTCGGGTCGAGCCATTGTCTTATCCTTGTAATATTGTCATAATGAATCCATTTCTTATCAGGAGTCAAAATTGCATCCCAAAATCCACTATTCTTGGAAATTATAAGCAAATTTCCTGAACAAAGAACGCTGATGGCTTTGCTTGCATCGCTTAGTGAATGTGGAATCCATTTTCCAGCTTTATTGAGCTTGCCCAATTCATGCAAAAGGTTTTCGGTTGTTTTATGATCACAATTAAAATATTCCGCAAGTTCACATGTAGCCTTTATCGGATCACTTTCGATTATCTGCTTCAAATCATTGTTTGTCCTCGTCCCAGATCTTCCAGACTTCCGTCACCCTTTCGAAATCTTTTGAACCAGTGTTGACATTGATGAACAGTGATAACATCTTTCTCAAATACGTTGCAAAGTGATTGATGCGATTCAGTCGCTGTTTTTTCATGTTTGAAATCGTACAGCAACAAATGCGAAGTCGATATTTTGAGGTCGTCTAGCATCTATAAGATTTTTTTATTGAAATTCTTCAACTGGAAATAAAGAAAAGAGGCGTAATAAAGCACAATAATTATATCTTTAAAACAGAAGAGATAAAACAGTAATAGTATCCACAGTGTTAAAATCCATAAAGAGCAACGCAAACCAAATTTCAATGTCACCAACCTGATAGTATACATATGTATAACAATCTGTAAAAGGGGTTGGAAAACGGGAAAAAACATGTTATGGTGCAATAGAGTGACTTTTTATTAAAGAAAAGGGCTTACCTGTTGAAAGATCTGGTAGGTTGTCAATGCGAGGAAGACAAGAATCACCGAAAGCCAGAGACATCTGAAAAGCGAAAAGGAAATGACTCTTGGGAAATGAAGACTTCCCCTCACCTCACCCATTTGTTCTTTTCAACCAAATATCTGAAGCCACCGAGGCCGATCTCTTTGACGATCGGCTGCTGATCGTCTCGCATTGATGAAACTTATCTGATTTTCACGCTGGTAAGTGGAAAGCAAAAGCAACTTTGGAAGTGTGCTACGTCAAGCGAAGGGTTGAATTACACTATCAAAGCTTCAAAGTTAAATAACTAAAAGGTCTGCAAAAGTAAGATCACTTTTATGGTGTTCGGGGCTATTTCGACGAAACGATTTGTGGGGAAGTTTAAGAAAAATGACCTTGATTGGTTTGAGTAGTTGGGGGAAGATTGCACAGGGGAACGCTTTTGCTGATCAATGATAGATTTGTGGTGTTAACGAAAGCCAATCAGTAAAGTTGAAAAAATCATATTGATTTCGAGACAGCAATCGAATCGATAGAAATCGCTTGAAAACTTTAGTCCTTATTGTTTCATAGTCAATCTGATGAGCGTCATTTTGATTGAAAGCTATGATAGGTGATCTTGTCAAGCCCGTAATCGAAGAACCAACCTAAGCCTGAGCTTGAAGTAGTTGATCCACGTGAAGTCGACTGTGAGATCTTCATCAAAGTCAAAGCATTCAATCACTTGCACAGTTGTTGTGCAGTTTGTGTATTGGGAACGAGTTGTAGGCCAGGAATCTTTCCAAGTGTCGCCGGAAGAATGCCAGTCATTGTAAACATTTCACGGCCGCGTTAGCAAGAATTGTGTTTCATTGCTGAAGAAGACAAGTTGATTTCTGTGTCATTTCTCTCTTTGTCAAGTGAAACTTATCGCTTACCAATTGATACATTTTCGTGGCTTTTGGATAGTTTCTACCCGGTGAAGCACGATGCCAAACTATTTGTCCCGTCGCAATCTTCAAACGAAAATCATTACATTCCTTACACATAAATTAGACTATGAACTCAGAAAGATGTTCATCATTTGAATGATTTCCAGTCGTTCCCTTGGCCTTTTATATTGGCTTTGCATCAGATCTCTGTTTTTTCGAATTTTAAATAGAAATTCTCTCTGCAAATGCAATGGTCTAAAATTCTCAGCATAGATTATTGTACGATATTTTCCCTGTCAAGTTCAATCCACCCACTCCGTTCACTGAAATGACATTTGAGTAAATGTAAATTTCAATTTTTTAGAGTTTAATTGTATTTTACAAAGCTTTCATATTGAAAGAGGACTCAAGCCTAACATTCGTCGTTCTAGAGTCAATTCAAATATTCTACAGTATCTTGTAGTCTGCTAAAGAACAGACATTTGGTTTATCGTTTCTACAGCGATGAATGGTTTGTGGTCACTGGTGACGATAGAGAGAAAAGCTAAGATATTAGTGACAAGTTGACTAAACGACTCACTCCGATACTTGATGGTGCCAATGATTTGGTGCGTTTTGTTATAAGAGAAAAGTTACAAAAGACTTATACAAAAGATCTGCTGGGATGAAATTATCTAGTGCTTCTCTTTGTTAACATTTCCCCTCCCAGATTTCCCCGATCGCTCTCATCCCAGCTGCTTTCGCCATTTACTTTTCAATGACCAACAATCGGTTGACACTCGTGATTCGGTATTTATATAAAAAGTTTTTTAAAACATCGATTTTCTTTAGCCTTTTGGCCACAGCGGAAAATGTGAACAAGTTGATTGCGTGTTTCCTTCAAACCATTCTCATTTTTTGTAGCCTTCAATTCAAATGGCTAAAGTTGGATGAAGTTTTTAGTAAAAACAATGTATTGTTAGATGTTCGCGCGGATTTGAGACTGTTTTTTTCAATATTTATCGCTTTATCAACAACTATGGACTCTGGGAGATCGCTTGCTTGTGTCAAATGCAAATCAATCGGGTTCAAGTCTGGGCTGCAAGCGGGCCAAGCGACAGTGCCGATTTTGTGCGCTGTCAGCCAATCTCTTGTGGAGCAACTTGCATGAATACTCGCGTTATCGTGCATAAAAGTAAAGTTATTGCCCGGATTGTTGTTCAGATAGACGGCTAAATGTTTGTCCAACACTTGTAGTCAAGCGATGTCATCCGGGTCGAAATAAACTCTAAGCCGACCAGCTCACCGTCTCGAAAGGCTCCCCATATCATACATGTTCCACCTCCAAAGTTCGTGGTGCTGAAGACCATGTCCGGCTTTCGTGAATCCATCCAATATCCTCGAAAACCATCAGCACCATCAAGGTTGAACTTCTTTTCGTCACTTCAAATGATCTAAACATAAAATATATAAGAAATACTATTAAACCAACTTCTTCCCATTTGGCTTTCTGGTTCTTTTGAGCGAAATCGATACGGGTGGCTTTATGGTCCTTTGTAAGTCGTGAAGCTTGCTTCATGAGTTTGTTTTTGAGTATTGAAGATCGTTTGACAACGTTGTGCACAGTCTGGGTAGTGACCGGAAGCTTTATCTCCTTGCGAACCTCTTCGAGTGATGTCGTCGTGTTGGAAAGACGTCTCGTAATTGCGCGTTCTTCTCAGAACGTCCGATGCGACGAGCAATGTCCCTGTTTGAGTGACCAAGGGTGTGGAGCACATCGATACGCGATAAATTTTTAAACTGTCCCTGCTTGGGGACTTTTTTTAATAACATTAGTAGTATACAAATGGTTGACGCTGGACGGTCATTTTGCCCAAATGACGTTTTTTGCACTTTTTGACTATTTTAAGGCTTATTTTCATCAAAAAAGTGTCTAAGCTCATCGAAAATCAGTCATTTTTGAAAAACGTCACTTTTAGGCTGGACGTAGAAGTGACCATTTTGCCCACTTTTGAATTTTGAGACTTTTTCAATGATTTTATCGCTATTAAATGATGAAAATAAGATTCAATAAAAATCTAAAGGCATTAACAAACTTTGATCTTTTAGAATTGGTAGACCTTCTAGGACTCACGAACTTTAGAGGAATCTTCATGCGAGATACTTTACCAAATGAAGGAATTAAAGAAACAGAAGTAGGTATTGTAAATTTAGATTCTTCTGAAGGTAGAGGAACACATTGGGTTTGTTATTCCAAAAACAAAGATAAAATATATTACTTTGATTCGTTCGGATTAGATCCACCTTTAGAACTTCAAGAATATTTGAAAAATGGAGAAGATAAAATAAAAATATTGAGTTCAACATTTCAAATTCAAGACTTCGGAAGTCATCACTGTGGTTATTATTGCTTACTTCTTCTGAAACTACTAGAAACTAAAGACTTTCAAGATGTTGTTTTATCATTTCTATAAAAGATTCGGTTTAATATTCACATTTCCAAATGCCATTGTCGAGTGACTATCTTTAATAATATATCTTTTATGTTCTGTAGAAACTTCATCATTGTTGAGAGCTACTTTATTCTGACATTGTGTGAAAATAGTGTGTTTAACACTCCTAATAGTATATTGAGTCTTTCTTACAACAGTCTTATTGAAAAGGCTGTGCTTATAATCTTCCACAGTCATTGATTTTATAACATTTTTTTTAATTCCTTTACTTTTTTTACTTTCATCTCCAGGTTTTGGTACCTTTGGGAGTTTAGGATTCTCTTTTTCTTCCTGACTCTTCTTATTATAATACTCTTTAAAGTTTTCACGTGTTTCTTCAGCAATTTTATATGCATATTGTTTCGGTTTCAAGGCTAAAAGTTCTTCCATTATTAAACCATTCAATTCATCTTTGAATTTGCCAACTACTTTTTTATTTTCTGTGGAGTATAAGTGATGACAAGGTGGATAATCACTGAAATCAAATTCTTTCTTCAAGATGGAATCCTTCTGAATATCTTCATACAGATCAGGTGTAAAAATTTCATAAATAAGAGAGTCTGTATCTTGATAACACAAATTAATATTATCATCATATTTCTTTTGCATAACATTGTAGTGAAAGTCATACATCAACCACTTACTCAGATCTAGAATAGCAAAACCGACATAAATAGGTTTATCAAGTGTTATATTGGTTTTCTCCATTTCTACAGCAACTAATACATTGTTATACTGAACACGTCTTTTGTAGTTCGGTTTTGATGCTAGTTTAATTATTTTATCTTCATCAGTAACTAAACGGACATCAACTCTTTCTCTAACATTTTCCATTGTTTTTCCAAAAACACTATTATTCATCAGTTTAAAAATCTTTCTCAAAATCATTTTTAGCATTTTTCCTAAGATTTGTGTTCATCTCAATATACTCTTTGAGCCATCGCTTTCTTCAAAAGTTATAATTCTATGAATTTTTTTGACTTTAAGACCTAATTGCAGGCATTGCAATAAGTTTTCATAGTAAATAACATATTTCTCTTTATCAAATAAGGTATTGCATAACTTTTTTACTGTTTGATTGTCAATTTTCACATTTTCTGGACACAAAGGAAAATCATTGTGCTTTGAGTGTAAATCCCTAGGATATTCCAAATCTACTTCGAAAATACATCCTTTACCTAAATTTTTCAAATAATCAATATAGTCCTCTATTTTTAAACTCTCATCATTGAGAACATCAATTAAAGATTGTATTGCGAAATGAAAATCACCAGTTGGTAACTTTTGACACATTGCCCAACCATATAAATTATTGGCATCTAAGTACATCAGATAATTTGAAGGAATTGATGGATCAAAAGTATTAGTGTATTTATTATTAGCTTTAGCATATCTTTTAACAGCATTAACTATTCCACCTCTTATTCCCTTCTCAATCATCAAGTATTTCTCAACATCTTGAAGTACTTCTAACTCTACTTTAGTCTTTTTTTAACATAGCATCCCAAGCTAATCCAGGACTTGTGAAATACCAACAAGGATCGAGTTCATAAACCCTTAGACTTAAGTTTCTAAAGTTTTCAAAGACATCTGCTAATAGTAGCACATCATTGATCATATAAATTCTAGTATAATCTTCTAAATTGTTGCAGTTCATTTTATTCCAAACTAACTTGGCATAAAGATAATCTTTTTGCGAGCATTCCTTACCATTCAGTTTATCATGAAACGCTGAAATACATGGCAATTTTGTTTCTTCGAATCTCTTGAAGGAGTCCATGTATTCATAAGGATATACTCCTTTTCTTTGC